GTAAGAACTGATCTATAAATTAAATTTATATTTGATTTCATATCTATAAATAGATAATGATGTAACTGGATTTGATATATTGAGGAAGTGGTGATGCAAACATTCAGTTTATTACAAAAAAAAAATACAAATCATTTAAACTATTTGATTAATTATTTATTTTATTGAATTTGATCCTACAATTTTTGGGTATTAAAAAAATATGCAAATTATGTAAGCTTGCATTTGAATCAAGGTATATTTTTTATACCTAACAATTTTGAATATTATATACACGCGTATTTGTTGTTATAATATGTTTTTGATAATACTTAAGAAAATATTATTTTTTAAATGAAATAATTAATTATAAATATAGGATCAATGTTGCTAGTAATTTTTGTTAATGTTAAATACGTGTAGTATATATATAAATGTTGTATGATTTCTTTTCAGAATAAAATAGACCAATTCTGCAGTTTGGCTGATACTTGTATGCATGACACGATACCAATTTGTGGTAGAATGGGAGACGAGAAGAGAACATTTCTGGATCTATGCGATTTAATCGAATACGCCTGTGATACAAATCAGGGTAAAACAGCTGTTTCCCTTATTAATAAGTTTATATAATGTATAAAATAAACTCCTTCATTCCCATTTCCAGTGTTCACACACATAGAAGATGTTCCTGGATGTCCCTCAATAAAGAAAAGTTCTTAAAATTTCAACCTTTTATTAAGTAAACGCCGATGCGTGTATAATAAAACGAGCAACGAAATTACAAAGCAGAATCGCGCTCCGGGACTAGTTATTTGCAGTACAGAAATCAAGCGTAACTTTTTTTTTTGCAAAAACAACATCTTTACTTAAATATGTGTACCATTACTGGCTTAGTCTGACCCGAGATTGGCCGTGGCGATAGAGATATTGCGAGTTTTGTGGGCGGGACAGAGATGAAAATATCTCGAAGGTTGACCGGCAACAGGTTGGTAAGTATAGTTAGGGCATAATGTACAAGCGAGCCCTTATACAGTATACCAATATCGTAAACTGTGTTTAAACGACAGTTTGTTAATGTGCAATCTTTATTGAGGTATAAAGATTTTAACGTGCCACTAAGAAATCTCAACGGCTTGCCTTTATTACGTGCAAATGGAGGCTTTCCAGCTTACATTTAAATAGAGACATTCGAGAAGGTTGTCACATGAGAACTATTGTAAAACCTTTTTATTACTTAATAATATAGTAAATTTAATATAAAATATTATTTTAATATTGTTATATATATTAATAATTATTGTAAGCAAACAAGCCGCGATATCTCTGGGCTTGCGTTCCGTGAGAAAGGTACAATTTGAACAAGGCATAATTAGCCAGGGCATTAAATCAGAGAACGCCCGCCGATTTCGTTGATTAGGCACTACGGGTCAAGTTTAACACAGGTGGATTTAAGGGGTCAAGGATACAAATGTTAATAAAAATATATGAACCTGATAAAAAAACTATATTAAATGTTTCGCGATGTACTGATACATTTTGTTTTAATCATATTAAATAAAATAAAAATTGAATTAAACTCATATTTTTTACATTTATGATTAAAGGCTAGCCTTTTTAAAGCAAAAGGTAAATATAAAGACTCCTTTAACTCACAGTATGCAGAGTTTATAACTTTAAAAACAATTAAACCACAATGTATAGGCTTATTATTTCATTAATATATAACAAGTTATATATAAATACGAAGAACTCAATTAATGTAATTTTTAAGGTAATCAAGTTTAATCAAAGTATTGTAATTTTTAAGACTTTACGAATAGTTAATTCAACACAATAAGCCTGGAATTTTTATTTAAGTCACTTGTAATTTTTGAATTTTTCTTTAAATATAAAAATGAGATATTCCTGCCATATCCTACCCCGTTGTTAGAAATCCTTGTGTAGTTTATGGATATAACTACATGTTACTTTAAACTGATTCATAAACTACATAATAGGTTTGGGTAAAAATAGTGGTTTACACCCAATAGTCCCTTTTAAAATGACTTTATCCTAAAACAATTCTTATCTATAAATAAATAGATATAAACATATCTACTTATGTAGTAAAATATTAATAAATAGTATTTTTAAACGTAATACTTAATACGGTTATATATTATGTACTGTTAAAATAAGGAAAAATTGTACAGTAAAAAAATATTCTATTTGTAGTCTAGTAGAAGGAGAGAAAAAAATTTAACTACGTTTTTAAGATGGCTATGAGATTTATATTTTTACAATGTGACTACATTTCGTCTGTCCGTGATCACGTATACTATAAAGTAATGAAAACATGGAGAAAATGTAAAACTAAAATTTAAAAAATCCGGAATCTCAGTATCATTTTAAATATGTACACTCGAAAATTTAATATATCATTCTAAAAAGCAGTCAATTCAATGTTATTTCGGTTCCTCCGTTAAGTTCTGAGCATAAGGAAGCTGCGTCTGTATACAATCTCATATCACATGCCCAAAAACTGTCGAAATCATCTCCAATTCCTCGTACTAGATAGGGCGTCGTGATAACAATCGCTTAGCCTAATAACTGCCCGGTACCTTTGTCTATTGTTTACATTGGGGTGCAGTACGTGATTTGGTAAGTCACGCCGGCACCTTTTTGAGGACCTCCCTGACTTTATAGTTGAACACACCGTCCTCGTCTTACGGGATACATGGTGCTCCATTGAAATATATCAAAAGATTCACTAAATATAAATTAAATGAGCTCGTTAAATAATTCTTTAGTTGACTTCTAAAAAGTAATCAAAGGAATGATATTACCTTTTGTAATACTTTTATAATTAATATAATATTGTTATGTGAACACCCTGTATGTACGCGCACCCCCCATAAGCACGTGTCGCAGTTTAGCTTGCACGTGATTGGGTCCCTAATGACCCCGTGTCACCAGGCCGCCGATCGAATCTTTGAACAGCCGAAATGAGTATCGTACCCACAAATATTACCTTATTAAGAATCAAAATATAATGCTTCCTTCCTATATTCTTTGTTTCAGATTCTAAGAACTTTATAATTTATTTTAAATATTCCTATAAATTAATAATATGAGATAGAGGTTTTGGGTGGTCAATATAATATAAGAGAGAAAAGATTTTTACGTATATTAATATAGGAATTTAGTTGTCACTTTCTATTTCAATATTTAGCTTTTATAGTTGTTTGGTGTGAATATACTTCTTCTTCAACTAAACTTCAATCAAACTAAATTATGGACTGTTATTAATTTGGTTCATAAATTTCATGAACATTAAAATCAAAGCAATTCCTGAAACAGTTATTCTAATTTTATAAAAATATTAGTAGAGAAACAAAAATGTGAATATACGCTTGTCAAATCCAAAAATGTAATTACAACAATTGAATAGTGAAATACACAAAACGTAAATCTTTGAAATCTTTAGATGTTGCGTTTCGTTTTATCCAAACGATTTTCGGGAAACATTTTGACAGTATTATTGCTATATATACAATCTTAACTTATACCTAGATACACCAAATACAATAAACACAAAAGTATATTGAGATATTAATATTTATGCTTTAAAAAAAGTAATACTTAGCCGATACATATGATAGCTAATCAAAAAAATAGACATAGAATTAAAAATATATCTACTATATATATGACAAACTACTCACGTGTAAAACCGCAGACAGTAACTAGTATAAGATAACCTTTGATGAATGGAGATGATGTAAGCAATTTTATTTAAAACTACAAGTAATTCTAATAACCGGATAATGTGAATTTTAAAACATTGATATAACAAACAATTAATATTCATATTTTTGTTCTCACGATTCAATAATGAATCACTAACATATATCCGTGTGAGGTGAATTAAATGTTTTGTATAAATGTATTTAGGTTTTTTTGTGATTGATTACAACAAGCATTAGATGTAAGATTACAGTGATCGCGTAAAACGGGAGCCGCCTTGGGGCTGAGCTTATAAATTTAGTTTTTACAAAATATACAAGAATTTTATATCGTGCAATCGAATAGATAATTAACGATTTTAGTCAAAATTGTTTGAGGATATTTTCGAAATAATCAAAAAGTATGTTTAATTTTTAAATAATAATTTCGAAACAACATGAAAGTGAACATGAATTTCACACAAGAAAGGAGAATTCATGTAAACCAGTTAATTAGAAAACAAGGTGCATGTCGCAGTCTATAAAAAGCGTCCATTCAGAGCTAGCTCATTAAAAGGTAATTAGCCTAAGAATTCGTATCAAGATTCATGGCACATGCCTCCCCGGATCGCTGTTTAAACGCACTTAAGTAAAGTATCAATAACTGTCATCAAAGAGAATCATTATAGCGTCTCTTTTACTCGAAACGTAATTACAGCATTACGTACGTCCCTCTCAAACTCATTTATACACAGCAAAGAACGTAAGACAACGGGCATACCGTTCCTTTCTTACCAAAACGTAAAACGTAAATCGTATCTATCCATCCCGCTCGCACTATATTTAAGTGCCATCAAATGATTTAAAAACCTACCAAATGCGGCTACTTTTCTCGGATGGCCAACACGCGGCTTAAGGCTTCGAATTTGGACAAAAGGGGAACGCGCGAAAGAGAGGCTCTACCCTATAGTCGCTGGTCCGATGCGCTTGCGCACGGAAGTATCGCCGCTTCGGATAGTAATACAGTTCTAATAAAAAGCTTACGCATATATCGTTATCATTATAATAAAATAGTTTTTGTAGTGTGAGGTTGTATGGGTGTTGGTTGTGCCGCACGTGCGCTCATGGGTTTTTTATAGCCATAATATGACATCGATTTAGTGATTTTTTATGAATAGGGTTGTTAGTTATTATTGAGATATCATTGGATACTCTTCATTCATACTGTGTGGTCGTGTTTTAATTCAACATTATTATAATATGGTGTTTAATTGAATTTGTGTTGTGTTTATTTACTGACGCACTATCGGCAAAATGTTTCTAAGGTGAGAAAAATTTATTATTAAGCAATTAAAATTAATACATTCTTTAAATTATTTGAAAACTATTTATTTACGATAATTTTTACTAATTATCGCAAAGTTTTAATGAATCTAAATATACATTATTTTTAAACTAACTTGCGCTAAAAGTATATTTTCTAAGTAATACTAATATTAAACTGTAACTTTTGAATTAATAGATAATAAAACAAAACATTATACACATTGATAAGTATGATATTTATAAAGGATGAATTTTTCATGGAATCATTAAGAAAATTCATACATAAAGCTACTTAACATTTCTCAATTTAACTCATAATCTCCATTTATTTATTTTCTTATTTATAACAATAGTACAAGTATAAATTTATTTAATATGTAAATAAAAATCAAGTATTGATATAATCAAATCTAAAACTTTCGCGAGTATTCTTTTAAATGAAAGTAATATTTTCCAAATTACTAAATACGCGTAGTAATCCGAAAAATATTATTTTTTTAAGTATTCATATATCTTTTTCAAAAAATATCAAATATATTTAAATTTATTTCTTTAAAGTAACTTTAAGAATACTATATATTGAGGTTTTACAGAATCTTAAACGGATGAAGACAGATGCTACTGAAGTGTCAAACGTACTAACAAGAAAACAAACAATATTATTTCATAGCATTTTCGCCTTACATTATATAAAAATAGATACTATATTCACTTGCGATCATCATTTGTTAGTCAAGTTAATTTATATTTAACCTTATATATAAATAAACACGAGTGCGTATTAACTGTTACGTAGTTTATTTAACTTAGTTTTTACATTTTTTTACATATTAAGCAATTTAAATAGTCAATTCATACAAACTAAACACTACAATTACCCTAATATTAATCGGCTCAAATACTTACGAGTACAAGCTATATACTTTTTAAAGAAATTTATAAGAAGTTTTGTGAATTAAGCACTATTATAAGAGAAGAGTACCGTCAGTAAGAAAAATGATATTTCGTCGTACAATTCAAAATCAAAACAAATATTATAGTCTATATAAATACATAGATACAGACCAATTGAGTTCAACAGTAACAAAACAACAGATAATCTCGTTCTGAACGTTCGATAGAAAATCGATCGGCCGATAAAATACTCTGGTCGTCATTATGTCAAATCTCACCGGCTTTTGACAGAATTATCGTATGTAATCAAGTAATCACGTCAATTGAGCTAAGACCGATGCTCTATCTGGAATTCCTACGGTTAGAATGATAGATACAATTATTTGAAAATAACAAGACGTGCTTTGTTCTCGGATAACATTTTTATTATAATACACCGGTGATTTATTGGAATAATTCCTTTTTATCCACATTCTCGTATAACTTATAAAGTTTATTAATAAAAATTCTTTATACAAATTCAAAAAGTATCTGATGTAGTAACATAAGTTTTAATAACGACATTTGATTTTAAAATTTCTGCAATCTATTTGAATAGAAAGTAAAGAAAAGTTTAAAAGGAAAAATAAACCAAAAGTTTTATGATATTTTTAAAACGTCGATGTAAAAATACAGGAGTTCAGATTAAAAAAAAATAGAAACCAATAGGTTTAGTACTGACATTTTGTATTAATTTTAAAGTTTTTTTTTTAATACTTCGTTGAGAAAAGAAAAACTTTATCATCTTTTTAAAGTAGACATCATTGGCTAGACACTTTAATTTACTTCATTCTAAAGAGGTTCTATTTCTCGAACAAAAGAACCAACTCCTTTTATTGCAAAATACAATCTCACCCGGACAAAATGAGTTAAACGAAATAATAAAAAATATAAAGTAAATATAAAATATATATAAAAAGTAAATTTCAAAGTTACTTTAAAAATAATGACTAAATAGATTGGATGACACGTAAATATTGGTAATGGAAATTTGGAATATAAAATACTTACGACAGAATTTTCTTACTTGTGCAAACACTGCTGTCGGCTACAAAAGAAAACAATATACATATATTTTAACATTGACATACCAACCACAATATATATTGACAATCAACAAACAAACAACCCAATATATATTGACAATCGATATGTATTCAAATTGTCATTAAATTATATATTTAATTTATAATATATTTTAAAATTAACTTTACAATAATTCATAATAATTTTTATAAAGGAGCAGTAGTATGTACTTTATTTATTTCCGCAAGTCTGAAAAAAATATTTTATAAATACATCCGTGACGTATATAATGAAAATAATATTAAAAAACATAGATACTTTTCAAGTATATATTTATCATTAGAAAAATCTAATTATTATAGAATATTTTTGATTTTAATAATTTGATGTTATTTACTTCGTTATGAATTACTTTAAATAAAATAATTACACATAAAAATGTTGGCATGATATGATTTTTATTTAAAATTTTAATAAAATTCCATTATAGTTACCATAATTCTAATATACATAAGTGTAACATCTTTTCAACAAATATTTGTATAAAATAACTAAATTCATGGACTTTTGATTGTTTACTCAAAGTATAACATCTTAAATCTAATTAAAAGATAAACTTTGAAGTAATACATATAAACTAATATTTTTCTACTTGTTAAACTAAATTTTTATTTGCTGTCAACACCAAGCAGTATTTTATTTATATTTTTAATTGATAACGAATGGAAAATCTTAACATATTAATACCTACAAATCAGAGCTACCTAAATATTAAATTCAATAGTTACCGTGTGGTTTTGTACGCAATTTAACCATGTAAAATGTATTTATAATATACTTATTTTTCATGACGTTATTTTCCAAAATGAATAAGGTTCATAGAAAAGTTTCAAATTCCTTAAAAATTTATATATAGAAATCGTAAAGTCAGCATTACAAATCTTTCTGAATATAAATTAATTCACTGTGACATGTTCATCTAATTCAATTAAAAGTAGAAATAAATAGTTAAGTAGATATAACTCTTCTATAATAAATCTTAAATTTATGATACCATTAATTTCATTATTTTTAATACTATGGGAAAACAAAAGTTGTTTTATGTAACTAAATTTTTTCAAATTAACATTAGGTACATTCAAAATAATAACCACCAATATTTTAAATTGATTTTTTTTTGTTACAAAAAATATCTAAAAGGAAATTTAAATAACATAAATTTCACATAAAAATGGAATAATAATCACAGCTTTTCGTACTAACAAATTTCTCATAATAACATTAACAATTGAAAAAATTATCATTTGCAAAATAAACCAAAAAGAAAGCAACTCAAATAATATGAGGTTCAAAACAAACAATCATTCAATACAATCAAATTAATAAATCGACGGGGCACCAATCATTATCGGTACCAAAAAAATCACAAAATCGTGGCCATACCAGGTGGGATCAAAGACGCCGCTAGCGTCGGTCCACGCTACTTCCTCTACTGTTGGATCTCGTGATTAATAAATATTTAACAGGAGATTTTGGCTTTAGAAGTAATAGTATTGGATATAAAAAAATAATAATTAAAATAACTAACTAATGAATTGACTATAGACGGCAATTTTGTTAGTATTTATTACTATTTATCCAATTTAGCCTATTTTTTTTATATCTGCGAAAGAAAAAACATTATCCGGTAAATTCGAAGTTAAAATTATATTTAAATAGTTGCATTAATTTAAATCTTCAAATATCTATTCGAATTTATAATTTGGTATAATAAAAATTAACACCTTAATAACGAAACAATTCGAGATGAAATAAAGTTTTAAATAATCTTTCAATTTTTAATCGGCGTAATTAACGCTATAGGACATCGTCACCTCGAACACGTATAGTTCTCACGTACGCGATAATATCTAACAGATATGAATGAAATATTATTCCACACTTATTAAGTATTCCCGCGAACGATATAGGAAAAGAAATTGTTTGCATTTGAAATGAACTCGTCGGATTTGCATTACAATAACATATTGGAAGGAGCAATAAATCCAGACATCTTTCCGTTGCGGCGCTATCACAAATATTGTAATGTATTAACCGACAGACACCTGTCCGGGATATTGTATCCGCGCATTGTTTCAATCCTGGAATCCTTTCCCTTTGAATTATCTAACTTATAATTTCTCAAAGAGATCAGAATTAGCACCTATCACAACATACCAAGTGACATACGTAATCGGTTCTAATAGTGAAGGATAATATAATTTTAAAAATATTTCGCACCAAATTAATTAATTAATATACGAATATTAAACTTAAATGAAACAATTTTTTAATAATAAAATACGCGAAGTAACCCGAAGATAATAGTTTCATTTAAATGCTCGCGAAAATGTTACATTTTATTACAATATAAAATTTACAAAAAAATAAAGAAACAACGTAATAGATACACGATAACGCGATTGAAAACTGATTATAACTATCTAAATATCTAAATTAAAATATACAATTAACATTAATTATTAAACATATACATTTAATATTAATTATTGGGACTTTTTGGCCAGATTCGAACCAACCAAATCTACGAAAGGCGCGAGTAAGATGCGTCGTGATCTCATCAACGCTGAGATATCCAACCTCCGTGATCTGCTGCCTCTACCACCTTCAACGAGACAGAGACTATCACAACTACAACTGATGGCACTCGTCTGTGTGTATGTTAGGAAAATGAATTACTTCCAACAAGGTAACTATAAAAAACATACCGAAGAATAATCAAAATGATTTTATTGAATTGAAATATGGAAAAGACAGAATAATATATAAAATGTAAGTCATAATACGATTGATATTTTGCAATAAAATGAAGGAATTTTTTAGAAAATATCTTGTTAACCTTAACATTATAAGAATTTAAATTTACACTATTTATTAAGATTTAAAAATTCGTTAATATTTGCCTTTACTGTAATAATAGGTATCGATGTTTTAAAATTATGAAAATGATGATTAAAGCGCAATTATAAGTATAATGTATAATAATAATCGTAAGATATGAACGACGATGTTATCAGTCATAAGCGAGGCACGATGTTTCCATTGTGATTGCACACATTAGCATTAATTAAAATCCTTTATAGTGATCGGTAACATTTCATTTGATATACTAATTCGCTTCTTCCCATGCTCCAGATTTGTCTAAGCTCATCACGTATGCCGTTATCCAAAATCTCGACCATGTTTTGAAAACGTCCCCAAACTTTTTGTTTCACCTTCAGTCACGAAAACTCGTATTAAGACGTTTTAAATGCATTTAGTTCGCTATCTTATCTCTAGTTGCTATTACTTCACCCATAACTCGGTCTTTCTTTCTGTTTTAGTGTTCAAGAGTCACGACTTTAGTTATCAGTACCAAGAGCAACCTACTCCTACACCAAATATCGGATTTTCAAAGGTAATTTTTGTTTTTTTCAAGTTTACGACCGTTCACCGTGAAACTATAAAACATTTGTTACATTTACAATGTCTTTCAGGCAATGAATGGTTTTATGATGATGATGACACAGAATGGAAAACTCTTGTATATATCAGAGAACGCTGCGGAATATTTAGGACATTCTATGGTCAGTAGTTGACTTAGCAAACAATTAGAATTGAAGATTTATTGACTATTAATAAAAATTAATCACATATTTCAGGAAGATCTTTTGATTCATGGAGATAGCGTTTACGACATCATCGACAGACAAGATCACCAGATGGTTCAACTTGAATTGAATAGAACTAGCAACGGTGAGACTGAAAATGTACCAAAGAATAGACATTTCTTCTGCAGAATGAACGTCTCAAGAAATGCAAGACGGCAAATGAGATTTGGTGACCAAAAAGTAAGTTAGAATTAACAAGTAATCCTACATTCATATTTAAAAAAAACTAATATTTCCATTGCCAATAATTATGTTTAACAAAAAGAATTGTAATAGTAATACAATTATGAGGAAACATGAATGAAAATTACATATGTATACTTTTATTTATCCCTCTTTGTAACTTACTGAAACTTCTATTACTTCAGGTAGTTTTAGTTCAAGGGCATTACGTGTCATATTTGCCGCTCTGTAGCCGCAATGAACCTGTTTTCCTAGCTTCGTGTACACCTCTGGCTATGCCTGAAACAAGGGAATGTATAGTTCATGGAGCCACGAATGTATTCACTACCATACATTCCATGGATATGAAGATATTACATATAGATACCAAGTAAGTTTGCTAACTAATATGATACATATTACTATAAAAATTAGCTTAGATAAAACTATAGAAAATATATCCACTTGAAAGTTTAGATGAATTATTAAGTGCTATTTTTTAATTAATTTCAAAAATACAATCACTAATTAAACAAAGAAATGCATACATCTGCCGACGGTAACTAGATAAAAAATATGTTTTTGTATTGCCTTGAAAAATTTATTTTGTTGCTATAAATATAAAAAATAATTCAAACAAAATTTACTTTCAGTGGTGAATGGTACTTAGGATGGAAGAAAACTGATCTGATAGACGTGTCGTGGTATCAAATACTACATTGGGATAGTTTAAGAGAAGCTCAAACCAAACATAGATTAAGTAAGTAGTCTCATAAACTAATTAAAAAATCAGTTCTAAATTTAATTAAAAAGTTTATTACGTACATCTTATAACCCTTTAACGGTCATAGGGAGTGGACAGTGGAAAAACAAAATTGATGATGGTTAAGGGTATATAATAGAAGTAAAAACATATGTTTATATAAATATATATTTGTCAAACCTTTCATTGTCTAACTGTCTATTGACAATCATAGAAGTTATCTGAATAAAAAAATACGATCGGTGGACGAAATTTCGGTTTAAAAAAATAAAATCATGGTGATGAAAATATCGCCTCTAACTTATAAAGGGATAAAGACTCCTTCAAAAGAGATTTAATTCAATAATTTATAGTATAAATTTATTAAGTATCCATAATAGCCTTAACATAATAGAATTTTAAATTAACTTAAGTATTCGATCGTATGTGAAAAATATATTAAGTTTTCGGAAGATTATGCTAAGTGAGAGGCCTTTAAATACATCCACCTGTTACAATCTGAATGTTCTAGAAAGTATTTTGTCTTACAGTTACCCAATCGGAGCAAGATAAATGTTGCATCCTCTTAGTAAAACTGCAACAAAGAAGCGGTTCGTTCCTATGGATACATATGGTTTTGCAAGTCAAAGAGGCTGCGGATGCTCCTAGGCAGTTCATTGTAGCTACTAACCAAGTATTAAGGTAAGAAATTATAAATCCATAATATTTTTCGAACTACAATTACAATTAACGCAGATACACTTAATTTTGTATCAAAAGCAATAAATACTGCTTAGACTATACTAAATTTTGATTGATTATTTTATTGACTATCAAAAAAACATCTACCTTGTCTCACAAAAGTAATTTTATTTCAACAGTGAAGAAGAAGCATCAATAATGGTGTCCAATTCATGGTTGTATCAATACTATGGATACCAGAACCAGAATTGTGGGATGCTCGACCCCAGATGTCAAAAGTTCTTTAGACGAGAACCATATTACCCTGACCCCTATCCAGAATACCAATATATAGAAAACGAAGTCGATTACACTGGTTACCACATAACGCCGTATGTTTGTCAAAAAGCTGACGACTATGGCTGTGAAAGAATATACACTGATAGAGGTCCAGTAGATTATTCAACACATTCTCCGCAATCTACAATAAGTGAAGAAAGGTGAGTTTTACTTATTTATATGATAAAATCTTTACACTTTTTCCCGACTATTCGTTCAAATCGAATACGCAGGATAATTAATTTGCCCTTTTACTAAGTATTCACTTCTCTCATAACAACCCATCGTCTTAAAAAGAAGTCAAATAAACCCAAGGTCACTATACGATTTGTTTTCGTCATGTCACATCGGAATATAAATAAGAAAATCATCACCCCGTCCGTCAGTCCGTACGCGTAATTTGACACCTTTCATTACCATATTTATTGTGCAGTTAGGAGAACCACGAACACATTTCACTGGCTAAATAAACAATACGCCTTTTTACGAAAGCAATAAGAATCAAAATTAAATAATATTTTTATTATAGCATGAATTATGAGTTGTCAATGTTAACCAAATATGTCGAGATCGTTGGGAGAAGGGCGTAAGTCGTTTTTGAATCTCATTCCAGTGATAGTTTTGAGTGACGTTTCGAACTTGACCCTAAAATTATTACTGATATTGGTATGGAATCTACATTTGGGAACAGTTTATAATAAAATAACCATGACTTTGTACCTAATATTAGCAACAATTTTCAGGGAGTAAAATTTTGAGCTATATTGGTATAATTGTATGCTTTTTCTTCCAGATCTCCTTTACATTACGAAACAGGTGATATCGTTGTGAATAGTAACATGTATATGTGCAGTAAGAGAGAATATTATGACCAATATGCACAAGTTCACTATACACAAGAAGCTTGTGGTAGTGGAAATATTGAAGGTAACATATATGACTTAAAAAATACCAATCAAATCATTATTGTTCTTTGGAAGTTTTTGGAACTAGAGATTTTTTATAGCGTCTGAAATATTATATATCAAAGGTTATGAGTTCGAATCCTACTTGAGTTTATGACTTTTTTGTTTAAGATTAAATGTAAACCTCAATTCAATATTGCATAGATGTCAAAAGCAAAATGCAAAGTACTGAAATTTTTTTAATAACCCTTTTTATACTCAATTCTAAAAGACCCTATATATGTATTTATTTTAATTTTAATCAATAACCTTTTTGAAAACCAGGAATCGAATACCCAGCCGCTAAAAGAATGAGACTAACAACGCCTCTGAACATAGAGGGCGCTGATGGCATAGATAGATGGAACCCCAGCCCTCCCTGGTCTGATACTCTCAAATTGACAGATTACACACAAAGATTTACATACAATATGCTACCGGCGCCTGTGGAAAGAACTCTTGTCACTTAATAAGTTATCTTACATGTGTGTGTGATAAATGCATACACATTTTGACAGTGTGAAAGTGTGAGTGCGTATAAATAAAAGTGCTCAATGACTTATTCCCTAAGAACTGTTTCTTAAAGTGCTACAGCATTGTGCAATAAAATAATAAGTGCAATTTAATAACTGGATAGTAATAATTTAAGTTAATTCTGAATACGCCTTAAAAGTTTGTTAGAATTAATATCATAGTGTATAATTTTTTTTATTATTTAATTATTTTAAAATACCGTATTTAAGAATAATTGTGAATATTTCATGCATATTATATTTTTCGTAGTTTTAAATAGATTTTAATTTCATTTAGCTCAAGTGATATTTGAGGGTATATCAGTATTTTAGAATGTAATATAATTATTTACTTTACAGTAAAATATAAAATTAGTAAATGGTTCCGTCCAAATATTTGTATTGCTTTCCAAAGGAATAATTATTTAGTTACAATAATTTAAGAATTTCATTTATTTTGTATATATAAATATATGTATAAACTATTTAATGTATATGTTCTAGCAAAAGGTTACTTATGAAATAAAGACTTGATTGAAATAACATTTCTTTTATTATATATCTCAAAAGAATATTAATATGAAAAGGTATTTGTTATTTGTGTTAAGAACTTTTATCTTTATACATAATATATACACAGCATACACAAAAGTCACACACACATGTGCGGTATTAATCAAGTACCTCTCAAATAATACAAAAGTACCTTCTTATTTATCATGAATCACTATATAAAATATCATATACAAATTAGTAATTACTCGTCTTTATTTTAAGAAAACATATCAAAAGATTAAACAGTAAATCTATTCTTAATATATCATACAAACATCGTATTATTTATTTTATGTGCATATAATTCTCGCTATTAAACACCACAGTCCACCAGCTTAAAGTAATTCTTTAACTGATAAATACATTTGCATAGTTTCTAGAGATACTTTAAATGCATCCTATTTGAATCTGTCCCTACCTGATTAGTAGTCTCGACCAATTTATCAGGACCCCATGACTCACTTGCATGGAACTTTTATGGATACGCCAATTAAAGATGAGCGAAATTTATAGAGGCCATCGTAAAATTGTGGCGCTAATGTTGTCAAATTGATAATAACATAAACCACTGTGGATGGTTCAAGTTATAAGCGAAGTTATTGTGAAATATTTTGAAGTGTTGATAGCTTATATATTTAGTAAATTTGGTATAACAAATTTATATAAAGAATTAAAAAAATGTTGTCACACTCCTTACATAAAAATTACCGTATAAATTTTCAAAAATTATGAATTCTTTTTAAAGGTAATATTTTAAAGTACAAATAATATTTAGCCAATAGCTAACCCCACTGAAATTATTTTGCCTTTGCATGATAAAATATATATCACCCTAATCCCAAAATTATACGTAATATACATTTTATTCAACCAAAAAATATACAAAAATGAAGCTTATCAGAAACCTCTAATCGTTTAAACAAGTTCTATTTGTATAAATTTCATAAGCTATATAATCCGCTCGCCTCTCATCACTCACTCCGCCAGCGTTAACTCAGCTAAGCTATTATTATTGCGAGGTTGTCCACCTGACCGCTTTGAATTATTGATGTCAATACTACGTGATACATACCATGGATTAACCATAAACAAATGAACAGAATAGCTGACCACCATAACATATATTGATTGATAAATTTTACAAATTACTACATTTTTTTCGTCTGCTACATGCATTTATATTGACGATCTCAATGTACATAAAGAAATTGACATAATTTTTGTTTATTTATACTTTTCGATGTAATTCTATTTGGTTAGTAAAAAAATGATTAGTTTATGTAGCCTCGAAATAAATAAATATATGTTATATATTTATACAAATAACCATGTTCTATAGGCGATGTTTTAAATAAATATACTAATAAAAAATATAAAAAAATATTAGATTAAATATATAAATATAAGTATATATACAATAAATGAATCTTGGTGCTTGTTGTTTAACACCATCCACTTATTTGAGAGGCAGCATAGCAATTCGCATTAGTGCAACTCGTTAACAGAAAACAAATTAATGTATTATAAGCAACGCTCTCCGTGGGAAAAGCTGTTTAATTTATTTATATTATTTATCTAGGCTGGCTACGTGATGGTGTTAATTGAAACAGATCTAATTGCATCTGTATTCTGTAATTGCGTATTGCATCTGTATTCTTGTTTATGAATTGCAATTGTTTGAAATTATAAATATATTTACATATATACATTGCTTATTTAGCTTTTTTCGTAAATTGCATATAATTAAATAAAATTTATTTTGTTTCATTATTGATTATATATTTTCTTTATTAAATTAAATATTTAGAACAAATATTTTGACAATGAAATATTAGGTAATGAAATACTATTAAGTTAATTTTCCGCATAAAAACTTACAAACTTAAGATCATAAAGAATTATTATTTTTTTTTCCTTATTTTACTTCTATCATCATTGTAAAATTATTAAAAAAAAATTAACAATACTCCTTAAAAGTATCCTTTTATTAAATAACAAACAATAGTGAACCAACTTTAAATTCTTAAAGAAAAACAATAATTATTTCAAATAAATAACAAAATCATGAAACAACAAAAAATAATAATTTTCTTCAAACACATTACGTGTAAAACAACAACTGATCATAACATATTATCTATAGATAACAATTTATTGACTCTAAAAAGCCTTTAACGTAATGTATCCAAGTCGGAAGGCTGCGTAAAGTGTGCAAAATACATTAAAATGCGATTTACGATTTGATAAATATTCATTGAAACAACACATCCTTTATTCCGGTTAAAAAGGAAAATATGGACGCTTCTAGCACAGGCTAGTGTTCTAGCTTGTGTGAAATACTAGGAATATATGTAGACGAAGATATTTTATTACCATAATATGTATTAATATATTTTCACACTTAGACTTATGATTATACATATTTGAGTTTAAAAAAATTAATGTATTTATTAATCATTAAATAATTGTAAGGTTTTAAAGAATTTCAACAAATATCTCTCTTGTTAACACTAATTGTTAATACAATTTGTATACAAAAAATAATTTTAATAATAAATAAGCGTCAATTTCTTCTACACTTTCGATAGCTAAAAAAAGGTTTTCAAAATCGAAAATTTTGTATTAGTTCGGTGTTTGATGTATAATATTCAATAAATTTGGAAATCATTAAAAAAAGCTATTGTATAAACTTTATCTTTTAGAACATATATGATATTATTAACAGAACATTAAATTATATTTTCCAGGATCAATCAATCATTCTGCTCTTTGACAGAGGACGTGTTTTAAAACTATACTTACATATTAAAACGATTAATATTTCACACGTAAGTAGAAATTAAGTTTTTCTAGTGTAGCTATTAATTTAATAACCAACTCGTTAAAAAACTATTTTTTTAATATAATTTAATTCAATTAATATTAATATCTCATAAAATTTTAAATATTTTCCAATAAAATAACACACGGAAGACCAAGAAAGTCTGAAAAATTACGATTACATATAGAAAAATTACTGCTTTGAAGTAAAAGATCATCCATTAGCATAGTTCCTCATTTTTTACTTATTTTCCAACATTATCAAAGTTTTTCATTTTATCGTCTAAATTGCTTTACCTAAATCGGTTCTATATTCTATTAAGGTTTCAGTTTCTTAACAACATTTTTTAAATACAACGGTTACCAACGAATAGACACGTAAAACTGTACAGTTTCTATTGAAAACGCCAAAAACTACAACAACAAAACCTAAAAGTCTAAAGTGATCTATTTCTATTATTATCTCAATACTTATAAACTGTACTGCTAGAATAAATACTTAGAGCAATAAAAAAAACCTTATAAATTTATTATATTGAATGAAAAAGCGATACAAGCTTTCAGTTTGTTAAAACTAAAAGCCTTAGAGCGCCATAAAATAAATGTTTACATACATACAACGCGGAAAACTCTGTACCAAGAACAATAGTAATAATATGAGATAAATATCAACATTTATTTATGCTAATACAATTCTCCATAGATTAAGTTATTACTATATGCGATAATATCTTTCACTTGCAACAATATGAACATCCGCAAAATAAATTTAAATATAATAATAGATTCATTTAAATATAATAAGTAATTATATTATTTATAGGAAACAATAAATCTTTTTCTATTTTTATGTGGCGCTTACTTTCCTGTTCATTAAAGAAAGTATAATAAGGTAGGAATGAAAATATATGAAAAGAGGTTTATTTTTACCAAAAAAACAGATCTTCAGCGTTTTTTCTACCGTTTTCATTTTATTTATTAAAAAATGTTATTTACCTGTATTTAAAAATTCAATGTTACATTATTATGCAATAAAAGCTCGTGCAGTATTTCTGAACGCATTTACTGTTTGTGGCACTTGAAATACAACTTATAGCAACAATATACATAAGTATATCTGTAAAAACTAGCGAAAAAATTTAATTAATTTTATTTAAACTATACCATACTTTTTTCGTATATAAAAAACACATTACCAGGGAATAAAGAGAACACACAAAAAGACTCATAATTATTATAATTAGATCGAATACATGCACAGTCGGGTTGCCGATATATGTATGTGAATACTAAGTACCACCGTCAAAGACTTCAAGATTCTTCAAGAGTCGTGTTAATAGAAATAACCCCATATCGAAAACAATTGGAAGAAGGCGCACGATTGTACCAGCTAGGGTTGTAAAATCCACGATAATTTAAATATCGATAAATACACGTAAATGTTTTCAAACTATAACACTATAAGATATACGTTTTAATTCTAATATATTTATTTTAAATTTAATGTGTTTATATATATTTTGTAGTTGATAATTTAATAGTTTACATGTCGATTGAAGTGAATATTATCGATATCGATATTATTATCGACCAGCCAGCAGTATCGATATAATAACACACACGATTTTCATGTATTTATCCACGTGTGCGATGGCCGTACACGACTTACGCCGCCACCCTGAATTTTTAATTAATATATGAAATCATTCTTTGTTTTCACCCTTTCTAATCGTTTTATGCGCACGCTCCTACAACACGTGCCTGGCAGCCTGTTTGAATAATAATAGATTTTTTTAAGTGTTACCAATTAAAATACAAAGGATTGTCAACTTTGTGCCGATAAAACCGATGTTCCTTTCGGTACCGTTGGATCTTCTAACGGAAACCTTTCGGTGTTTTTGTGATTCAAAGGGCTATTTTTTGGTTATAAAAAAAAATATATCACAAACAGAATAATCTATATAATATAACAGTTGAACGGAAATAGTTTTTTATTCATTATAAAAATTAAATAAATCAATTTGGGACGTGTACAAGACTTTATTACAATCGTTCCATCTGACAGGTGCGGTTGTCGCGTATCTAATCTTGTTCACAATAAAATGACATTTCACTCTAAATGGCTGCATTTGTTCGCGAATTTACTTCCAATTGAATTTAATATAATAGGCATTAAAGTTTTTACGGCCTCTTTAGACGTGTTAAATTAAATTTTTACTTACTATAGTTGAGATTGTTTGTTTTTATTGCGTTAAGACGTGACACACACTGTAATTTGACATCTGTCTCTTTTGTCAAACCGTAAATTGATAGAAATCTAATTAGTTCAATACCAAACTAGGTTTCTACAAGTGATTTCTAGTGTTATTTTCAAGTTTTTATAATAAAAAAATCACTAATTAGTAATTTGATAACAATAAATTGAAATTAATGATTATTTTTGCCTAAAACTCATTTTTTATGTCGAAATCCGGATTTAATACTTACACTGAAAATTACGTTTTCCTTTATGTAAGGTTTTTGTACATGAATTCATTTAATATAATAATTTTAAATTTAAATTGAGTTGTAAAAAATTACTTAATATGATCTTCCTAATTTCTTTAGTTTATTATTTTTAAAAATTTTTACTTTACTCACAAATTATCAGTCATTCATTAACCCAGCTGATTCGTGTTTTCTTTATATTAAAAAAAATCAAAGGCAATACATTCACATTATCAAAATATTTCAAGAATTTCAAGGCGATGAAGTGATATAAATAATAAAGATTTTATAAAAGAAAGCTCATTAAGTAATAGAAACTAAGTGCCTTAATTACAGTGGATAAAACAATGATTACAATTTGTTTAATTCTTATATCTTTCCGATATGTACACAAAAAAGTACTTATCCCTCTACAAGCAAAACATAAATATTTCATGAACCCTTATATAAAGAAAGAAAATATGTTTAAAAAAATAACGTCAATTTAATACATATCATTTCGTTTTTTACGATTGTTATTTTTATAAACTAGATAATTCTTAAATATAGATAAGCATTTTTATTACATATTTCGTCTACACAATGCTACTTCTTTTCATTTAATATAGTATTTAATTTTATGAAAGACACTAAATAACGAGTAAGCAAATTGTGTAACCAACGCCATCTCTTGTAATTTTCTTAAATTACTTTACTCAGAAGTTAGGGCATAACTTTACTGCTATAGCCTTATTTCGTATGAAGTCGTGGATCTTAATGACACGGACTTTTTTTAAATTTCATACTAGATGTCGCGACGTGTCTCTTTTGTGTCTTATTATGGGAAATTACAAAAATAAGATTTAGCAATATTTAGTGTTGCCCACAGTCCAATAACAGTAATAAGTCAGTTATGTATTACTGACAATATTCTTTGATTTTTCTTTTTATTTATGTATTTGTATGGAAATTACGTATGTTTTAATCTGTATACAGTTACATTTTAATTAAGTTGGTCATTTAATTTTGTTAAATTTTATTGTTTATTCTTCTTAGAACCCCGTCTTGTTTTATTTAACTGTTATATGCTTTAAGGTTGACTTTTTTTCCAAAAATTCTATTATTTAATCAATTAAATCGGTTATGTGACAAGACAATGTTTTTTTGTGTTTTCTGAGCTTCCAGGTTGATAATAGTTCTGTTTTATTTTTACTATTATACAAAAAAAATATAATTTTTAGATCATATCTCATCGTTTTACCACTAACCGGTACTTAACTCTTTCAATTTTCGTTGACTAATGAATTGATGCGGTATTAAATTCTATCGAGCCTTAATTTAAAAACTAGATATTTTTTTAAGACTTTGTCAATGTTTTGAAATTTGAGTGCATGAGTTTAATTTTCTTTTTTGTATTTTATAGTACCTACTCTAAAAGTAAAATTTTAATATGCCAGTAAGTCAGCATAATAACACGAAATATCAAATTAACAAATCACATAAATAGGAAACTATATGCGTCAAATATTTTAAGCCAATTTTTTTATTACTTTTTATTTCAATACGGTGCAAATAAATAGGAACTGCTTTTTGGGAAAAAAGTAAAATAATTGTTTTCGAAAGAGTTCGTTTAATCAAGATAATTAAATTTATGCGATATACATTACTTATTATGATTGTACAAATAATTTTATTTTAAACGATTATTTGTTAATGTTACAGCTTGTCTTAAGATCCGAGATTCATGCTTCCAATGTCCACCTAGGTATTTTTAATGTATTAAAATAATTATATAAATTTCATAATTAAGTTCTATAAAGTAACGATTAGTTTGAAATACGTCATGTTTCGGATGAAAGAACTATTTTTGGGTATTATAGGCTAAACTTTATACCATATATACTTTATACTATATATTAGTATCATTTAGGTGTACAGAAATACTTCCACCGCTCCTTAGCTTCGAATAATATTTCTTCTGACCCTCACATATCGTGCTGTCGATGTACGTGAATTCTAGAAAGCAAATTATTATTTTGAACACCCATAGTCGTAAAGAATAGAGCTTTAAAAATATATACTTATATTATATAAATCTTTGATAAAATAGGAATTTGTTAAAATAATACTGCCTGTATTGGGTCAAGCATAAGCAGAATCTTAATCCTTTAGTATCCTTAACCTGTTTTACTTTTCAAATGTTGTTTGTAACATATATGTATATACTTCTTATATAAAGATTAACACGTATCCAATTGACTTTATATCTTCTATGAAGTTTTAATATCACTCAAAAATTCAAGTTTTATTATTCTGATAGGACATACATATATGCACTATTTTTTGAATATAGTTTCCTTTTACAATAATAAAAACTTTCACGGTACTCAAATCCATCAGTCTGTATAGTTACCATAAAACTTAATTTGAAGATAACGAGATCTAAGACTTTCGCAAGTATTAATTTATTTGAAATTACATAATATTTTCGGATTACTATTATTTTTAAGAACTACATTCTCTCGGCGTTGTGGTTACTTTAGAACCCCGTGCTCAAGATCATAAAATACGCGTAGTTCATTTAAATTAAATATACAAAATTTCGGTACTAACGTCCACGCTTCTGACAATTTACTTTATGTAAAGTGCACATGTCCTCGAATTCAGCGAGATAAGTTTCTTTATCATCAAATCCGCAGACGGACCCACCACCTGGCGTGCAGATCTTCAGTTTGTAGCAATGATACTGAGCGAACTTCTCGCGAATTTCTGGATCGTCTTCTAAAGGTGGATGCTGGTATTTTGGAAATTTTGGATTTTGGAATTTGGAATGAATAATCCAATATCAAAATGTCAATGTCTTTATACTCACGTTTGAGAGAGCAGTACAAGATAATAAACAGTATGTCATCACTGAAAAATATTAACAATATCTAGGTCTCAATTCATGTATTAATATTAATGAGTATTATTAAAGAAAAATAAGGAATTTTTTCGTGCTTAGATAATTTTATGGTAAAAAATAATATAAACTCATAATCATACCCGACAATATTTTTACATAACTACACATGATCACTAATAAAAAGGTTTATCTTGAAATGAAAGCATTGTAATAAGACAAATCTTTGTAATCAAAGTGAATTACGCGGTTGAACAATTTTAATATCCCCTGCAGAATTTCATATCTGTTACGGTAAAATCTGAAACAAAGAATAATTTAATAAATATTTTTTTCATGTAACTTGAGTTTTTTAATTATATTCGTCTAATAAGTTTTTACCGGATTCATACTTGCAGTTTTGCTTGTAAGCATCGCAAGAACTGTTGAATTTTATCCGTTTATTTTGCCTTTTATCCCAGCCGCAAACCTCAAGCCCATCTGAATGACAATATTTCGCTCGCCAACACCAATATTCATTGATAACAGCTGCTTTACGTCGACTCAAAGGATTCATTACTTGATGGTTGAATATCTTAGAAAAAAATGATTTTAGATATAAATAAAAATATCAACTGAATTGGAGTGAAAGATGTAAAGTTTGTATATGTTCTAGGAACAAAAAGCATCCTACTTTATTTTAATCTTTTGGTAATATTCAATTAAATTACTTAATCCTTGAAATTGCCTTTATTGTTTATGAAATCATGTGTTTGTAAGTTTTTTGCAAATAATATTCTTGTTTATAAAATAGCTGAGCAAGATTTTTTAAATTTTTTGTTAAATTAAACGAAAACGAGGAGCTGACGATTAACCTTTTGAAAAATAAATAATTCGTTACAGTTTTCCTCCGAGAAAAAAGAAAAGCTAAAAATTGAGAAGAATGAGGGAAAAAGTGGTGGTTGACGTACGGATTTATGGTTAATTTTCTCACAAGGATACAGTTAGCTAAGGGTTATATACAGAGTTTTAAAATAAAGCTATTTATTTTTCACCCAGACTGCGCTATGTATATTACTTAAATATACATTTAAATATAAATGACAAAGAATTAACATTACACATTATTATCAATTCATTGATATTCATAATATTATGTCAAATTCATGTTCTTTGAGAGTATCAGTAACGACCAAAAGTTTTTTATTTTTATGAAACCAATTTTAGTAAATAATTATATAATAGAGTCGTTTATTTTCTTGTTGGTTAATTGTGATTGTAACTTTAAAATTTTCTAAGGTATTAAAATAAAACATCGATCACAACAAATATAATTTAATCCAATTATTTTAAATTCTTGATTTCGGCTTAGGTTTCTTAGAATTTGATTTAGTTTTCGCAGATTTCTTGTCATCTTTGCTACGCTTTGTGTTTTCGCCTGTGACGTTTTGATCTTCAGCAGTAACCTGCTCTTCGTCATCACCGTTTTGCTTCACTTCTTCTGAATGTTTCTGTTTCGTTTCTTTTGCTTTTCCTTTCGGGTCACTGTCAGGAATCTTTGGTAAATCGTGGCATTCACTTTTATCGACTTTTACGTATTCTGAAATTGACATTATTCTTGATAACATCTATATTATATCACTTTATCAATTTATAATAGCCTATGGTTACTGTTACTATGGTTATGGTTACTGTTACTGTTGTTATGTTTTTTGCGAACTTAAACAATGACGACACAAAGTAAATAAAAATGAATAGAATTACATTCCAAACTCTATCAGCTGTTCTGACATTGAAAGATGTTTCTCAGAATGATCTATATAATGTATTCATTTCCACTTACTCTCTGATGTAATAATGGTTAACCATTCTATTCAATAGATAAAATGAAATAGATTGATATACATATGTACAAACTTCAAACATTCAAATTCAAACAAAATTGCAAATTTTTGCCTAATGGATATAGTCAACCAAGGAAGTCTTCGACTTATGCGGTATGAATATACATATATGTAGTTATATACACATCCTCATAAATTCCCACATACGAGTATAATAGACCTAATGGAATGGATTAAACTAAAACTTTGACTGATTTTAAGTCATGGCAGCGTTAATAAGCCTGATCAATAACAACCTCAATTCTCCACCTAAAAAGGAAACTGACTACAAAACTACATAAACCCTCTTTACGTCTATTTGACGGTAGCTTTGCAAGACGGAAGTATAATATATACGAAAATACTATAAATCGATTTTCTGCGAGAAAGGTTGGTATTATCTATGAGTTTCTATCAAAAGAATACAACGAGGACCTTCCATAAGGTATCATAATCATATGTACCTACATATATAGCTAGACAATGATCGACTTACCAGCTTTCTGCAAACAATTATACTCCTTGATGTCACAGGAATCCAGAAATCTTCTTACATTTCCTTTCTCATCCCGACCACATTTCTCTTTACCGTCATGAATACATATTTTTGCTTGGTAGCATCTCTGGCAATATTATATTACAAATTTAAATAAAGTCCCGTTTATCTTCTGAAGGGGCACAAGTTAAATATATTTCCGAAAGCCACCACTAATAATAGTAAGTATTAAGAATATAGGAATTTATACCTTATGTCATGAAAATTACACCTAACTAATTAGAAAATCCAACGCACGTCGGTAACTTAACGGAAGACGAGAGGAAAACTAAGAAGCTTTAATTTAAATCAATCAACATTACTTACTTTGTCAGCAAACGTTCCGCTCAAATCAAGATATATAATAGATATGGCACCTAAAAGAATACATAATATATAGAAATAGAAATTCGACTGATTTTACAATAGATTTTATTAAACTTACCCCATAACAATAATATTACTCGCATATTGTTGTATAGTCGGTTTTGGACTTGTATTTCTTATCAAAATATATATTTTATTGGTTACAAATCATAAAATACAATGTGTAACCATAAGTATAAAAATAAACTACAAAATATATTAAAGTTTTTCACTTGTATAGCTCATGAAATGTACTCAGGATTTTTCATTGTTTTACTAATGGTTGCTATTTTTAGAACTACTTCGGAAAAGGAAAAGGTAATAAAAAAACTAAACATATTTCTTAAATCATAACACAAATCAAGTGTGGCTTAACACAAATTTTAGAAGAATTGCCTAAAAAAAACAAACTTACCGGTTTACATCAGGATCTGTTAAAAATAAAATTCCATTTATGTAACACTAAATACCTCAGAATGACCAATTTTCACGCATAAAAATTAATACGAAAAATAATTCATATATTCAGAGAAACTGTCGAAATTAAAATATACACAAAAATATTATATAAACACATACAATTTACTTTACAATAAATAACACATAATCGTATTATTCTACGCATAAAGATTTTGAGAGAGTCGATCGCAGTTTATTCATTTTTTAACAATATTTTATTTCAGAAACATTTTTATAGTCAAATGTACCAAACCAAATATCTCCTTAAATTATTCTCAAAAAACAATAACATGGAGACTCGCTAATATTTTTATTTTATTGTCTATTTTACCTATAGTAATATAATTAAAAATTCGTGAGCACAGGTTTGTTTTGAAGCCTCTATTTGTATACACAACGGGAAACGACGATGCGGTTTAGAAAAGACCACGAGAGAAGTCAGATGGTTTATTGACAAGTGCGATTTACTGGAATTTAACTGTGAATATAACAAAGGTACGAAATTATTTATGAACCACAATTACGAGTCATATAATATACCTATATTCAGTGATATCTGATAACAAAATGTTATTAATATAACTCATCTTCATGACCAAATGTTGGTATAAAGTGGATTCAAATTTTTTACTGTTCCTCATCTTCTTCTTCCTGGCAATTTCCCAGCTTTAGCCAGGGTCTGTTTTACATGTTGTTAATAGTTTTAGCTAATTGTTTTTACGACCGGCCGCCTGCCTAACATCAAACCTCTTTGGGAATGTATTAATCAGTGATGTCTAAATACTCTTAGAAAGTACATATGACTGGGGAAATCACATTGGTACTTGCCAGGACCAGGATCAAACCCGCGCCCTCGTGCATGAGAGGCGAGCCTTTTAACCACTAGGCTACCCCTTACTAACTTTTTACTGTTCCTCATCGTTATATACTAATAAACTTCAGTTATTTTACTTTTAAATAAACAGAAAATTTATCGAAACCAACTTTTCATAATATAAGTAATACTTTTAATTTTAATTTAAAAACCAAAATAAATAAAATCAATTCTTGCGTATTTTTCTTCACAGAATTTACTATAGCGCGACGACTAAAATGTCGTCATGTACCACCGTTGTAACAATAGCTACGGCATCATAAACAATAGACACCTAGAATAGATCAGGAAGTTTAGATTTAGAAGACAACAACATACTTAATTATGGAATAACTATCACTCTGAAACATTTAGTCATTCGTGGAGCATCGATCTAGGAGAAAGTCTTTTGGAGAATTCAAATATGAATCCTACAATAACAAGTAACGTGATCATTCTATTTTCTTAAAAGCCTTCGAATATTGATTTATATAATATTGGTATATTATTTTCAGTGGCCTTTCTTTTTGGTATATTTGCCATAGCATTTACACACGGACCGCCGCAAGAACGCGATAATGAAGACATTGCTATGGGGCGGAAGGTAAAAAAAGTATGCACATTTTTTTATCATACCATCTGTCATTGCTGTTCTTAATCGCATCAATCCCAAAAATTACTCAGAACGCCTACAAAGAAAGCATGTAATGTTAATAGACATATTTATAAACAAATGTCCACTAACAGCGTAAATATAGAAATTGTCTTATTTAAGATAGTCCAAATAAAAACTCGTATAAACTCTTTACTTTAACGGTAACGTAAGAGACAATATTGGAGCAGAGCACTTCTTGCCCAACTAGTAGCGAAGAACAATTTTGCATGAAAATAAATTGTTTTAAAAATTTACCGTCTATCTTCTTGTATTGTGTACGGATTGTTAAATTCTCATTGAGTAATTTTTATAAACTTTTATACGTTTCTTACTTGTTTATGACAAAAACTCTCATTAACAGATGGGTCCCAAGTGGTGCAGTATGGCGAAGGTTTGCAATCATGATCGTGTGCCTATCTGCGGCATCAGCCACGCGGGTGATGTCATGGGCTTTAGAGATCTATGTGACATGTTTGATTATAATTGTATTAGACGTAGAAGTAAGTACTCTACTTATTATTATTCATTTAATTATATTTTTTTTCATATAAATTTCAAAGCCATTTCATGTTTTCTAGTCATAAAATACAATAACATTGCTTATTGGTATTCGATATCAAAATTTAAAATACAAACAGTCGATAAAACAATTCTTGTATTTTTTTACAAAGATACATATGTAAAATTTTCTTGTATTTGTATTACAAAGATATGTCAAAGTCAAATTCTAGAGCTAAGCATCTCAATTAAATAATTATAGATACTTAATAACTGAAACTAATATTTTTCGGATATACTACATGACTTTATTTTTTTTTTTTAAATACAAACTCTCAAGGTTTCCGCTACTTTTCAGCAACCGTCATCACGGTTACAAAAATAAAATCGCGTAGTATATCCGAAAAATATTACTTTAATTTAAAAAGGAAAAAACTCGCGAAAATCTTAGATCTCTTACACAATAATATAAATCTTCTCTAACAAACAAAATATTAATGAAATAATTATAATTTCAGATTACAAACAAACCTCTTGCCCAGAAGATAAATCCGTCTTGACTGTATCCCGACGTCCAACAAGCAGCTTCTATGACGACTAATTCAATATTAAACTCTATTTATATTATTAATATTCAGAAATTATTATACACTGAAATGAATTTATATTAACAATATAATAAAAAATATCAGTTTTTATTTATTTTCTTAATTCTTGAAATCCCTTGACTTAGAGCTTTCTATAGAACTAAAACAATGAAATCGTTTATTTGAATATATTTTATAAACTCATCTCAGAAGTAATATAAGCCTCTATTTATTCTTATTATCTTATTGATAGAAACTCAACACAACTAAAAATACCCTTCCATTTACATTTTAATATATGTAAAAATGAATTGCTTACTAATATGTCAATCATTCTGTCGCACTTCAGAACACGGAGATTTATGGCTTATAGGTAAACTCCAAAAAAATAATTAAAAAATATATATTTATCGATTGAGGCAGTACGAGGTCTGCCGGGGCAGCTAGCTCCTCATCATTTGTATTTTAAAACATAAATTATGTTCAATAAAATTGTATTCATCGTAGAAATATAGGATTAGGAAAAGCAACGAAATTGTTTAAAATTTTATGACTTACTAAAAACTATGAAGCAATATTTCTTATAACTTTTCCTTAATAGGAACCTATTAAAGTAGGTTAAGGATGTCATCGGGGTTAAGAGGTTTACTTTCATAGAGCTTTCTTCTTTCCTTTCCAACCTAGGAAAAAACTTGACTATTATTTAAGAATAAAAAATAAAGCATATTATAAGTGAACAAGCTATTAGTTTTGCAAGCACTATATTTGATTCCGAATCTACATACATTCCATTATGAATTAATTAATAGGCACTAGATATAAGTAAAATAAAATGTTCACAAAAAGCATGACAAAAATCAATAAAATGAAAGAAGCTTCACGAAAATATAGAATTAAATACAAATGAGAAACTGTCGATTAGACTACAATAATGAGTATTAATAGTAAGGGTATTAATAGCGTATCAATTTTATTAAACATTGTACACAGGATAATGTTAAATTTCTACAATAACCTGGTCTTCAAGGAATTTCTCAAATACAAACCCAAACGCTATTGTGTAGAAATTGTTTTGTTTATAAACCCCTGCTACGATCTATTCAAAGTACTAATTACTTGACAGTGTGATAGACAAGACCTACAAATATAATATACAATGATTCGATCGATCGGTAGATTGTTTTGCTTCGTGATGTCATTTACTGTAATTGAATCCCATGTAGTTGGTGATAAAGCATATTTAGTAAGTACTTTTATTACTATCTATGAATTTTTCTATACATTATTAAGACAATGAGAACTGTAACAGCGTACAAGCATTGTATGTATATTTTTATTTACCCTATAAATTACTGGAGCGATCAAAAGGGTTGAGGAACAAAAATAAGCTTTTTAATTTTGTTATTTGCTGTCTCTTTGTCTGTATACTTGAGTTTGCTCCCGGGACGTCCATAATCTAAACATAAAAAGACCTTGGTTCTTCATTCTTCTATTTACGCTTTTACAAAATTTCATTAAAATCCATTTTATTGTTGTATCCATCAAAACGTAATTTAGTTCATTTTTTTGGTAGGAAAAAGTATTAAAATATAATATTGTTTTATATTGCCTATATAAGCTTTTTTTATAATTAAAAACACTATGTTCCACCGTCTGTGCTCTGGAAATTTCTATACAGGTAATCGGATTTCAAAAAAGCATTATTATCTTTTTACAGTCACGATTGGATGGTTCTTTTTAAAATTATATAAGCTAATTTATATGTAATATTCGTAAGAGTCTTTTATTTTATTTTGAAGTACATCTGAAACTTCAAATTAATGTATAACTCCACATAACCAAAAACTTTTGAATGAATTTCTGTTTTCACATAGGTACATACGTGTGAATGAATCAACCGAAAGTAAATAACAAAAATAGAATATTTTTCGAGAGAAATAAAATGTCTATTTTCTGTTTCAGACGGAGTTGAAAAAGCTTTGTGAACACGCATACATATGTTTTCATGATAACATAATAATATGTGGCAAATCTGTGAATGAAGCGAGGACTTTCTTAGATCTTTGCGATTTATATGAATACTCCTGCGAATACAATATGGGTACACTTCCTTCATAACATAATTATTTCAAATCAATTAATTTATTACATTTGTAATCTTTTTTTCAAGTTTTCAGACATGTAAAAGAAGAGGAAGGTGTTTGTCCGAACCCAAAAGAGCTGAAACACAACTTCGGATAAAGAAAACGGTTTAAAAAAATACATTTTTATTTCACTAAATATTATATCAGATGAACGAGATATAGGACATTTGTTATCTTCAAAATTATTATAATCATAAATAAATGTATGTCGGACTTTGAATAAATAAATTTATATTATATATGGAAATTAAATAGAATATTTTGTTGCTGTTTATTCAAAGAAGCGGCTTGCAGGATGGTACAAGAGAGAAATCTGAAAAGATATAAAAAAAATAAGCTATATTCGTATATAGATACTACACCCGCTAAAATATCAATTCAGCAATTTCATTTATTACAAAATAATCTATTAAAATTCAAATATCTTACTGTATTTCCAATAACAATTGACTTGCAGCATGTGACAGACGTCGTCAAATTTCCCATAACCAAAATTATCATCGTATCCGCAAACAGGATTCATCGACCTCTTACATAAAATGGCCACGGAACACCACGGGCTAGCTTTGCCTTTCCGATCTTCGTCCGGAACAGTTACTTCGCTTCCAGAACGACGAGACTGAAAGAAATCATAACTTTTATACTATAATTACATCAAAGTAGAGTATTGTGTAGACTTAATTGCAGTCATGGAGAAATGAAAGATGACTTTGCTTGAATACAATGTTTATTACTAAGAAGTAAGGTTCAACTATTTTGTGTCAATGTTTTGCTAATCGTCCAAAATCATAAATTGCTCATACTGTACACATGGATATGTATTCCACAGTAAATATACATGTCTGTAATAGATTTCGATCCTACATTTGATTCTTTCAGATGATTAGCAAACTGAGATAAACTATGCAGAACTAAGAACTGTTATTTTCAACGACTGCTATGGGCTCTTCGTCATTCTTCAGCTCAGTTAAAACGACATCCTTAAAGAATAATCCATAAGTTGGTATTTTTCTTGCAAATCTGACGACTGGATGTTCCGTTGCATCTGTAGTGCCACTTCGTCTTACTTTATTATGTACCTCAATTTTCTCAGGTAGTTTTGGGCTTTCCATCTTGTGCCCTAGGTTTTCCACGAGCTGTTTAGTTACTTCCTCATTAGCTTCTGCCAACTTAACAAGATGTTCCAGAGCCTGTGTATGCATAATGAGCTTGTCCTCTACGAAATCATTGAATTCTTTTTGTTTTGTTTTAGATGTTTCGCGTTTTGATTTTTTCTGGTAAAACAATAGCATTGCTTAGGACCAACAAATGGGGATTTGAATGTATATCTTCTACGTTAATATATATACATATAGTTATAGTTATAATATTATATGACAATCCTTACCATAGCTTGTTCCGTGGGATACACCAATAACTGTTCTAATTGCTCAATGGGCTCCTGGTAGGCGAAATGGATGAAAATGAAAAATGACACTGAAATAAATACAACATTTATTTACAATCTATTTTCAACTATTTTACCAAAGAAAGAGAATTGGGATTTTTACCTAAAGTTAATATTCTCATCGTGTCCTTTTGTGATTCCCGACTCCTCTGAAGTAAGTGCCATTGCAAAAAAAAAACACTTATAGTGTAGATAATTTAACCTTCAACCAACTAATCATGATACTTGGTAGAGATTTTTATGAGTTACTATTCAATTGAAGAATCTATTTTTGTATCCAATTAAAAAATATATTGAACTGACGACCAGTATAGGATGAACCTAACAAATCTTTCTAGAAATATCATTATACTATCGCATATTGGTTTTAATGGGATGATCCAACGTCAACTATCAAGAGTATTAAAGCCTCCAATATATCTTGACCTGATTTATAGTTATTAAATTCAGCATGATTAATTTTCTAGCTGATACGCACCTCAAACAGGAAATTGCACTGTTAAAGCTGTCATACGCTTGTTCAATGTGATTATAGCTGACTCATATACAGGGTGACTGGTGAATTACTATCGATATTTGAGGACGTGATATTTGACGATCATATATGACGAAATAAAAATTAATATAACATAAATATTAATAAACTTCTAAGTACAGTTAACCGAAAGTTATGTAATTAATTACGCATCGTATGAACACCCTACAGATTAGGTATACACACACACTCACACATACGCGCGCGGCGGCGTGTTGTTGTATCAGCACGCGGCCGCACGCGTCCACACTAGGAACACTTGGAACGTGTACACACTTTATTTATTTATACGGAAATTTGGTCAAAAATTAAGTACCTATTTTTTTTACATAATTCGAATGAGAATCATGTACCGAGTATGCTCCTTAAATATTGATAGTAATTCACCAGTCACCCTGTATATATTGAATTTAAAAAAGTGGACTTTTTATTTATAAGGCTATGACTTCTTGATTGTAATTTCATACTAATAGGATAATGATTATATAAAATTTTACTCGTTATATTAGTTTGGTGTTACCCATCCTTTAAAAATAATAATAAATTTTAACCAAAAATAAATAAAACAGTCTATTTTCGGTTTCGAAGTCAATCAGAAAATAGTTTTTAAAATTTTATGAACGACATGAATTTTATTACATAAAATAATTTGTTTCGTGAAAATGAAGTTATAAAATTTCAACAACAATAAATCCGATTTTGAATTTATTTTACGCACAAATACCAACGATGTTATGCCAAACGTGTTTTGATGTAATCTCGGAATAATACGAACATATTTATACTTGATAATGTTACATTATGGTGATCATATTAGGTAATACAAATTTATTTTTAAAGTGATTAAGATCGTTTATTTATATGTTTAGTTTATATTGTTTATATTGGACGCTACGTCATTTAAGCTTTTTTATATTATAAAGCAAAAAGACAAGAATCAGAAATGTTAATGAAAATACTATTTTATTTCTGTGCTTTGTCTTTTTTCTTTTAAGATTCTGAGAGTTTCTTTTACGTAGTCCCCTGAAGATGTTTATTGTTTATTCATGACTATAGTATACATTATTATTTCTATAATTTAACATTAATAATGAATGTGCACTTTCAGCCTTGAATACAATTATAATGTTAATACAAGTCGTATCACCTCACAGCGAGGCCATTAAGGTAGAGTAATTATAATATTTTACAGTAAACTTTAATCTTTTTCCTAGATTCAAACAAGCTTAACTTAAATACAGCTGAGTTTTTTGGATTTACTTCGTAATTTTATAATTTTTAAACCAAACTGTCTAATGATTCACCATTCTGGCGAAAGTCTTAGTCAAGATCAATACCTTAAATTGCCATGTTAAGTATACAGTTAAAAATATTCTAGAATGAAGAAGAATGCAAGATAGCGGACTTATGCGTACATGACAAAGTCCCGATGTGTGGGATAGACTCTTGTGGGGAAATGAGAACATTTATTGATACCTGTGACATGCACGAATTCAATTGCGATAGTAAAAAAGGTAATATTACAGAAAATATACGTAAATTGAACAACATCATAATGAAGATATTGGAAATATTATTATCGGTTACAAGTTAAACGAATGGAAACAATAGAATGTCCGTAAACTTTTACGTTTTGTGTAGAACATCTTGATACAATAAGGAAACAACTGAACATTATTGTACGGTACTTATTTCATTATTAAATAACCAAAATATACGTTGATATGACAATAAAGTTCTAAAATGCCATGTTATCTCGAGAAATATCGTAGGATAAATCCAGCTTCAATTACCCTTTTATCACAACCAGTCTAGAATTTATTTTAAGAAGAGTTGTAGTGAATGTTGAATTTTTTCTTACAGATTTTAAACAACGTCCCATTCACGAATGCTGGGTGACGTGTAAAAGAGGAAGATCTTTCAAGAAGCCAGAATATCGCACTGATTGTAACTTAAATATGAAAAATAGATTATAACTTGATGAAATAAAAATAAATATTTTAAAATTAATAAAGTCCATGTCATTTAAATTCGTTTCATTATAATATTCTTAGTAAATCCAAATTCTAATTAAAACTGTTGTATTCGAGGTTTTGTCTTATTACTTACTGCTTTTTTTAAATTTCCGGTCATCCGGTATCATTACCGGTAATATCTAAATTACTTTAATATACAAGTTGTTTTATCCATTTGATTTAATGTAAAAATAATCACAATCGATAACAAATTTATTTATATTTCACACTTCTTGCTTTACAATGAACAGTTTTTTTTTTTTTTTTATGTTAAAGGTGGCAAACGAGCAGACGGCCCACTTGATGGAAGGTGGTTACCGTCGCCCATTGACATCCGCAACAAAGATGTTGCGGATGCGTTGCCAACCTTGTTTTATAGGGATAGGGAGGGGTGGGAATAAGGATATTGTAGGAAAGGGTGGGAATAGGGAAAGGGCAACCGGCTCTCTCACTCATCGAACGAAACGCAGCCATTAAAGGCTACTTCACGCCGATCTTCTGTGAGAGGGTGGTACTTCCCCGGTCGAGCCAGCCCGTGTTCGAGCTGTAGTAACTAACCACAGCTAAGCTCTACCACCTAAAAAACAGTCCCATAAGATAGTTCAAACAATTTCAAATTGTCTCTTGAAGGATATTTTTGTTCATTTCCTTTCATATATTTCAAGAAATAAACCATGCTTTGTAATGTTTTACAATACATTTTGCGAAGATCTAATATAACTCATTACATTAAGAATATTTAAGTCTTTGTATTAAATACATATTTTGAATTGTTGTGGATAATTCATTTATATATTGACATATTACCTTTATCTTAAACAAACGAAAATAGGTATGGGCCAACAACTAACAATTAATATAAATATCACACTCTAAATCTCCTCATTAAATAGTTTACCTATCAAATTAATATTGATTGAATCATTAAAACTAAGTTTCTTATTAAGTACTGAAATGTATTATTATGAAATGCACTTTTGTTTTTTTTATAGTTTTGCTGGAAAACATAGCTCTCGGTGCAAGTTGAGTGGACCAACCTCAGCTTATCGGTGCCGAACAGTTTTTCTGGATAAGGGTCTGTTTTCGAGTCCTACAATTAAAATTGGTGGTCCGATCTAAATTTTTTTATAAAAAACACCCCAGCTAACTGCTCTATCGAATATATAACCTTGACTCGATTGGACATTCGGTTGCTTAAATCATTTCCGTGGATGAATGACTTGAGTCGCCAGTATAACTTTCAGTCGCTTCTCTCGCTTCGTTCGCTTCGTAACAGAAAAAGCAATAAGTTTAAAAAAACAAATGAAAGTATCGCAACATATCGAGAGCACTTTAAATGTATTACCCACATATTTTATAAGCTATAAAGTTTGAGTGGTTAAATCAGTATCGAACATGTTCAAATACTTTCGAAAAAAACCACAATGATAAACAAAATACAATATATTTTAAATTTCATTTTATTAATAAAACGATGTCAAGCTCACGTCGACGGTGCGAAGGTAGGTATTAAATATTTAATGAAGTTTGCATCTAATCAGTTAAAGCTTCTTTGTAAGTAACATAATTAGTATTGTAGTAAACCATTAGTACTATGAATATTCATTAAAAACTACTAATCTCTTTTAAACTATTTATTTATAATGTTGATATTATAAGACGAGATAAAATAAATTAGATCTTAAAGCTACTAACAACAAAAAAACTTAATCTATTTAGCTCATGTCTTGGTTATTTTCTTAGTACATTTTTTCTTAGAAGTTTCTTACCATTTTTCTGTTAATCTTTTATTTATTTAGTAATTTGTATTCATATTTCATTTGAACATTATTTCAGTTGGAAGAGGAATGTAAAATAGCTGACATATGTCGTCACGATCAAGTACCGATCTGCGGAATCGACTCTTGCGGAGAAATGAGAACCTTCATAGATAACTGTGATATGCATGAATTTAACTGCGACAGTAAAAAAGGTAATTACGATATCAAATAAAAACTTCACTTTTGCATATATTTGCATACGCTTTGCGGTCCTATTATGTAGATTCTTGGATCAATAAATGTGATAAATAGTATTAATGTTAAAACGAGTAGTGCACGTTAAGAAAATGACTCATTTTCTGATTACTGATAACAAACGACTTCTGACTAGACGTCTGTTACTGAGTCAGACCGTCCAGTTATATATGAACCTGATAACTTGTGAAATATAAAGGGATAAAGCTGAAATTACTTTCCCAGAAGTATCTAATATCATTGGCTTGGAGACACCCACGCCGGCGCCAGTTTAAATTCAAGGCTAATACTTTAGCATCTCTCTTATATATTATATTATTTATATAATACTCTACATCGATTCCACTAAAACCTAAAGTAGAACATAATAATGTATAATACATTTTCCTTTAACAGGTAGAATACAATTAAAATATAAATGTTTCCAATAAAAACAGATTGTTATTAAACTTTACAAGAAAACTAATATCAGGCTTAAAACCTTCAACTTCTTGAAAATAAATGCGTAACATATTTTAATTGTTTATAAAAAAGAAATTATTACGAACGAATCATCAATTAAATGTATCAGAAACAAGAGGGAGTGAGTGGCAACTTATAATTATAAAATGTTGTTTTGTTTATAGATTTTGTCCAAAAACCTGTTCATGAATGTTGGGTGACCTGTAAACGCGGAAGGAGTTTTAAAAAAAGTGCTTACGGAGCTGATTGCAACCTGAAAAATATGGTTTAAAAGTAAAATAACTTAATAAACATATGAACAATAACTACTCGCTTGCATTTATTGTTCGAGATCACAGTACAAAAATTATTATAATATATTTAACACTAACATTACAAAAAAATAACAATAAATTACTTAATAAAAACTTTTTAAAATTATTCAATTCCTACAATTTTGATATTTTTAATAATCAATACAATTCCGAAAGAGAGATAACTGTTACAAAAGCTTACTTAGAATTTCACTATAAAATTATAACACTTTTAATTACATTATGTAATAAATTAATGCCTGTCCAAAAAACCAGCATTTTTTACGATATCGTATATCCTTTGACGTGGTATTTTCTCAGCCTCTCTTTCAACAACTTGCATTTCTTTTTGCGTGAACCAGGACTCTTTTGCCAGACCGGCAGCTATGGCCGGGTTGCTATAAAAAGCGTGTGATTTCAATAATTGTGGTGGCAATTGGGCTTCGCTAGCAGCATTCGCTTCAACTGCTGGGTGGGAATGTATAACAGGGGAAGGCTGGGCATATTCTACCCCTGGGGCGTGTAATGGCTGGGCAAAGAACAACCCTGGCCTGGCTTGTACCAGCGATAGAATGGCGGCGAGAATAATTACCTTCATAGTGATCTGTGGGAATAAATGAGGATTGATTATATTAAAAAAAATCATACATCACATTATTTGAATCAATTATTTACTCTAATTTAAAATTATTATAGGTAGGCTATCATAAAAATCACTTCAGTAGGTTTTGATGAACAGACTAACTTTAGCTTAACCTAATAATTTTAATGAACAATATAAATATTGTATAAAAAAACACTTCATCAAAATAAGGTTATCAAAAGGAAAACTCGATACAAAAACATTAATCTTAAACAAAAGGCATTAACCCACAAAAATCACGTTTAAAGACTTTAAACAAATAATTAAAATTAAAAAACAAACTACAAGCACTTACAATAAAGTCACGGTCACTAGTATAACTGGCTGTACCGCTGTCGAGCTGCGATATATAAGCCTTTTCAACAACCTTCTGCTTATAACTTACTTCCGGTACATACATAAAAATGTACAGCATTAGTTACTACTAATTTAAAGCTATCGTTCAAGTTTAATAACATTATGAATAAGTTAAAAATTAATGTTTTGATATGGCGCCATGTTTGACTTAAATTTATTGTGACTCCTACTAGCATGTAGAACAAACAGTATGGAGAAATTAGAAAGAGTATTCATATTAAATAACATCCTTTTTCTATAAGAAATTCAGGAAATGACAATCGCAATAATGATTAGTAAGTATTATACAGTAGATTGTTCCTTCTTATTTTATTTCATGTCGCAAATAATACCAAAACTTTAGAGTTTATTACATAGGTCCTAATAATAGTTGTGAAATAAAAGAAAATGCCATAGATATGTAAATAACTTTTATTTTGTGTGTTAAACAATATAAAGTAATTTATTCAAATCTATCATCATTGTGTAATTACGATGTACTGTCAATAAAAATACATTCCATATATCTATCTATGTTAAGCTCACGCAGAAGTTTGCCTTGTCGACATAACATAAAGAATATTATACAATTATATATCTTAATTGTGAATAAATAAGATCTAAGATTATAAAACGCGATCAGAGCTTCCGCGCAAATGAAATATGGCTTCCTATTTCCGTTATAATTTATAGGAACGATTGATTTAGAACTACGAAGGCTGTAGAAGTCTAGGTGACTTTCATTGACCATTTTCATAACTGCATTGATATATTTATAGGTATGTATATGTAACTCTCGAATCTAAAATATGATTACTATTGCTATTTCATTTCAACTTAAATTATAAGGTTATAAAGTAATGATTTTTTATGAAGGTGATAATAAGTGAAAATATCGTCTAAAAGAAATAAAAATTGTAATTGTTCATACAGATTACTGACTTAATCGTATTATTTATTGCATTCTTTAACTTGAATAAAGGTACGCAATTGAAATATGTTTGTGGGAAACCATTTATTTTCGGGAAATAGTTTTGTGAAAACCGATTTTAACAAACTACACAATCCATGCTCTTAAATAGTAATCTTAGCTTTTATATATATTAACATAGACGAGACTTAATAATTAATTTTATTAATTTCATGTTTCTCTTGCACGTGACTATCAATTAATACCAAATATAATAAATACTACATATATAAAATATGGTAGTTTAAATAAGGAGTGATTTTTTTAGTGTTTTTTAAAGACACATTGAAAATTGTTTTTATTTAACTGTCAGAGTGCATCCAACACTACCTAATTCGTGTCAAGGTTAAGCGACGAAAACTCGAGTTGGCTAAAACAATTTGATATGCTTTCGAGATTTAATAGTAACTGTGATTAGTGAAATTTTGATGGATTTCAACAAATGACCGTACACTATTTATTAATAATGTTGTTGTGTAAACGTCATAAACAGAGTTTTACTTAGAGATTATGTGAATTTTTCTTTTGTTTGTTGAAATTATATTAATTCATATAAAGATTAGTTTTTTCTATTCATTTTTATTTACTTAGTATACACAGTTAAGTATAATTACATAAGATTTTGTAAACAAAGCACGTGATTCGGTAACAGAACGCACGTCGACAGAATTTGGGTCAAACCTTATTGCGAAATAGCGTCTTTACAAAGACATATCTTTTTTAGTTTAAATATTTTTACCTTCATAACTTAAAATTGTTACTGAATTTTAATAATTATTCTTTCGTTAAAATAACCTTTGATAAAAATTACCTACCCTGTTTTTATAAGGGAAAATTATTTTTCAAATTGAGTTAAAACCTTTATAAATTTTACTTGCAATAAACCTATGACCTTTAAAAAACATCAACATCAAGTAAATCTTTATTATTTTAACAATCGACTACCCACATACAAACGCCTACACTTATTTACATAGCTTTGTATTTCATTACGTTAATATTTGAGAACATATTCAATTAGGAACCCAATGCCCCCAGGATGAAAAAAAACATACAAAAATCATGGATATATTGTGAAGAGGTTTTATCCAGTGATATTTAGGTTGGCTATTGGTAAAGGTTAACTAATAATAATGACGATGTCAGGCATAAAAACTTAAGAAAGATATTCTATTAGAATCTGAGAATAAAAATAATATTATTACTAGCATTTAATATATAAGTTTCATTATACTAAATATCAAACCTAATCGTAATTTTTAATATAAAAAATATAATTTTTATAGCCGTCTAATTACTATAACAGGTTAAAATTAATATATATTTTTATGCAACATTCATTAAATGCCGTGGGACGGCATTTTAATATGAAGTACACGTGTATAGTAGAAAGTTACACGTGTCACACGGAAACATCTTAAAGAGTTTCGCGAGAATTTACTGGAACGTCTTTTTATTTGAGAAATGGGTTACTGGAACGACGTAAGAAGAGAAGGAATCTAAAGTTTATTAACATATATATTATAAACTATGTATTAAACAACTACTAATAATAAATTTGCTTTCATTGCATATTTTTTGGATTAAACATTTCAGTATTTATGTTCATATTCAGTTTAATATTTAATAGTACTAATGAACTGTTAAAAAATATATACTTTAAATATTTATTAATTTTTTAAAGGTTTTATATGAGTAAAAACTTTGAAATGTTTCTCAGACAGCCTTCTCAAGGTCAAGTTCAATGCAACGTTAGTTACCTTTCAACATGGTATTACAGATATGTCTGTAGTAAAAACTGATTTACTAATAAATGACAATATTTTATATTAATTGTGTAATTATTTTAAAGACAATTCTTAATTCTCAACGGTAAACACATATGAGATACTTCAACCCATACTGTATTATTGTCAATCTATTAATTTTGGAAATAAAAGGTATTTAAAATGTTAGGGACAGCCATTTTTAGAATAATCGTTTTACTTAGTATATCTGGTAAATAATTTCATTTACATTAATCTTATAAAATAAAAAGCATATGCCTTACATTTTCTGCTATGAAGTAAGTATATATTTCAGGGTTATAACAATTTATTACAATTACATTGTTAAAAAAATCAAAGAACTCGTATTTAATTATTGAAATCTAATAAAATATTAGCTTTCAGTAACGAAAATCACCATAACTCGTTATGGTTCCCAAAACGAAACGCATCATTATAATCTTCCACGACTTTTACTGTCCTCCGAGGAAAATGCGTTGTGTCTTTCAATATTTTTATCCTATCACCAAACTTTTCTCGAAGGATTTGAAAGAAATCCCTCGTTTCTCCTCTGACTGTAGTCTCCCACGTTTGTGGTCTTTTACAATGAGCAGGATATTTCTTGCAAGAAGCGCCATCAGGTGTAGGAATTACGTCGACATAGTCAACAGTAGTCTCTGTTGATTCATCACTATATATTGGACTCGATACAGTCGTCTCAATTGAGGATATGATATGTGGAGAACAAGTACATCCAGGTTTACTTGAAGGAATAACTGTCTTAGATGATTCAGTAGAAGTTGTTGTAACTGGGGATGTAGTGAATTCAGTTGTAGTAGTGAAAAGAGCTGTAGTTGTATCCATACAAGTACATATTTTTTTAGAAACAGTTCTTGGTTTAATAGTAGTCGTGGTCGTAGAAGTGATAGGAGTTGTTGAAATCGATTCCATTGTAGATGTATTAGATAAATTGCATGTACACCGTTTTCCAGTCGCAGTTGAAGTATCTATAGGCTTTGTTAGAGTTGTCTTTGTAGGTAATGTAGTGTCTGTAGATTCAGAATATGTAGTTGTAGTCGTACTAGGATTTATTTTATTTGTAGTTATATCTCTGTCCATACAAGTACATCTTTCGATTTTAGCTGAAGTAGTTTCAATAGTAGTCGTTACTTTTGAAGTAGTTAATATTGATTCCGTAGTGGGTACGTTACATGTACACGATTTTCCAGTGGAAGTTGAAGTGTTTATTGATTGTGTTTGAGTTGTCTTTGTCATAGGTAAAGTTGAATCTGTAGATTCAGAATATGTCAGTGTCTTAATTGTAGGAATTTCTGTTGTTGTAGTACTATCGGTGTCCATACATGTACATCTTTGGATTTCAGCCGATGTTGTTTTGATATCTTTCATATTTGTTCCTGTTGTAGGAGATTCAGTCACTGTGGTAGAAGAATCCGTTTTCTTGGATCTTGTGCACTCAGTTGCGATAGGGACTCTTGTAACATTATTTATAGTACTTTTAACAGTTGTTGTAGTGGACGGGAGGGTTACACTTGTTTTTATGGTAATTTCTGAAGTTTGTCCAGTTGTTATTGTTTCATTTATATCTTTGGTTACATTTTGAGGACATAGATTGTCATCGACCTTTAAATATACTGAGGAGAACATAATAATTAAATAAAGTTAGTAATATATAATGAATCTGATATAGAAGTAAATTACCTTTTCCGTTATCACAATTGTATTCGAACATATCACAGTCATCTAGAAATAGTCTATGATCCTGATGATCCTTGTTTAAGCCACAAATACTTATACCAGTGTGGTTACAAATGTTTGCCATTGTACAATAACTTAGTGGCTATTTCAAAATAAAAAAATGTAAATGTATTGTCAAATAAGATAGCATTTAATTACTTATAGGCTTAAATAGACGTCTTGAGCTAAAAATAGGCTAAAGTTAATATTGAAATTCTTACCTCTATATAATGATTCTCAATTTCATTATGAAATATGAACGTCATCATTGTCGCGTATAGAATATATTTCCATCTAATAGAAAACCAATCTAGGAAACAAGTCGATATCGTTGAAAATAAAAGCAATGAACATTTCATTTTCTTTACCCATTATGTATAGGAAATAAAATATTATCGTTGTTTTAAAGTATGTTTTCTTACACAATTTTCGAATAAGTTCTCAGGTATTTGATAAATAAAACGAATTCATATTAAAAATTTAAACACATTGAAATAGGATTAGAAATATTATATTGTTATATCGTAGAGATAATTCTTTTAGATTTTTCATAATAGTAAAATAAATACAACGTGTTATTTATTCAAATTCTATTTACATAAACGTACGAAATCTTAACAGTTTCACAATAATTTAAAGACAAACCTTCCGTTATTCTAAAAAATCAGAATCCTTTTTCTTATTTTCATTTTTTCTAATAACCGCCTTCACAACCTTCAAGAATATTTTTCCATTTTTCCTAATTGTAAATTTCTTTATTATTTTCGTTCTAGTTGTTGTAGGGATAGTTTTCTTGATTGTTTTCTTGGTTATAATTGCTGGAGTCATTGGAGGAGTTGTTTTTCTTTTTTTCTTTCTCCAAGTTGGTGAGTAACGTCTTCTGCCTTTCAACATACGTGCTGGCAGCGCGTTTATGGTGGCGACAGCATAAAAAGCCCTTCTTAGTCTTTTTGTTGTCTTGCTGATCTTTCCCATGGTATGTGTCCTATGATCTGGGCATGTAGGGATAGACGGACACGAAACTTGAGGTGGGCAGGGCTTAGCTGGTATGTTGAAGCAGTCTGAATAGTTTATAGGATAGTAATCTGAAATCATGAATCAATATGTTCAAAAATGTACAAAAAAATTCAATAAAATGTGTTTAATTTTATTAAACTTCTTAGCATAACAGATGCAAATTAACAATTACTATTTATATGAAACTAATATTTTTCTGATATACGATATACTCCCGACGTTTCAGCTACTTTTCAGCAACCGTAATCATAGGCATATGTTACCGACACGTCGGGAGTATATAAAAATTTCGAAAGTCTTAGATCTCATTAACTATCACTCTTCAATGTATTTGATCTCACCTGTTTCGTAATCACAGTTATATTCGTAAAGGTCACATTCATCTATGAAGAGTCGTCTACTGTACATGTCCTTTTCATTATCTGTTGCGCATTCAGGTATATAAGTATGATTACAGATGTCGGCCAAAAGACACCAATGGAGAGGCTGGGTATATAGAAATTCATATTATACACTACAGATCCTTATATGATCAATCATTTGAATAATTTGTGCGATTGCTCTCATATCACTGGAGATTGATTTAGGGTTTATACTGGCGGATAACTAAAACTAAACGTGTACTATTTGGTCAGAAATTACTGATGTGAAATATTAATTAAATAAAAAAACTATGTAATATGAGGGTTTTAAATTTTCTATTTTTAATGTAGAACCTATTTCAAATGAAACCTTTTTCATCATCTAAATTCTAAACGAACATGGAGTCACTTTTTTATTTTCGTTATAATTAAATGTATTAACATGTGTTTTGAAAAAAATAAATCAATTTGACCGAAATCATTCTGTTCAAGTTTTCTTTAAACAATATATTATTAAAATTAATAAAGTACACATTTGTATTATTTAAAATATAGGTACTAAAGATAAATCCTTTAATGAAAGGATTTGAAATGAAAACTGAAGCTGATTTGAAACAGACAAAATTTAACAGTTCAATAAACTTATGAAAAACCAATTAAAGAATATTGCGATGCTATTGAGTATAATCAGTGCAATTATAGTTTCAAATATATATATAATAGTTATATGATAAATTCAAATCTCTAAGCTTACAATCATTAACAAGTTTGGTAATGTAGCGTTTAGCTATATTATCTCAATGAGTTGTGTTTTAAGCGGCTTTCCGCGCTTCCGAGATTCAACAAGCTTATAATAAAATAAAGGCTTATTATCATTATTTACCCAAATGAAATGTTGAACTGAAGGGTATGGTATCAGTAGAGTAACTGAAATTCAATGGCATTATTACAAAAATATATATATTAAGATAAATTCGTATAAAAGATCTTATATGTGTAGAAATAACGTTTTAAAATTTACTATAATTTACTTGGAATAATAACAAAATATACCGATTATAATTTTACAAATGAATTTGTATATAATCTGTATTTAAACCTTACTGAAGTGGACACATAAAATGTGAAAATATAAGTCTCACCTAATAACTAGTTTTAATGGATTGAAATAAAAATATTTTACAAATAATTATTACATAAAAATTAATAATAAATAACGAAATATATTTACCTATATATAAAATTGCCAGCATTTCACGAATTCATAGTGTACTTTTATTTTTATTTCTTTATTTACATTCGATATTATTTTAAGAAAGTGTTCGTGTGTCGTAAGAACTCATTTTATCGATTCTATTTTATGAAATAAAGTATTATTTAATGCTCGTAAAAATTCTAGCAAAAAATATAACAGAAGTATTAATGAAAATTAAAAATCAAGTCATGAAATAAGTCTTTAAAAATAAACAAATATGTAATTGAATTGAGTCTTGACAAGCAATTTCCTAATATTGTGAGTAATAGAAAAGCACTTTGAATTTTTTTTTCTTTTATAAGTCATATCAAAATCAGAAGCGTTAAAGCCGCTTTAATAGTATCATAACATTACTACATATCGTTCTACAATTATAATACAAATTTAATTTGAAATATGTAAAAATATTGATATAATAAGTACATAAGTGATTGAATCTTTTGAAGGTATTTGACATTAAATACTCATTTAAAATATGTTTCCACAAATTTCTAAACTTCTATTACCAAATAGAATAATATTCCCATAAATTACACGATTCAAGGGCGTCGTTACCGACCCCATGAGTTCATATCTGAGGCCAATTGCTTAATATCTAAGTCTATTGCGAAGCCATTACTCTTCTTACGCGTGTTCATTTTATTTTGTTGAAAGAATAAATGTTATTACTTTTGTAACTGTATATACTATATAGTAAAAACATGTATGTTCTTATCTGGAAAGGCAACATTTTATAAAGTTAAAAACGCTATATTTATTTTTTTCGGATATTTCTCTAAAATTTTTCTAGGTAGAGAATATTTTTTTTAATCGCATATGCTTATGAAAACTGGTGGACTTTATCTTGGAAATCCGTTGAACTTTAAGTCACCAAGTTACGTTTAATTATTTAATTAGAGAAGAGGAGATCTCTGTTTAGTAAAGAGTATTAAAAAATACAGTCGATTATTAGTAAATAACCAAAGCATATAAAGTTTTCAACCAAAGATTTTTCGGTTAATTTATATGATATAAATAATATACCCCTTGAATACAAATATTATAATATTTTAAATTATTTACGAGTAATATTAACCAAGCATAATGGATTTAAGGATGTGTCTAATTTGTTGTTCTACTAGACAATCTTTACAATAACTATACTATTACCAATTTATACTCAATGCATAAAAAATTTAATTATTTCAGGTATCAAGAAACGATACAGAAAACTGATATATCACAATATCAAATATTGAGAGTTTAAAGTGTAAAAAAATAACAAAAGTGTCTTAGTTTCGGCAAAGTCATAATATAACGAGATCTTCTATCTATATTTTTATACATTATCTGACCATTTCTCATTGAATAATGAGTTTTAATTCTAATTTTCACAATTAATATGGAATATCAAAAATATTGCCTGCTTATTCCACTTTATATATTTTTTTCTCTTTTCATTTCCAATGTCTATTTAGGTAAAAGTAATTTTCATAATTTGAAAGAAATCTACTTATTTCTTTAGTTGACCTTTCACAGAACCAAGACAAAGAATTTTTTATCTACTCTTTGTATCTTCGCTAAAGTTAAATTAAAAAATGTTATTCGATAGCTCTTGATTTGCTAAGTACGTAGTTTTAAAACAATTCAGGTTCATTAAAAAATAATTAATTATCGTTAATGTCAAAAAGATACTCAATATTTTCTACATTATTATTACTTGAATAAGATATTAGCAGCATTATTTGTAGATCTCTTAAAGTTATTTATATGTAGTGAAAATTAATATCATTTGATCAGAATGGTTGTCGACGCGAACGTAGTTACGTAACACCTACATACCGAATTGATTTTTGTTCGGGTTCACCAGACCTAATGCGCATGCGTTAATATCCCAACACACACAAACTAACTAAAACACACACACATGCGCAGTTTCACTGCCTTTTAGCCATTGAAAAAATATCCCAACACACATAGCACTAAGATCTATTTTCGTAAACAAACTTTAAATGTATTTTTAGACCATTCGTACCTCTTAGGGAAAATACAGACGCGCCCTCTCCCATACAAATTGGGAAACATCGTCACGGAAGGTTTTCACTTCTGTCTGCATTTTCCTAAATTTTACATTATTTCGCATTCTCCATACAGTTTTGTCGTTTTAACTTAATGTGATATGTAAAGGAATTGTGTGTTATCTAAATAAGATTAAAAATCGAGTCCTTTTTGTAGGAAAGAGCCTTCTAAAAATAGCTTATTGGCCGATATACTTGTAGGGAAATCTCGTAAGCACCCCATTCATAAAACACATTCATTTGGTGCTGGGCAGTGGCGGTGCATAGGTCGGGAGGATTCAGTGAATGAACATTATCGAAAGCATCTGTGACTAGCTTTCCATTTTATATCTCGGATTTTTCGAGCATCTAAAACACACCAGCTAAAATGTAAGTATTTATTTTATTCTTTTTAATAAAAAAATATATAAAAATTTTATTTTGCAAATACAAATTCAGGAGTTTTAATAAAAAAAAATCAAATAAATAAAAAAATAATAATACATATCTATGATATAATGAAGTGCCATAACAGAAATAGATAATTCAAACAAGCAAAATTATTGGCTATTAATTCAATATTGTCATTTGGTGACATTTTTTTTAAGTGTTGCCACTCTATAGGTGTATGACCTGAAAATATCGATTGGATATTCAGGGTAATGGAGGTCAGCGTCATACAAGCTAGATTTGTACCAATATCGAGCTATTGGAATAATTTCATGATATTTGAAAAGCATTTCATTTTCCTTCTTCAATAACCAACTAGAGTAACCCCTTCTGTATAATCTAATTACACCACCTTAATCAGGGTTAAAAAGAAAACTTATACATTCCTTGGTCATAACCCAAGTTAAGACAATTACTTCTGTTTATACATAAATACTTGTTGGCTTAATAAATAACTTCTCATAATTACACAAATGATGTTATTAACGAGATTTGAAAAATATTTTAAACCTTAACATAAAATATATATAAACTTGTACTAAGATAAAATTAATTATTAAGTCTTCTCTAAGAAGATTATACATAAATTAAGTAAATAACAATTTAGCTTTAACTTATAGCAAAGGAAAGTTAGTGTAAAATCATTTATTTTAATTTTAATACTAATATCATAGTAAAACACAAGTAATTATATCAACCAAAAAATTAATTTATGAATTCTCTGCCCACCTTACCTTTAATAAACTGCTTTAGCAAATAATATTCTTTGTAAAATAAAGGGAAGAATTTTTATCCACCCTTAATGCTTCTTATGTTCAGTTTCATATTTTTTAGAAGGTTTCATTAAAGAATATGTATGTATATTTTGTTCTCTTTATTTTTTCTAAATTTGTATACAGTTCTTTATAGACCTATTGTACGTTTACAGTAACAAAAGGGAAGTCAAACCAAGATATACAAGAAAACACAAATTCAAGCTTCTAAAGCCTTTTACAAACTCTGTGTGGACTTTCAAATGTGGTATTCTGTGCAAACTATTGTTTTAGGAAATAATAATATAAATTCGAACTATGTACAATGAGATTTTTATGCAACTTTACTAATAAACAGACTTTTGTGTAGATACACATTTGTTATATCAGACAAATAAAATATGAAACGATATCATTACAAATTATAGCTAGTTATCATTATGATGTATAAAGACGTAGGTTTTGAATTCTTCTATTTTGTAAGTAGAATACACTCACTCAATACTTATATCATATCAAACAATTAATATTAAGCTTACTTTTCATAGAAATAATGTACTTCTACCGTGGTTCTTCTTCCCCCTCAAAATTATCAGTATCAGGTATTTCCCACATTTTTCCAATCGATAAGTGAAAGTATCCAGATACACCGACACAAAAAGTAATAATAATCTACCTACATCCCGGAGGTTTAATCTTAAATAAAATTGCTTTTAAGCAAAAACCATTAGACAATAGCTCTAAGAGACCTATTATATGATGAAGTTTTAGTATTTGCTACAACAACTAAATTCTTTTAATTTATTTTTCATAGCTCACATTTTACTTGTCGTATTTAAGTCAGTGGTGGCCTAGTGTTTAAAAGGCTCACCTCTCATGCATGAGGGCGCGGGTTCGATCCTAGCAAGTACCAATGTGGTTTTTCCAAGTCATATGTACTTTGTAAGAGTATTTAGTCATAACTGATTAATGCATTCCCAAAAAGGGGTTGATGTGAGGCAGGCGGCCGGTCGTAAAAACAATTAGCCAAAATTATTCATAACATTCACAACATGTAAGGCTAAAGCTAGGAAATTGCCAGGTAGAAGAAGATTCTACTTGTTGTATTTGCAATTTCGTAAAAGACATTTCGTCTTTATAACCTCCATTAAACAAATCTTTATTATAGATATATTAACACTAAAAATATCTTTAATATATCATAATACTTATAAGCTATAAGTGTTTATAACCATTTGTCAACTGACACCATTTATACACATCCTGTTAAGAAATGTATCTTCTTTGTTTATTTTATATTTTTATTGCTATTCTAATTGGAGAACTGAACTCTCACCGTCAGGGGCGCTTTTATTTAATATCGTTTGAAATGTTCCAGTAAATTAATTTGTAGCTCTATCTAACATAAAACTATCAGTAACTACAAATAAAATCAAGGTAATATATAGGTTTGTACAAAATGTTACTTGATTTGTACGTACATAACATTTTAACTAACTTGGATAAATCCTTCAACTTTTATTATTTTCTTCTTTTATGCATAATATTTGATCAATTACCTCTGGTAAAATGTTATCTTACAAAATAACTTATTAAGTTTCGAATAAATAAGTAACATCAAATAGGTATTAACTCGGAAATTTTAACACGAAATGTATTTTTCCAAAAACAATAGACAGTTGTCCAATATTAGAAAGTTTGTTCATTAGAGAAGAGAAGTTTATTAAATGAAACAAATCCTAGAGGTTTTTTAATCTACAACTGTTATTGAAATTGGTAACATAAAAAGTAATCCCCAAAAATAAGTTCTTATTATATTGAGATTGAAGATACATCTAAACTATTCTCTTATGTAAAAAATCTTTCATAGACCATCATAATTTGACACTTGTATATTAAAAACCTCTGATTTGCTTCTATCGTATTTTTGGTCTAAAATTGTGTCTAGATTATTAGTTACAAACAAAACCTAACCACATAGCCTGAAGTGCATATATATATCCTTACAAGTGCCATTCAAAATCTTCCTTACACTGCTATGCTGTTACGAAAGAAAAATTGGAAAAGCCCCATATTTAATTCGTTGTTTTCAAGGGTACCTAACATAATGTCACTAGACAAGAGCGTGTCTGACTTGGCAACAGACCAACTAGGACTCGTGAAGTCATTGAGGCAGCTGCCAAAATATTATAAAAACTATACAACCTTCTAACTGTTGAGCTCCTCAAATATTGGAACAAGTTCAAATAGAACAGCACTTAAACCAGATGTTTGATTTCAGATAACTTTAAGTTTGTACAATTTAATTTGGCAAAAAAAATGCTAATAAGACAGCTTTTTATTAGAATTATAATTTAAAAATACTTTTCCTTCAAAACAAAACCAACTCGTCGACACATTAAACCAAATAATTAGACTCTGCAAATAGAGAAAAATATTTTACATTTCTATAAAATTTGATAGTACGATAAAAAATCCTAGAATTAAAATATGTTTATTTTTATTTGTAAAAGAAATAAGAATTTAATATATTTTATTTACTTTTATAAACATTATAAGTGCTTTTACCTTGCTAATTCTGACATAATACACTTTTATAGAAATCGATGATAACTGTTAATAATATCTTTAAAATTCATTTACGCGTTGAATTCTACTACATAAAGTTCGCTCCTTTTTCATGCTTTAGCATGATTTGCATTGGATTTGTGGAATATTTTGCAAATGTCAACGTAGATAAAGTTCATACACATTTTAAAAGACGAAGTTTTCAATGTTATTAAAAACAACATAAGCTAACCTATACAGCCAATATCATTCAGACTATTCGTGATCAAAAATAATATTATATAATGAGAAAACAATACACTTTGTTGCGATATTTAAATAGGTCAACGCAAGTTTATTTATTCGGAATACACATTGCAACCATTGTTATAACAAAGGGAAGCCAATTATGTATATTACATTATGTACCAGACATTTATTTTTTAGTTTTAGTTTCCTACTAAGTCTAACTATATGTCAATATGTAAATCATAATTTGTTAAAAAGATAACTGTCGTTATTTACAACATCATTCTTGTTCAAACATCATTGAAAAGAAACCTATTTTTATTATATTTAATAACTAATTTAACTTAGTCATTTTCTTGGCATGACGCCATAAATATCTTGTATTATTTGTGAAGTACATGATAAACTTTAATGCAAATCTTTTATGTATAGGTATTTACTATAAGTCTTAAATGTCATCGACCAGTATTTGCTAGCAAACGCTTTTTATTACAAGTCTGTCTAGACTTCATATCTTCATCATTCTCAAGTTTTATTTCTAAGCGTTATGTGTACAACGTAAACGATTTGTGGTTTTGCTACTTAACTTTTTTAAGATATAGAAAACTAAAATAACTTTATAAGAATAGACTTAAATAAAAATATAACAATTCCTCAAATGATTAATGCATATAATACTTCATTTTTCATAGTTACTTCATTTAATTCGTCCTTCCATTTGAATTTGTATGTAACTGATTATAGCCCTCAAACATTTGTTTTATACATACATATTATGAAGTTCGAATAAAAAACCTTTAGGTTACATAATTTATTTTCTATATGAATAAAAAAAAGATATGTAATTAATATTAGATGAATAATATTTTTATATATATCAGGGCTACGGAAGGCGGGCTCGCTCCAAGTAGCGATGATATGCCGGTGGGGGGTCCTAAGACACCCCAGCAGATAGCAGCACAACGCCGCTTGCAACAGACGCAGGCTCAGGTTGACGAGGTTTGTATGAAAAACTATCTTTTACATCAACAAAGAAATAAATGTATGGAATGACTTCGTGACGTCATATGCAAGCATTCCAATAATAGTGTTCATATAAATTTCGACCTAATGGTATAAAACTTTACAGTTTCTATTTCACTGATTCAAGTAACGATCAGGTTTTATGAATTTTTAATATTTCAGGTTGTTGACATAATGAAAACGAACGTTGAAAAGGTGTTGGAGAGAGATCAAAAGCTCTCGGAACTTGACGACAGGGCAGGTAAATGTTTGCAAACATTCTTTTAATCGAATTTTTTCCAAAAATATTCCACATAATATAACTTCTATTATAAAATGAAATATCATTTTACTTACAGATGCCTTGCAGCAAGGTGCTTCGCAGTTTGAACAGCAGGCTGGTAAACTGAAAAGCAAATTCTGGCTGCAGAATCTAAAGGTTTTCACTTAATAACTTTGAATAATTATCAACCTTGATTTTATTATTAAAACTCATATGTTTAAGACATGTATAAATAATAATTTTTATTACAGATGATGATTATCGCAGCTGTGATTGGAATCATTATTTTGGCTCTTATCATTGGTAAGTACTTTATTTATTAGATACGTACACATTAGAAGTCGTTCTTAATTTGTTTTATTTTACATACAATAAGTTTTTAGACTAATCATGCCATTATTTTTTCTCATATTTTCAGCCAACTTTGTGTGAACAAGTTTCGGTAACCGAAGTTTAATTTAGAAGTTACTTGTTATAATATATGAATAGTAATAAAGTATGTTATTATTTGTTATTAATATTTGTTATTTTCGTTTAATTTTGGTAAGTGGGCAGTGTTGTTTCGCCTGTTGAGATATAACATGACACTTGTGGCTGAATGATTACAATTCGGTGTTGAATATAAATGTCATTCAAGTTCTGACACGGGCGCCATGTTGTTCTCGACGCACAGTGTGATTGTAATTATGTCAAAAATGACATAAGATTTTTTTTATTGAATTACAATTTAATCTGTGTCGGGCGCTATATGTTTGCTTTATTCTATATCTGTTCTAACTATATCTGTCTCTGGTGTTTATTTTTTCGTCTTGTAAACTTTACCCATGACCTGAGAAATTTACATCGGAGGTTTAAACTAACAAACATACTTGCAGTATACATTAAAATTTAGAAAAAAAAAACAGAAGTGAATAATAATTATCTGCTATTTGAGATTTTCTAAGTCCTTTATAGTAAATTACATCATTTTTCTTTTAATTTTCTTTTCCTTCATAACTGACTTAACACTATAAAAATCTGCCGATGTAATATCTCAAACATAATCACCTTTGTTTCGCATTTGTATTGATACCTGTGTCTAATGCTGCTGTCAAAATCTATATACAATTTACATATTATATATTAGCTCCTAATACTTACAAATATAATGCTTTCAAATATAAGCCCGGAATGCGATGCTTACCCTTAAATGACCCAAAGCGTTTTACGCTTTATCTACTCCTTAAATTTAATATATAAAATTTAAAAAATGTAACAACGACAATTGTAAAGGTCTCTGTTATGGCCGCTTTTAGAAAAAAACAAAATCTCATTATACCTCCTTTAAATTGTTTCCCTGTCTTGAAAACATTTTACAGAAACAAAAAATATATTATATAAACTTGAATAAAACAGCTTATTCACTTTATACACATATAAGAAACAAAATAAATATATTTCTTATGTTTTCTAGGTCTGTAAACATCTGTGGAATCGGAGCCGAGGTTTGTATGACGTTCAAAATGTCGTTATGAGTATTCTAAATTCAAATTAGGTTTTTTTTTATAAAAACACATTTATATAAAAAAATAATGAATATTTGAAAAAAATTTCAGGTACCTATTCCAACAGCAAATCAACGCCATCTCAGCAAAAATCACACAGTTTTTATAATTTTCATAGATTCTAGCGTTGTTAAATACTTTATACCGTAATCCGTAATATTTCTTGCTACACAAAAACTATTTTCGTTATGATACTACCTATATTTATAGATTTTATATCACTCGTCCTTTGAATATCCATCACTATCAACAGAGTTAAAAATTAGTGTATTTTTAGAAGATTTTTCTTTGTTAATTATATACCTTAATATCAACATAAATTGCTATTTGCTAAAAGTATATAATGACATAAGGCTTATCGAATATGAACCATATCTTGTAAATTTAAATTGTGTTCAATGATACAAACGTAACTGGATATAAAAATTTATTTTGTATTCGGACCAAGTTTCGGTATTAACCATATTTATTTTATATATCCTATATTTTTAATCTGTCCCCTTTTGGCGGGAAAAACCCGTGGGCTGGTTTTTTTAACAAACTTTTTGATACCTCTAGGCGATGACCCCAGACGTCTGCTTGTAGTAATCTTTGATAAAATGTATTTATTTGTTGCTTATAAATTTTTTATAACTATTTTAGACGTTGAATAGGTACATAGGTCGTTTGTAATGGTTTGTAAACTAGTCCATTTGTAGTTCGGATTCCTTTGACATCCATAAATTCATTACGCTTTCGAGATTGCAAGCATCGTTTTATTATAAATAAATATATTGAATTCATTATTTACATTCAATTTATTGTACGGCTGTTTGATGGTTATATAAAAATTTTAGCAGATAATTTTAATTACCTGTCTATGCTATCTTTATATAAATAATATATATATATGTTGTTACTCTAATATCACATGAGATAGTCATATTAATGTGCTTTATTTAAGATATCCGAAATTGTAATATTTTCGTCTGAGTGTATAATTGTATGTATAGCTTACTAGGTAAGTAGTAAATGTACAAAAATGCACGATTAAAAAAATATATCTTTGACATGTGTTTTTTAAAATAGTAAAGAATTCTACATCGCGTTCTTTTATAATATTATTTCTTATATCATATGACTGTAGATATATTTCTGCTTTCATATTCATAGTACACTTGAAATTGATTGTTTCATATTATTTTGTGAACGCGATGTAAAACTCTTTGAAACTAAATCGTTATTTGTAATATTTGATATTGAATTGAGTCGAAAGTACCAAGACGTAGATGGCCACTTGACTAATTTCAAATGGAAATGCCTTTTCATTTATACTCGGTGATAAAAGATATTAAGTACATGTTATAAATGATATTTTTTAATGGCAGATGGAATAGATATGGAGGCATAAATATATATATGAAAGAAACGGCTTTTATATTTCTAAACTGTCATTTAAATACTATGATGTAATGTTGCCATATATAAAAAATATGATTCAACCGAGTATAAGTGCAGATGTAAGTAAGTGGTCATATTAGAAGTTTATTTAAACTTATGCACTATGTTATTGTTGGATATAATAAAAATGTTTAATCGAATTTTAGAACAGTTTTGTATAGATATAATAACTACTTAAATAATACCTCCTTTTTTGAAATGACTACATCGTACAACACTAAACCGAAGATCAAACAACTGAAATATATATAAAAAAAATCAGACCTCAATTTAACAGAAGTGTTTAAATTTATTTATATTATGAAAAAAATATGTCCTTTCAAAAATCGAGGCCCGTATTCACTGTAAGGTAAATTCACAAATACACCACATATATGTTTTGTACTAAACATATATTAATAGGTAAAGGTGAAAAGTATTAAAAGTTGTTTTCAAAGAGGATTGCAGATATACATAACTGTCAAACAAAAATCTCATAACGTCAAATTATTAAAAAAAAAACTGTTTAAAATTCAATATTTAAGAGCAGCACACTTAAATTTTATTCCCAAAGTATCGAGCCGAATATCTTTTAAAAAAAACTATTTAATACTTAAAGTTAAACGTGTATGGAAACTCGTACTAATGATACAAAATTCTGATCTGTTCTTCCTCGAATTCGTTGTTAGACATAATATTGGAGGGATATAAGATGTGACTTGTCTCTCATACAAGTATTTAGAAGATCAATATATCTCTAACAATCTGAATAAACTATGAAGTAAAGAAACTGTTAATTCTTTTTACCTTTATTCGCTTTAAGTATAATATAAGTAAGTTCACAGTGTAGAAATATATATTACAATCATTTACGAATTAGATAATAAACAAAATTGGACTGTTCGCATTTTATTTTATATATGTATAACAAAATTTATGTCCACAGTATATCTTTTTAGTTAAATTAAATGTAATAGGAAATTTAAATATAACTTGTAACATAGTTCCGTAGATGTTTATTCACATTTGCATGATGTTTTAAAAACAATATTTATATGTGAAATTAATGCTAAACATAATTTAGATAAATGATGTTTATTCATATATTCAATAAACTGTATAGGATTAATAACTGATTATCAAATATTACAGTGTGTGTTTTTATTTATTAAAGTTATGTGTAAAACTTATTCGCTCGCATTTAATAATAGACGTATGCATTTTATTTTAATGAACCTAATTATTCATATTACAAACAATAATAATAAAAATGATTTCTATAGAATTTTAAATTATAACGTTTGGTTTAGTTTAGATTATTTAAATACTATGTGTGTACCGATAGAATTATATTGCTTCAATAAATTAAAGCGAATATAAATTTAAAAAAACAAAATCTCTTATTATTTATAAAAATTTAAATTATTGATTATTATCCTTAACAGATGAAAAAAAATCTTGTTCTATATATATTATCTGTGAAAAATATTTATAACTTAAACAATTTGTTTTGATACTCTACCTTAGACATAAATTTGGGACATTTATTGTACACTGTCCATAATTTTGTACATAGTAACGCTAAGTTTTAAACACTCAAATAATATAATCAAATGATTTCCCCTTGGCCAACTACTCAAGAGTGAAGTATATTGTAATGACAATTTTACTAATTAAATGAATACATAATTTCCTCGCGAGATAGGTAATTAAAGACAACTCCAATGTTGCCCATTTACCTCGACAAAGTACAATAAGGAACATTGGACTTAACAATATACTATCACTGACCTTTCTGAGATCTCTGATGGTCAATTCTTTTACCACAAGTCCATATAATATTGTATGATGATGATACAATACGTTATAGCATCATTATTAGTTTTGTAAACAATCTAAAATTATCAAAATATATAAGGTTTTTAGGTTTCGGTAAATGCAGATCCTGATTTCGCTAGATTTTTTTTTTAATTATCTACACTTATTATTTTTATGAATTTGAAGTTACCTTACAGATTAAATTTTTATGAAAAAAATATAAAGAGATATTTCCAGGGACGAATGACTGATATAAATAATAAATCACATTAGTCTATGCCTTGATTCATTAAAAAAAACACAGAAATGTTTAAATTTAAGATATTTATAAGTATTCTTTAAATTACTTGCAACCTGTTTCAAGAAAAAAAGCACTCAAAACTTATCCAACCACTCTAAAGACAAACCGCAACAAACAGAAAATAAGAAATTAAATTTACATTTTGAAATTGAATTTATATTTCATTCGTTATGATTTAAATTTAAACCGAATGAATTGTATACAGTTATTATATTAATCACAGTAAGTTTGGAGCGTAACTGGACAGTAAAATCGAATATTTTGTATCGCCATCGGTATACCACTGCCCCCCGAATGTAACATTTTTAAAATTAAAATTTCAGCTTTAAAATTTCTCAATTTCAACGTTACATCTTTTTATCACCTACATATATAAATCAAAATCTACAGAGCTTGACAAACATGAGTAGTTAACATGTAGTTTTACTAATTGCTTAGTTAAAATATATTGACGACGAATGAAGCCAAAGAATGTCATATTTGACATTTACTTGTCAAATTGCAATCGAGACAACCTACCGGTGATAAGTGATAACAGTGAACAGTTTTCCGATCGTCAATGCCACATTGACATTGGGTAAACAATATTTTATTATAAAAAGTTATTTTAGCGAGTAACAGTATATTAAGTATTGTTAATTATTGGTTGAACAATTGCACAAAGTGTGGTTGCATATTCAATAATCAAAGCAACCTAACAATATTTCACATAAACAATAACAAAGTGAGTGTCTACTCAGTTTAGCTGTTATAACATATTTCATAACAATATTTACTTGAAAATAAATATATTTCAACTTTTTAAGGAAATATCATTTTAAAATTAATTACGCTAAGGAGTTTTTTCTTGTTAGACATAGTTTTATAATATAAATTGTGTAACTTCTACTATATAAATCTTTTCTAACCATTACCAGAATAGCATAATGTTAGAATTGCCTCGTATAACTCGGGCCCTCAGAGCTCACACTCAGCTGGACAAACCTCGTTGTCTGAAACCCGTCAAGGATAACAAAATAATTTTCAAAACATCAATAGCACAAAAAAGGTATGTCTACAATTAATATGAAAATATACCTACTATTCTTCAATACAATTATTGTATACTCAGGTTGATTCTATAGTATTTATCAAATTAATTGTATTGCAATATATGTGCAACAATTTATTAAAACATAAAGCATGCTTTAAACAATTTCAGACACAGAACATACTCAGATATATATGAGTATATAAAGAAAAATGAGCCAAACCACATCATTAATCTATTAGAACAACTAAAAGAGGCTTGCAAGGTTCTCACCGGAGATGTCACCGATGATATTATAGATGATGCTGCAGTTTTAACGCTCAAAATGTTTCTAGATCAAGATATTGTGATGCTCAAACATCTGTCTTCATTAAGACAAATGTTTGGATCTGTCTCATCATCAAATGCTAATAAAATTTGTGAGGTAAAAAGTTTATTTTTCATAAGTTTTGATATGTAGAACATCTATACAAATATTTAACCTTTTTTGATATTGTAACTGGTAAAGGATTGAAATCTAATGAATGAAGGAAACTCATATTATATAAAAAGGATAAAGAATTCAATCTACTACTCTCCAGACATAGCATGAAATTTTACCTGTAAAGGAATTCAAATCAAAAAATATACTATTTCAATGACATTTGCAATAAAATACTAAATTAATTTTCAGATTGTTACGAACATATCTAATGAAGTATCTGATGATACTAAACAATATATTCAAACTGAAGAGAATGATGAAAATCAGAATGTTAAATTGTGGGGTGAAAATATCCAATGCCACTATATTCCATATAAACCGGCAAAGAAACCTCTAGCGAAATTAACCAAGAAACCAGCAATGGATAGCAACTTTGTGACCGATTTTTCTATGAAATACACGAACAAAGTTCAAAACGTACAACCACAGACTAGTGCTATCAAAACTGAATCAAAAGTAAGTAATAACTATTATAAAGTAAAACAATTACTGTTATGTATTAGGTATATTTACTTGGTTAAATAATATTATGATGCCAAGTATATTGTAGGTCGAACACTTTATTATTAAGTTTTATCAATCAGTCTTGCTATTAAGCACAATATACATTACGAATTTAATATATTTTTATTGAATACCTACTACAATAACAAAAAATTATACATTTTGTGTTAATTTCTTTAAAATAATTTCCTATTATATTTTTGCTATTAGCATCATTTTAAAAACTATATTATTAAACAATTTGCTAAATTTCTTCACACCTTATGATATAAAAAAGATTATAGTATTAAAATATTTAAAGCCATACAAATTGAATTTCATTCAATTATTATTATATGTATTTTTTTATTTATGTTTTAAATATAGAAAATTAATAAACTCTACTCAATTTTATGCGAATATATGTTTAATGTATGTTTTCATAAACTTAAACTCATTTTACAGTTTGGAAAAGTCTGGTTGGAAAATAAAGTGAGGGAACTATATGAGAACTCAAACGGCATATCAAATGCTGATATTCTGCAATCAATAATCACATTTCTAAATTCATCACGAACCAATGATGAATTACAAAACGACCTATTTGAATTATTGGGCTTTGACAAGTTTGAGTTCATTGAAGGTATATTGCAACATCGTCAAGAAATCACTGAGAGTTTGAGAGTTCCGCCTCCGCAGCCAACTATAGCTGAGAGTAAGTTGAAACATCGTGTAATATTACATTAAAACAAACTAATAACAATACAATGAAATATAAACCTTAATGCTATCATTTAAAGTTCATATTTGAATAAAATTAAAAAATACTAATTCAAAGAAGTTCCATATATTACCTGTTACTTTAACCTGAGAAAAGTGAAAAGGATAATGTTTTACCCAGAAATAAGTTAGTTAAAATACAATTCATTGAAACAATTGCAATAAAATAGTTTGTATTTACAGTTGCCTCACTCCTTCCCGAGAACAAAATGCCCCAGTATTTGTGTCAAGTGTCAGTACAATCTGAACAAGAGAAGATGTTAGCGAAACTCGTCAGAAAAGAAGAGAAAAAAGCAAAGAATAAAAGATGTGATGATGAAGAAGAACATGAAATTAATATCGCCCAGTTAAGAGCCAAGAGGTATATAGTTACAATATGGTTGGATTATTACTGACAAACAGATGTAGTTATATTGGCAACAGGCAAATATACTCGACTTATATAAAAATATATATTCAATAATTATTATTAATGTTACTGATGACCTAAATTCTAAAATAAATATTCAAATCTGGAACATAGCTTTCGAATAGATTTTCAATGTTGCAGATTTGAATCTTGCTCATATGAAAGAATTGAAATTGATTTATTTTTCCTACATAATAGAAGTTTTCAACACAATACACATCACTGAACATTTTGCGCTTAAATATTAAGAAACAATTGCTATTACGCAATTGTTTCTTAATATTTTATTAACTTTTCTTATTTTTATTAACTTATATTTTTTCTTGGACACATCCAAGAAAATAAATCTATTGCATAATTCTATTCATTAATATATTCTATTAACTTATCAAATAACATATTGAAACTTTGATGACTATATAGTTTTAAAAAATAAATGGGATATATAATATTTACAAGTCTTACTAACCATTTCATTGAAAGTACTATAAAAAAAATTGATATATAATTATTCTATGGAGGTACTAAATGCAAATTCTTAATATTTTCAGGATAGCCGAGCTAACAAAGCCTGTTGTACCATTTTCTACATCAAAATCAAACATAGATCCCATATTACAGAAGATATCCTACTCCCAAACTAAAGTTCAATACCCAAATGTGTATGACTCATCAATCAATGCAAAAAATTCAGCTGGTAAATATATGATAATAAAATAAATAATGTATATTTGTTTTGTACTAATATAAGGTTTACCTCAGGCTTTGTATCTGGTTTGAAGTTGATTCTTCCGGAAAATGCTATCAGAAAGGATAATAAGGAATATGAAGAAGTTATTATACCCAAGAATGAGCAGGCTCCGTTGAATGTTGGAAATAAGAGAGTACCGATCTCAGATCTTGATGAGGTAAACATTATTAAAACTCAGACAATTAAACTTAAATCAAATAACTACCATATACATATATAATATGTGTATGTTTCTAAGGCTTTAAGTAGCATGAACTAAGTAGCAATAGCTAAGATCACCTTCATAGCCCTTACTGCCCTAAATACTACCCTTAGAAGGATGTATTTACTAAATTCGATTGTAATTTTGTATATAATTCTACCTACCTTTATTCCTATGAAAATAAATTACAGGTATTTCTTTATAGTCATATGCTAAAAAAAAGCATTTTTAGATCATAAAGTTTCATCACTTACTTAAAATTTTGTATATGTGAAGTTGTAATGAATTATACTTGTTTTGTCATTGTTACGATATATTAGTAAAAATATCAATTAATATCTTTCAGATCGGCCAAATGGCGTTCGAGAACATCAAAGAATTAAACCGCATCCAATCAGTTGTATTCCAAACGGCGTATAACACTAATGAAAATTTACTCATTTGCGCCCCCACCGGCGCTGGTAAGACGAACATAGCGTTACTAACTGTAGTTCATCAACTTAAACAGCATATTGAGAATGACGTCATCATGAAGAATAAATTTAAGGTCAGTTTGATAATAATTAGTATGTATTATTTTTTATAGGAAGTATTATCTGAGTTCAAGCCTTTGATGAAGGAATCTTCATGTTAAATACCATACCTTGCTAATAAATTTCGGTATAGAGATAGATTTCTTGAACTTATCCAAAATCATTCTGAGACATGCATGATCATACACCTAAAACAAGTCATTGTAAAATGTAAATCAAAAGGAAGGCATTTGGAATTTGTAACTAAGACTAATTTTGCCATTTCTAAATTCTGAAGAATCCTGTTTGCTTTAATTCAAATTTAATTATAACTTCCTACTTGACTGAATAAATATAGTTATTCTATACATTTCAGATCATTTACATAGCTCCAATGAAGGCTCTGGCTTCAGAGATGACTGCCAGTTTTGGGAAACGTCTCCAAAGTCTAGGCATCACGGTACGAGAACTAACAGGAGATATGAAACTAACTAAAGCAGAAGTTCAACAGACACAGATGATTGTTACGACGCCTGAGAAATGGGATGTTGTTACCAGGAAAGGGGCTAGTGAGTTGCCATTACAATAAATATTTTTTTTTATTGAGCTCAAAAAATATTCTGCCAATGTCATCTTCAATGGCGAAGCGTAGTAGAAATACCTTTTGTTGTATATTTAAGTTAAAGTTCTTTATGTTTAATACATGTATAAAGAAAGTACTAGTAGTACAAAGTCGTGTAATTGATTAACACACATACACAAGAATATATTATAGATATTTATAACCAAACGAAACAATTAACCCTCCTTCCAGCATAAAGGCGAAAATGCATGTGGTTGCCCTAGATTTTGATAAGTACATGTGAAACACATATAACGAATGTCACATAATCGATTTTCAAAGAATTTTATATAAATATGATTTAACTTATATTCGGAAGTGAAATTCCGGTTAAAAACTATCTGTACGAACTAGAAACAAAGAATAATATAACATGACTTAAATAATAATAAAAAACCTTATTCATTTCTTCTCACATTAAATTGTAATATTATTTATTTTCTAGCGGACACCGAATTGGCGTCAATAGTGAAATTACTCATAATAGATGAAGTACATTTGCTACACGGAGACAGAGGTCCTATAGTGGAAGCTATCGTGGCTAGAACATTGAGACAGGTTGAATCAACTCAGAACATGATAAGAATCGTGGGCTTGTCAGCTACACTACCCAACTACGTCGATGTTGCCAGGTATTATAGAATTTTTCTACCAATAAAGGTTTGCCATAATATAATTCTTTAATACCATAATCGGTTCACTGATAAATATTTTATGATAAAATTTTAATTTATAGAAATTACTGGCCATTAGCTAGTGAAATATTTTAATTCTACCAAAGAATTATACTTGACAATAAAAATTTCTTTTTTTGTATGGGACAGGTATTTCCTATATGTGAAATCTGTTTAAATTAAATTAACAACATGGTTGGTACTAAAAAAGAATCAAAATCACTATTTTCGAATATGACACGAGTTTTATTCAAAATGTAGTTTAATTTACAGCGAGATGAATCTCTTTTTTCTTGACGATCGTATTTTACTTGCTTAATTTTCTAGCGATATTCCGTGGATAGCAGGGCCATTTTCTGTTCGTATTATAAGCCCAACATTACTTAACTTCTAAAATCATAATTATTATGTATCATCTATCAGATTCCTCCGCGTGAATCCCAATATTGGTCTATTCTACTTCGACTCTCGCTTCCGTCCAGTGCCGCTCGAACAGCAGTTTATAGGAGTGAAGGAAATAGGATCTGGTGGGGGAACACACTTGAGACAGGTATATTCATATATTCATAGTATTCAATCTTCTTCTTCTACCTGGCAATTTCCCAGCTATAACCAGGGTCTGCCTTACTTGTTGTGAATAGTTTTGGCTATTTGTTTTTACGACCGGCCGCCTGCCTGACATCAACCCTCTTTGGGAAATTCATATATTCAATCTCTATAACGAACATGAAAAACTAACGTACATACAAATTATATGTACTAAACAATTGATAAACAGACTACATCAGTACCTATTGAATCGTTTTTATTGTTTACATATTTTTACTTTGCTTATAAATAAACTATATAGTTAATCACATAAATGGCACAGTGAATTTTTTTATACAAACATGCAAACATAGCTTAAAATATTTGTATGTAAATAATACTAAAAGAAAATTGTAACTAAATTTTAATTATCGAATATTAGATACTATCATTTTTATGAGTCGTGTTGTATCTTATTATCATGAAATACGAAAATGTATATACATTTTTAGATCCAAACAATGAACGAAATATGCTACGACAAAGCCTCTGAAATGGTGCAAAAAGGTCACCAAGTAATGGTTTTCGTTCACGCTCGAAACGCAACCCATCAGACGGCTATGATTCTGAAGGAAATCGCCCAAAAGAAAGGACACTTGAAATATTTTGAGCCCGAAGACTCCGGAGGTTTCTTAAAGGCCAAAAAATCTATCGGCAGCAGTCCTAATAAACAATTGGCAGAGCTATTTTCCGCTGGTTTTGCTTGTCACCATGCTGGGATGTTGAGAAGCGATAGGTAATTAAATATTTTATAAAGTTATCATGAAATAAAAGTATAAACAAGACAATACGGTTTAGTATGAAATATTTGCTTCCAAATTCTTTTGGAATATTTTTTTTAAACTTTTTTACCTATTTTTATATGTTAACATAGTTAATGATCAGAAGGTCGTCTGAATGTAAATTGAAAAAACTCGTTCAAATAATGTGTTTGTTTGTTAAAATATGGTATGCAGAAGCCAAAAGAATCAATGCAATTAAGAAAAGATTTAAGATTTCAAGTACATACTAATGCTCGTCAGATAAATTGATGCTGTAACTTCTGCAGTATTCTATACATTTGTAATATATTTGAATCTTTCTACAGCTTGTTAAGTAAACTTTGCCCTCACACTACTATAAGATATTTACCCTTCTTTACCCGAAAATTTTCAATATTTACTTTGTGGATATCATACCAAATATTTTTCAAGGAACATGGTAGAAAAGTATTTCGCGGAGGGATACATCAAAGTGCTCGTGTGTACATCAACACTGGCCTGGGGAGTTAATCTACCAGCACACGCGGTTGTCATAAGGGTAACTAATTGAAGATTTTTTCCACTTATTTTTATTTTTGTTTCGAGTATCTTAAAATTATTGAAATTTGAAGTAAATTAGCTGTCTAAGTTCTCATAAAATATTTATTAATCAGAATAAGATAAACATAACTTAAATCGTAACTCACTAAACTTATTACTTTAGAATTATTCTTTTATACACTTTACACGAGCTATGAAAGCCGTTCATTATGTAAATTACTTATAATAACTATGACGCTAGGACATTCAATTCAATTTCTTAATTCAATCACTTGAATAAAACTAATATTTTTCGGATTACGTTTCGCTTACTTTGCAAAAACCATGACCATTTAAAAATAATAAAATACGCTAAGCAATCCGAAAAATATTAGTGTCACTTAAATGAATACTCACGAAAGTCCTAAATCTCATTAATTCAATCACTCATTCATTCACTCATTACAGGGTACAGAAATCTACGACCAAAGTCACGGTACGTTCGTAGATCTCAGTATATTGGACGTGCTCCAAATCTTCGGTCGAGCTGGCAGACCTCAGTTTGACACGTCCGGAACAGGCATCATAATAACGACTCACGACAAACTGACTCACTACTTGAAAAGTATGACCAATCAGTTCCCGATAGAGAGCAATTTCATCAATCTTTTAGCAGACAATTTGAATGCTGAGGTGAATTTATTATAATTTTATTCCATATAAGATTTTTTTGACTTCAAATATGAAAAGGCATAGTCCATTTATCAGTGAAATCGAAACCAGATGTAAAAAAACTTTTTGCACTTGTCAGCCATAAATGAAACAACAATGTGTTCATCATAATGTAGTACTTTTTATGCATTTCTGCGCCCCCAAACACCTCTATTACAGGCCAAAAACTTGGATATCTTTATCTGTTATAAATTATAAACAAATTTATTTTCTTCTCAGGTGGCACTCGGTACAGTCACTAATATAGATGAGGCGGTTGAGTGGTTGAGTTACACTTACCTCTTTGTCAGAATGAGGATCAATCCACAGGTTAGTCATATATTTATTATAATATATAGGGTGTCTCACGGAAAATTTCGAATTTAAAAAGGCTATAAAAAAAGAACGACTCGATAGATTTCAATGATCAAACATTTATTTGAAAGCATAATTCATGACATTATTTGTGAAAAATTATCTCGGTCAAATGTCCACCACAGCTTACTTGGCAGTACCCTATTCGATCAGTCCAATTTTTCAGTACATTTTCAATTGTTTCCGGCCTTATGGCAGCAATGGCAACTTCAATTTCATGTTTCAAGTCATCAATCGTGCTTGGCTTGTTGGCGTAACAAACGTCTTTGACCGCTCCCCAAAGGTAATAATCCAATGGTGTTAAATCGCAGCTTCTTGGAGGCCAATTCACATCACCATTTTTGCTGATTATGCGATTTTCGAAGATTGGGCGCAAAACATCGACCGTAGCATGGGCTGTATGGCACGTAGCCCCGTCCTGTTGAAACCAAATATCGTCCAAATCATACTCTTCCATTTGACCGAAAAACCAATCAGTTAAACTAGCGCGGTAGCGCTCGCCGTTGACGGTTACGGCGGCTCCTTCATCATTTTCAAAAAAAAATGGGCCGATGATGCCGCCGGACCAAAATCCGCACCAAACAGTCACTCGTTGTGGATGTATCGGTTTCTCCTCAACGACGTGCGGGTTTTCTGTGCCCCATATACGGCAGTTTTGTTTATTTACATAACCGCCGAGGTGAAAATGAGCCTCGTCGGAAAAGATGATTTTTCGATAAAACTCACCATCTTCGGCCAAACGATCTTCCGCCGAATTTGCGAACCGTAGACGTTTCTGATGATCAATTGGCTTCAGCTGTTGGGCCAACTGAACTTTATATGGCTTCAGGGCAAGATCTTTGCGCAAAATTCGGTGCGTAGTTGACCGAGAAAGGTGCAACTCTTGCGCTCGATGACGAATCGATGTGGATGGCCGTTCACGAACACTTTGTTCCACCGCAGCGATGTTTTCGGTTGACCTTGCTGGAAATGGACGTTTACGTGTTGTTTTATCCAACAGTGATCCAGTTTCGCGCACACGATTCACAAATTGCCGCACATATGCCTCCGATGGCAAATCTTTTTTGGCAAATATTTTTTTCAAATTTCGCACAGTTTGCGTTGGCGATTCACCACTTTGGAAATAATTTTTTAATATTTCCCAGCTTTCCTCAAGCGAATAGCGACCCATTTCGTAAATGTCAGACTTATTACTAAATATGTGACACTTCTCCGATGACAGTTGACGTCTCCAATGTCAAATTATCGTTAGTTCAAATTCGAAACGCTAGATGGGACACCCGTTAGCATTTAAAAAAAATTCATGGATTATACGATCTGAAGGAAAATCATGTTTCTTCCACATTTTTTGATAAATATACATAAATGTTAAAACCACCAATTACAAGCATCTTCTTCAATATCAATCCTGTCATTTCGTTTTTTCCAAATTTTTTCCAAACTTACATTACACTCATCATCATGTGTACCTGTGTACCACCTATTATTGGTGACCTTATAAATTAAAAAAAAACTCCAACTACGAATTAAATTCACATACATATTCAAAAGCAGTTTACATATTCCATATCCGTCTATCCTTGTACCTGGCAATTTCCCAGCTTTAGCCAGGGTTTCCCTTACATGTTGTGAATAGTTTTGGCTAGTTGTTTTTACGACCAGCCGCCTGCCTGACATCAACCCTCTTTGAGAATGCATTATCAGTGATGTCTAAATAGCCTTAATAAGTACCTATAATTCGGAAAAATCACATTGGTCCTTGCCAGGATCGAACCCGCGCCCTCAGGCATGAGAGGCGGGCCGTTTAATCACTAGGCCACTACTGACTTAACTTGACTTACATATTCCATAATAGCCTCTAAACCTTAAATTACAATTACACCAAAAACTATACAAAAATTGTTCCTTAAAGGTCTACGGGCTGACATATACTGATGTTCAAGAAGACCCTACTTTGGAGACTAGGAGACGTGAGCTCATTACAAGCGCAGCCATGACACTAGACCGCACGCACATGCTGAGATACAACGAACGTACTGGGGATCTGCATATTACTGGTGAGATGGAAATAACATGCAATAATACACCTTAGGAACGATATAATAAGACTTAAAATTGTATGTTGATAGTGATAATGTAATTACTTTATATGTTAAGGAAAAATTCTTATTTATCCTAAAAATTTTTTGCAAATATTCATATAATATAACGATAATATATCATAAAAATACAGATATTTCACTTAATAGTCAATACACAACTTATTTGTATAATAATCATAAATGGACTATTAACTATATTAATTTGGAATTGTTTTTGTATTTTTGTTTTATGACAAATTTGTTTTTAACCCAGATCTCGGCCGAACAGCCAGTCATTATTACATAACGTGTGAAACAATGGAGGTATTCAACACTATGGTACGTAAATCTATGACGCAAGGTTACGTGCTGGAAATGTTGACTAGGTGTTCAGACTTCCAGCAGTTAAAAGTAAGCTATTATTTATATATAATTTGCTATTATTTTTATCTGATAGGGACCAATAATTTTGTTTAGAAAATGTAAAATTAAATTCATAGTAAATTGTTTACGAGTTATATCGTTAATGAACAGCAAAAGAGCACACGTTGTTAATTAATTATTAAAACTGTAATAAAAAAGTAAAATTGCTTGTACAGTCTCCTATATTAAATTTCTATTACCCGCATAAGATTATTTTGATATATTCTAAATAAAAAACAAGTCTATCCAATTTGCTATATTAAAGGGTATGATAAAAAACGTCATAATCTACATAAAATATTAAAAAAATACATTTGGCGGTGAGGTTTAAAAACATATACTTAAATATTATAACATTAAGCATAAATATAAATCAAAAATACATCAATCAACAAAAGTTACTAACATTTTATTGCAAATCCTATTACATAAAATACTCATTTTTTTAACCATAGATAAACATATAAAAATCTCTTTACAGGTCAGAAAAGAAGAATTGACAGAACTATGGAATCTCAAAGATATGTATTGTGAGTTGAGAATAGAGGACGCTCCTGAAGACATACACTGGAAGATCAACATATTATTACAGACTTATCTATCACGAGGAAGAGTTAACGGGTCCTCGCTGCAATCAGACTTGAATTATATCAGCCAGGTTAAACTTACACATACATATAAAGACTATATTATACTACTAGCTGCGCCCCGCAGTGTTACCCGCGGATTTCCGGGATGTAAAGTAGCCTATGTCTTATTCCTGGACGTCACCTTCCTGTATACAAAATTTTATGAAAATCGGTTCAGCCGTTTGAGCGTGAAGAAGTAACAAATATAGGCACACACTGACAAACTTTCGCAATTGTAATATTAGTAAGATATCAATAATACCATAGTATTACCTATTCAAATTAGAATTTTATTAAGTAAATTTTTAATTAAAGCAGAATTAATTTTATATTATTCATTTGTTTTATTTACAAATTAAAATATATTTTTTAATATATTTTATATTAATGGTTTTTTTATTGATTTCAGAACGCAGTACGTATAGTTCGCGCGCTTTTTGAAATAACATTAAGGAAAAATAATGCATATATGGCGGGTTTGTATTTGAAGATGGCCAAAATGATGGAACTACAGTTGTGGGACTTCTATAGTGATATGAGACAGTTCAATTGCTTTCCTAACGAGATATTGAAGCATATTGAATATCCGTTACTGAAACCAGATCAATTGAGAGATATGGATTGGAAGGAAATAGGTAATGGATTAAAAGATATAAGAAAAGAAAGAAAAAAAAACTTTTGCTTATTGATAGCTTAAAAATATTATAAGTACCAATTTTAATCGCATGTATTATTAGATTTATATTTTATAAAAACCTCTTAATCTCGTTCCAAGTGCATGGTTGATAACGAAATTATATAACAAATCTTCAAAAAAGCTTTCACAAAGGTGTGATATAAGTAAAACTAAGATCTTTAGATATACTACGCGATCATTATTTTTTTACAATTATCCAGACGTTGCGGTACCTTTATAGCAATCGTGATCACGAGCAGTTGAGTAAAATGACTTCGATTTCACCATGATTATATAAAATATTATTAATAATAAAATAATAGTAAAATGATTAAAATGCGTAGTATCCGAAAAACTTAATTTATTTTAGGTGTATAGTAGCAAAAATCATAGATATCATTAAGATGTAATATATTTTCCAGGTGACTTGATACGTAATCCTAAAACTGCTCGTCATTTAAAGAAGTGCGCTGAAGAATTCCCATTACTAGATATGGAGGCTAGCTTGCATCCTATAACAAGAACTGTATTGAGAATAAGACTTACTATTACACCCAACTTTAAGTGAGTTATATAGAAAAAAGTAATTATAAGTGTTGCTATACAGAAAATGATAAAATTAGAGTCAATCATTGTTAGTTATATTTATAAAGAGAATTCAAAAGTATGGACATATTATGATAATGACACTTATTTAGGACTGTTGTCCACTGAAAGACATCATAGTAATCTTTTATACAAATACTCATACCTAATTTCATATGTACATTATATACATTAAAACCCATTTAGACATATTATATGTTATATTAAATTTAATTATAAGACAATTTAATTGATTTTTCCTAAGGTGGAATGACAAGTATCATGGTAAAGCGCCAGAAGCCTTTTGGATCTGGGTTGAAGATCCCGACACTGATATAATGTATTACCATGAATATTTCCTCATCACCAAGAAACAAGTAAGTTTTTTATTTGTATGATAAATAACCAATAATAAATGCATATTTAAAAATAATACCTATAAATATGCAAAAAATAAACACTAAATAATAACGAATTATGTAACATTTGCTTTAAAAGTCGTTAATTTAGAAAATATTTCAGCTTAAACTTTAACTTATGATAATCTACTTCCAATGTAAATACGCGTTATTATCCAATGCTAGTTACGCGGATTTTGCACTATCCCCGACGATATCTAAGTTTCTCGGAACTTATAAATAATACAAATATTATTTTTTTATGTTTGTTACACTAAGTTTATTTTAATATGTTACATTATGTACTATAATCGATTTCAAAATTATTCGGTTTGAAATTAATGTTATTTTATGACCACAGGTAATAACAAATGAGCCTCAAGAACTAGTTATAACGATTCCTATATCTGAGCCCTTGCCTCCTCAATACTATATCAGAGCTACTTCAGAAAGGTTCAGTATTGCCATATATTAATTAATATTATATATATGGCATTTTTTATCATTTTTTTAAATTCTAGATGGCTAGGATCAGAGAGTGTGCTACCTTTGACATTCCAACACCTAATTCTACCGGAAACACATCCACCTCATACAGGTAAAGACATAAGACAAACAAAAAACCTATTTGTTTGTTTGTTTTTTTATTGGATACACTAGTATCGATAGTAGACTTATCTTGTAAGATTTTTATATATATTGCATTTCTTACTAAAAAATATTCAACTTGAATAATAGTTATTTTTTTAAACATAACAAAAAGGTTAAAAAAATTACACCCAAAATGAATGAAATATAAAATTTCGAAATGAGCCCATCTCAAGTTTTAGGTATGAAATATTGTTAATGATGATATTATAGTTAACGATACTTATTTATCCTGCATCAAATTGAAAATAAAACCATTCAAATAAGAGAACAAAATAATATTTTACTATTAAATAAACGCTATTATTACAGATCTACTAGAATTACAACCTCTGCCGGTGACAGCCCTGAACAATCCTTCCTACGAAATGCTATACAACTTTAGTCACTTTAATCCGATACAAACACAAATATTCCACGCATTATATCACACTGATCATAACATACTACTGGGAGCTCCGACCGGATCTGGAAAGACGATTGTAGCGGAAGTAGCGATGTTCAGGGTCTTCAACCAATATCCGGGTTGTAAGGTGTGTGACAACCCTAATTCAGTTATAACATTCTCAAAAAAACCTTTAGGGTTCAGTCTTTTTTTTTGTAAATGTTTTTAAGACTCTGGATATGAGTCCTTTTGAGCATTTAGGGTTCAAATGTAATTAAATATTGCCATAGTTGATAAATTATTGTCTCAAATATTTGATATTTATAATCAGCGCCATCTATCGATATCTTTTTCTTATAAATTACTTTGATCAATTAAGTGTATGCTTATCAATTCATAGGTCGTATACATCGCACCACTTAAAGCTCTTGTTAAAGAACGAATAAAGGATTGGAAAGTGAGGCTGGAAGAGAAACTTGGAAGAAACGTAGTTGAATTAACAGGTAGGTACAGTCTATTTTAAGACTAACTTATGTTTATGGTTTTTTGTCATATTTGTCGCTCTCTATCATGCCTATATTTTGTTTATTTGGTTAACTGTGATAATCTATCACCATTAAATATCGCTATCTCAGTATGCTATAAAATGAAAGTAAGGCCACTTTAAACCTTTTCAACTGAAGGCAGTGTGTTCCTAGGATAAATATTGAAAAGTTTTAATCAAGGTGAATAGACTTCTATTGGCGGTCAGAAAACACGCTTGTATTTTGCTGTTGAGTTCTAAATAATGTTTGTAATAACCCTTATCAAAGCGGTGACTCTTCTTCACTTCGAGTTAGCAGTTATTATACTGTTTATTGCCAGTCCAATGTCTATTCCATACTTAACGCAGGTACTTTTATATCTCTTAAGGCCCTATACATTTTATTTAAGAATTAAAGCCTTCCAGCCTTCCTAACTGCAATATCGATTCTAACTATGCAATTATTATGCTGAATCATCATTCATCTACTTAATGTGCAATTTTGGTGAGATGTCCTGCAAAACAAAGTATGTCAACAAAACCATGAACACTTTATTTATGTCAACTGCTATCTATAACTAATTTTGTTTAACTAACATAATTTAACCCTTAAAATCATGTCTCTCATAATGATTTTATACCATAAATATTAGATTTAACCATTTCTATCGTTGCCCAGGTGATGTATCACCGGATATCCGTGCCATAAGACAGTCGCAGGTGATAGTGACGACTCCTGAGAAGTGGGACGGCATCAGCAGGTCGTGGCAGACGAGGAACTACGTGAGGGACGTGGCGCTCATAGTGATAGATGAGATACATCTGTTGGGGGAAGATAGGGGACCCGTCTTGGAAGTTATTGTGTCCAGGTAAAGAAAAATATAAAATTAAATACATATATATTCTTCTACCTGACAATTTCCCAACTTTAGCCAGGGTCTGCTAACATGTTGTGAATAGTTTTGGCTAATTGTTTTCCCGACCGGCCGCCTGCCTGATATCAACCCTCTTTTGGGAATCAGAATTAATCAGTGATTTCTAAATACTCTTAGAAAGTACATATGACTCGGAAAAATCACATTGGTACTTGCCCGGACCACGATCGAACCCGCGACCTTGTGCATGAGAGGTGGGCATTTTAACCACTAGGCCACCACTGACTATACAATATATTTATTCATATGTCCAAAAAAAAAGGAATATATGTTATATGGAAATATTTGATTTAAATACCTTATTATACTTAACTTTAGTTTTATCATAGACTATGTACTGCCATATTGTTAGTATTTCTTGACTAATGTGATTTTTAAGTTGTTTACACGAAAGACTAACAAACTAACACCATCCATTATACAAACATGTAAATATATTTGTAATATAAGAAACTTTACACAATCAAATTCCTGTCGTATTAAAGAAGTATTCAACATATATGCAAAGATTCAGTTTGAGTCAGTGGTGGCCTAGTGATTAAAGGGCCCGCCTCTCGTTGCCGAAGGTGCGGATTCGATCCTGGCAAATACCAATGTGATTTTTCCGAGTCATAGGTACTTTCTGAGACTATTTAGACATCACTGACAGACGGTGAAGGAAAACATCGTGAGGAAACCTGGATTATAATTTCACAATTATAACTTTAAAATCACCAACCCGTCTTGAGGAAGCGTGGTGATTAATGCTCAAACCTTCTCCATGTGAGAAAGAGGCCTTTGTTCAGCAGCAGGCTCTGATAGGCTGATGATGATGATACAAATATTATGTATATATATAACGATATTATAATGTGAGTAATTATTATTATTCCAGGACAAATTTCATAGAATCCCATACATCTCGTCGTCTCCGCATCATAGGTCTGTCCACAGCGCTCGCTAACGCTAAGGATCTCGCCAACTGGCTGAATATTGGAGAAATTGGATTATATAACTTTAGGCCGTCTGTTAGACCTGTACCATTAGAGGTAAGTGTCATAAACACAATTTATTACACAAAATGATACCAAATTATATATTTAATGTCAAGTAGAGAAGGATTTTAAGGGAAATATTTGAGTAGGAAGCAAGTGAATCCAAGTATATACTTCAAGTAACTATGATTTTGGTCAATTTCAAATGGAGAACAAGGGAATGAAAAAATATTTTATGTGAATATGAAATTTGAATTAGGGGTTTAATCAAAAAAATATATTTTCTTATCAATGGAATGTAAAAAAGTTCAAATGTTGTCTATGAATAGATTGAATATTTATGGATATAAGAGATTACAAAAAGTGTTATAATAAAAATATTGAATGCAGGCGTATTCAGACAATATATTAAGGTCAACTTTAAATCGTCAAACTACAAACCATGAATTTCCTATTCTTTTCTTCATTCATAAACCTGCAGTGATATTACATAGCGAATATTATAAATGAAATAATTGTGTAGTTTGATGGTGCGAACTTGTGTTATGGACACAAAATACATAACTATACGCAAAATACCAAAGACACAAAAAAAAATTTTTACTAACAAATGATTTTTTTACTTTTAATTCCTAATTTAACTTTCATTTTCTTTATTTTATTGCACCCATAAATCTCTGTAGCAGATGTAATGTTTAACTTTAATTCCTAATGAATTTCATTCCATTTCTTATTAACTTCTCCCTATTTCTCCGTGTTAGGTGCACATATCAGGTCACGCGGGTCGTCACTACTGTCCCCGCATGATGTCTATGAACAAGCCCACGTTCAGCGCCATCAGAACACACTCGCCTTCATCACCGGCACTTGTCTTCGTGTCCAGTAGACGACAGACCAGGTATATATGTAGTTGATTAATAACAACATTTTTTGTGTATATAGGCCATGATTTTGGTCATTATTACCATAAGCAAGCTCGAGTAATTGATAAATCTATATACAGGGTGACTGGTGAATTACTATCGATACTTGAGGACGTGATATGTGACGATCATATATGACAAAATAAAAATTAATATAACATAAATATTAATAAACTTCTGAGTAAAGTTAACCAAAAGTTATGTAATTAATTACGCATCGTGTGAACACCCTACAGATTAGGTATGTACACACACTCACACACACGCGGCGGGGGCGTGGTTTTGTATCAGCACGCCGCCGCACGCGTCCACACTTGGAACACTTGGAACGTGTCAACACTTTATTTATTTATACGGAAATTTTGTCAAAAATTAAGTACCTATTTTTTTTACATAATTCGAATGAGAATCATGTACCGAGTATGCTCCTTAAATATTGATAGTAATTCACCAGTCACCCTGTATAAAAGAGATTTCCACCTATATATTGACTCATCACGATATCTCTGGAACCATAAGACGTAACGACTTGAAGTTTGGTAGGATTATTCCTTTCTCCGAATAGAGGTCAGCTAAGAACGGATTTTACGAAATTTCACCCACAAGGGGGGTTGCGGGGGCGTTAACAATGGAAAATTCCCATTTTGAACCTATAGCTCCTATCGACTTCAAATTTGGTAGCAATCTCCTAAATGTGATGTAGAAATGATCTAATAATCTAATTTTATTACAATCTACTCCCAAAATGGATTGCGGGGGTGGATGTTAACAATGAAAATTTTAAATTTCCGAGCTAGCTAGCTTGTATTATACATTATTATAATATTTATGTGTACAATTTTATTATATTGCTCGTTATTACGAAATTCAATAATAATTACAAAAAGTTAATCAATGATAGTTATATAAATAAGAAGCCTTCCACATATTTAAAGTTAAATTAAGCAAAAATTACTGTTTTTTAGGTTAACAGCACTAGATTTAATCGCCTACTTGGCAGCGGAGGATAACCCGAAACAATGGCTACACATGAAAGAGTCAGAAATGGAGCAAGTGTTATCAAACATCCGGGAGTCGAACCTAAAACTAACTCTCGCTTTCGGTATCGGGATACATCACGCGGGTCTACACGAAAAAGACCGTACTACGGTTGAGGAACTATTCATCAACCAGAAAATACAGGTTGGAAGCAAAATAGTACCTAAAAATATATGTCATATGGTATGTAGGCAATATGTGAATATCAAATTAAATTTCGATATTACTTTTCTATATGACAGTACTTATATAACAGAATTAACTTTTTTTATTCTAAAATCCAATCTTTAAATCTTCTATCTTCTATATATATAAAAATGGATTGCTGTTCCTTAGTCTCGCTAAAACTCGAGAACGGCTGAACCGATTTGGCTAATTTTAGTCTTGAAATGCTCCTGGGAGTCCAGGGAAGGTTTAAAAGGTGAGAAAAATTGGAATAATTGCCGGGAAAACCCTAAAAACAGCCCTTTTCTATTTCCCATACAAACGATTTTTTGACATTAGACTTGACAACTAACTAATGTGTCAATCATTCTGTTCGATTGAAACAGTAGAAATTTAATAAATACCAATACCGGCTTATTGAAGACGGAATAGAGTTTGTCCGGTCAGCTATACCTATATTACTAATGACGAAATTAACGCGGACGAAGTCGCGAGCAAAAACTAGTTTATTTATAAAAAAAAATTGTATTTAAATCAAATCATTAAGGCAGATATGTATGTCGAAATATTTAGGTTAATTTTATTAAAAAAATATTTTCGAAATACTTTAGCGACTTAGAACACTTTGTTTGTATATGCAAATATTTTAATAGACCAAGATGTTATCTCAGTATCAATTCCATCTTAAGAATAAACATTATATTACTAAGTACAAATCTCTCATATCTGGTCTGAACCCAAAACAATACTATCGTTAAGTCTGAACCTTATAATTATTGTGTTAAGGTGTTAATTTGCACGGCGACGCTAGCTTGGGGGGTGAATTTCCCCGCGCACTTGGTCGTTATCAAGGGTACGGAGTACTTCGATGGAAAACAGAAGAGATACGTGGACATGCCCATCACTGATGTACTACAGATGATGGGGCGAGCGGGAAGGCCGCAGGTGAGTGTGTGTGTGTGTGAGAGAAAACGCGCGTGTGTGTGTGTGTTTTGTCGTTATACAGGGTGACTGGTGAATTACTATCGATACTTGAGGATGTGATATTTGACGATCATATATGACAAAATAAAAATTAATATAACAAATATTAATAAACTTCTAAGTAAAGTTAACCAAAAGTTATGTAATTAATTACGCATCGTGTGAACACCCTACAGATTAGGTATACACACACACACACACGCGTGCGGCGGCGTGGTGTTGTATCAGCACGCCGCCGCACGCGTCAACACTTGGAACATGTCCACACTTTATTTATTTATACGGAAATTTGGTCAAAAATTAAGTACCTATTTTTTTACATAATTCGAATGAGAATCATGTACCGAGTATTCTCCTTAAATATTGATAGTAATTCACCAGTCACCCTGTATAATAGATGAAATAGTACATATAGCTTTTGACAATAAAAAAGATCAAAACAGCACATTAAAGTACAAAACCACTTATACCAACCATCTCCTTCTACCTGGCAATTACCCAGTTTTAGCCAGGGTCTGCCTTACATGTTGTGAATAGTTTTGGCCAATTGTTTTTAGGACCGGCCGCCTGCCTGACATCCACTCCACTTATATCAACCATATATAGGAATAACGAAGCTTAAAAAAGATAATTTCTCTCAACATTCTATCTGTTAACTGTCAATTGCTCTAAATTGGATTAAAAAATATATTGATAAATGTACCAATAGAAAATATACAAAATATAAAACACTGTTGTTATATTTTGGACTATAAGGACTATTTTTCAAATGTCTTTAATCACTTAGTACGACAACGAAGGTGTGGCTGTAGTACTTGTGCATGATCAGAAAAAGAACTTCTACAAGAAGTTCTTGTACGAGCCTTTCCCTGTTGAATCAAGTCTACTACAAGTACTAGCTGATCATCTTAACGCTGAAATCGTCGCTGGTAATATATATAAATATACTTTTTTTTTTAAATTTAAAACAAAGGAGGTTATATTTTAAATAAAGTTATTTCTTGGTAAGACTCTAGAAATGTAATTAAAACGCTTTGTCACCTTGAACAGTGACATTTGTTATTTTTTAAATATATATAATACTAGCTTTCCGCCCGCAGTTTCGCCCGCGTGGAGTTCGGTTATATACCATTTCCAAGAGAACCTTTCAAAAGTCTGGGATAAAAACTATCCTATGTTCTTTCTTGAGAAAGGTCAACTCTGTCTGTACCAAATCTCATTAAAATCAGTTCAGTGGTTAAAGCGTAACAGACAGACAGATAGATAGACAGACAGAGTTACTTTCGGATTTATAATATTAGTAGGGATTCTCATGTTACTATTATTACAAGCCCAATATAAATTATTATTTACATATAAGTTATTCTATTAATTTGATATATTTTTAACCACAGGTACCGTACAAACGAAACAAGACATTCTAGACTATCTAACATGGACCTATTTCTTCCGGAGGTTGCTGAAGAATCCTTCGTATTACAATCTAGAAAGCATCGAGCCTCAAGATATAAACTGCTACCTTTCAAACTTAGTGCAAACTTCTCTGGACGCATTAGCTAACGCGAATTGCGTCGAGATAGAAGAGGTGAATATACATTAGATTAAAAAAGAAAAATCATATTTATGTTAACCTATAAGTGATTTTTTCCATTGGGTATTATATTCTATTGCCTATATACATATTTTTTTTAATTGTCAAATACGTCCTTATGTAATTGAAATATACACATATCCCAACGTTGAAAGTAAATATGTTTTTTGCCATATCTGAGTTACATTTACATTATGTCATCTTCATAGAAAATGTTGTGTTGTTTAGTTTGAGATTTCCTATAGATTATAATTTTTGGTCTCGTTACAGACATTTTGATTTCTCCTTTCTACGAGAAGAAAACAAAATATAAAACATTTAAAATCCTGCAATTTACAATATTACAAATTTGTTAATGATGAATAGTTCACCATTAGGACCAAAATAAAATTTGTTTATATTTTTTTAGGATGAACGTACAGTCCAAAGCACTTGGATGGGACGTATAGCCTCGTATTACTATCTGTCACACAAAACGATGGCGCATTTCAGTAATCACTTACAGAGCAATCTCACTTTTGATAATATGTTGAGAATTCTGGCTGATTCTGAAGAATACGCGACGCTACCCGTGAGACATAATGAAGACGTCTTAAACGGGTAGGTTTAACTGATAGTATTATTTTGTACATATTAAGCGTAGTTTCGTAGAATTTAAATTTGAAATAACAGATTTAATATACTGAGCTCTAAGATTTTCGCGAGTACTCATTTAAACGAAACTGATATTTACGGATTTTTACTTCGCGGTTTTATTTTTGATTATAAACTATGTACATACTCCCGACGTGTGATGACGACTCCGTGATCACGGTTGCTGAAAAGTAGCCGAAACGTAAAAATAAAAACGCGAAACGCAAAAATAAAAACGCGAGTAAAAATCCGAAAATATTAGTTTCATTTAGATTTAATATACGTTCATTAATCGGTAGAATCCGTATTATTTTTTAATATACATGTAAATTTTTATATATTAATTTATTTTAAAATTATTATTAATTTATTAATTTATTTATGTCATGACTTTTTTTAATAATAATTTTCGCAACTCTCATTGATCATATTATTATTTTGCTCCAAATGAAATTGTAATCGGTGGAAGCTTTTTGGTTTGTGTACATATTTATTGTTTTGATTGATTGTTTAATACTGTTTGTTTCCCAAAAAAAAATATTTTAATCAACATCGTATGATACTTAACTTGTTTGAGTATTATAAGAATATATTTCGACTAAAAACTTAAACTTTAGAGACTTGACATTTTTTTCTAAGTTATGTAAAATAAAATAAAAAAATATTTTATCACAAGTAAAGCGATTAAAGAGATTGTCTTTTCAAAATTATGTATGTATGTATGTATGTTATTTTTCCAGGGAACTGTCAAAACAATGTCGCTTACAAGTAGACGCGCTAACGTTAGATTCGTCCAACGTGAAAGCCTTCTTATTACTTCAAGCTCATTTATTAAGACTACCTCTACCCAACACCGACTACCTCACAGACACTAAGTCAGTGCTCGACCAGGCTATTAGGATCATACAGGTAGCACATAGGCACATTTAAATAAAGTAATCCAAAGATATATTAAATATAATATTTTTTAATTAATCCCATATTTTTTCATTGTTTATATTTCAAACCTAAAACTGATGGTATGTTTTTATTGTCGTTCTGCCTACTAAGTTATCGGACCTTTAATAGTACAAATAAATTTTACATTTCATATTTTTATCGTACAATCAACTAGCGCCATTTATTTGCTAGTTCTTAGAATCTTATTTTAACTCCATTAAGTGTAACATACATTTCCATCTCATTTAATTTATTAATGACCATTTTTACGGTTAAATTTTCATACGTTTCAAAAACACTGATACATTTTAAATCCTATATCTACTATCTCTATGCTATAACTTTAGATAATATTCATTTCAGGCTATAATAGATACAACAGCGGAAAACGGCTGGCTCTCAGTATGTTTGATATCACAGATGTTGATGCAATGTATCGTTCAAGCGAGGTGGTACACGGAATCCGCTTTAACGACTCTACCGCATATAGAATCGCAGCATTTATACATGTTCTCACACATGGCCAGAGACAGTAATAAGCCGTGTATAACATTGAATGGTTTAAAAGTAGCTTGTGCGAAAAATTACGAGCTACTAGCCAAATATATGAGACGGGAATTTGAAGAAAATCAAATTGAACAAGTGTACAGGGTGAGATTTCTTATTATAAACAAGTTTTGGCCTCATTGTCTTTCATAATAGTTTAATAGATAAATGAATAAAATTAGTGTGTCTAATAAACTAAATATATGTATATGGGTATGGTAAGCGACTGACAGCGACATCTATCATCTGTTACGACGTGTTTTCGTAGAAACTATTCAGAATGAAGGGAAAAATCTGTCTGTCTGTCTGTGCCATATTATTAGACAATTTGATTAAAATTCCTAAAAATTTCGTATTCACAATATACAATCTATATTATAGGTAGAATGTTTAAAAAATCCATTAATAAGTTTATTTATTAATATTTGTTATATCTTCTATAAAAATAGAAAAACTTGTTTGACAAAAATTATTCTAAACTCACTATTTATTATGATTACTTTTACCCATATTACCCAGGCTATAATGGATCTACCAACTTTGGATCTCAAACTGTCTGTCCGTGGAATTTGGTTTGATGTTGATTGTGAACAAGACAAGCGGATACGACAACCGGCCGGCAAGAATGACTGGATACAACTACACGCGGACCAGGTAATGATGGGAATAATAGGCAAAAACACAAAATAAGTCGCTTGTAAAACTTATTTCTTTCTATGAAGGAAAATTATAAAAATAGCCCAAAGAAAATAATTCCCAAATATCCATGGTTTAAAGAGCTTTCTAATGAGGTTTTTCAATAGAAAACGTTCAAAGTATGTTGAGTTTGTATATATTAATAAATAATAATTATTTCAAACAGGAATACACAATCGTAATAGACATGCAAAGACGTGGCGGTAACCCTAATAATGTGTTATGTCCTCGTTTCCCGCGCGGTAAGAATGAGGGCTGGTTCATTACACTCGGCTCTATAGAAAATGGAGAACTTCACGCTTTAAAACGTGTACCGGCTAAAGGGACATCAAATGTTACCTTCTACACGCCGTCGCAAACTGGTAATGTATAGCTAATAAACACTTAAAACAACTTAAAATATCCATTATCCTACGAATATTATAATTGCGAAATGAGATCTAAGATTTTTGCGAGTACTCTTAAATGAAACTAATATTTTTCGGATTTTACTTCGCGTTTTATTTTTGATTAGAAAACTACATACTCCCGTGTGATGTCATATCTCGTCTGCCCGTGATCACAGTTGCTGAAAAGTAGCCGAAACGTCGAGAGTATGTAGTTTTCTAATCAAAAATAAAACGCGAAATAAAATCCGAAAAATATTAGTTTCATTTATAATTGCGAAAGTTTGTGTGTGTATGTTTGCTACTTCTTCACGCTCAAACCGCTGAACCGATTTTGATATTTTGCATATACCAAGCTGACGTCCAGGAATAACACATAAATTGCTTTACATCCCGGAAATCTGCGGGTAACACCGCGGGGCTCAGCTAGTTGTTAAATAAAAATATTGAAAAGTCAGAATCCCTACTAATATTATAAATGCGAAAGTAACTCTGTCTGTCTGTCTGTCTGCTACGCTTTCACGCCTAAACCACTGAACTGATTTTAATGAAATTCGGTACAGAGATAGAGTTGACCTTGAGAAAGAACATAGGATAGTTTTTATCCCAGACTTTTGAAAGGTTCTCTTGGAAACGCGATATAACCGAACTCCACGCGGCGAAGCTGCGGGCGGAAAGCTAGTTTTTTATATAAATTAATTAATAAAAAATGTTTGTTTTCAGGACGTATAATATACACGATGTATGTAATGAGTGACAGTTACATGGGTCTAGATCAACAGTATGACTTACAGTTTGATATCATCGACCCTTTACCCACAGAGACGGTTGACAGAGTATACGATACCATAGATAAAGTTATCATTGAATGATATATTTATTAATTTATTTGTATTATAACACTATGTTATATTTAAATAAAATTTTATACAAACTATTCCACAGGATTTTTTAAAGTAGCTTAAATTTATAAGTTCCTTTTAGGTTTTCTTCGTCTAATTTTTTTTCTTAAAATAGCATAATAAATTTTTGTGAATTGTACACGAATCTAGAAAATATCTCAAAGAATTGTTACCTTTCAGTATAAACAATATCCTATTCTTATTACAACAGTGGCGTGCGCACAATAGATGCAAATAAGCACTGCTACCCTGACCATTCAATAATACGAATGTTGACAGACATTTAATGATATTTAATTCACGATTTGGTAAAATTGTTAAAAGTGTCATCTATCACCTTATAAACTAACATTTTCGATCGGCCGCTGCTAGCAAATAGAGCCGCAATCCAAGCCAAAGCCACCGTATGCACAACTACTCGATGCATAAATTCCATACAAATAATCTCAAGGACGATCTACAAACTCGTGTTGTATGCAGGAAACATTTGCATGTGTGAGTGTGTGTGTGTGTGTAAAACTATGCATGTGTTATATTGTTTGAAAGCCACTGCTTCCTTAACCATACTCGTTTTAAATGTCATAAAAACTAATTTGATCGACAAATGAAAAGGAAAGATTTATTTTTTCGGTATACTCTTCAAATATTTCAAAAAAGTCAGTGGTGGCCTAGTGGTTAGAGGGCCCGCCTCTCGTTGCCGAGGGCGCGGGTTCGATCCTGACCCGGGCAAGTACCAATGTGATTTTTCCGAGTCATATGTACTTTCTAAGAATATTTAGACATCACTGATTAATGCATTCCCAAAAGAGGGTTGATGTCAAGCAGGCGGCCGGTCGTAAAAAACAATTAGCCAAAACTATTCATATTCATAACATGTTAAGGCAGACCCTGGCTATAGCCGGGAAATTGCCAGGTAGAAGAAGAAGACTCTTCAAATATTTTTTATGCCGCTATTTTGTCATTACTGTCTTTCTAAGCGCAAGTGAATAAGTTTTAATTATTCAATTTATTAACGAATGAAGGAAAATTATAATTGTAAGCTCTTTACTGGCGATGCAATGTGAGTTTAACGAAATTAATTAAGAGTACATTTTCAATGTTGTAGTTTAATGAAGATGTAAAGGAAACATGTGTGACCAGTTCAGACGTAACTTAAAAAAGTAATGTTACTCGTTTTAATAAAAAGTGTTATGATAGTTATAGATAGCAGATTGTGTACACACAAATAAGTTTTGTTTTCGTTGTTAATTGTTTTTTTAAAATAATAATAATAACAATGTCTGGATCTGCACTGGATAATTTATTATGATTTAAATAGTTTTCATAAAGCTGTGAACAGCTCGTAACAGGTACTTTCGTGGTTCGTATAAATAGGTAGTTGAGAGATTTATAAAATATTAGCTGACCCGGCGAATTTCGTACCGCCCTATAATCATGAAATATCTTTTACACACTACAAATTATTTTGTAGAGACCAATGTGAAAAGTACACTTAAAAATGGTAAATGAATTATGTACGTATTTTTTTATTATAACTCCGGCCGCAGACCAACTCCGACCGTTATTTTTGCAAAGAGTAAGTAAATTTGTTAATTTTTTCTTTGTTTTAATGGCAACTACGTGAATGTTACTGCCAGTGACACAATTTCATTAAAAAAAGCGAAATATTGTAGTATTTTTTTCTAGTAATTTTCATAACTTTATCTTTCATAAGAACCTTCTCCATATAATAACAAATAGAATAAAAAAAAGACTTAGTGAAATAAGTCCAGCCATTCACGCGTGATGCCGTAATCAAGGAAAAAAAGGATTCATTTTTATATGTATACATATAGATGTTAATTCTGATCGGATTGCTGTAATTTTATGTATGTTATCTATGTTTTAGAGAAGGAAATTATGATGAATATAATAAATACCATTATTACATTTAAAGGAAAAACAAAAATTAATGATGTAATGGAATAAAAATGCTTTTTATTACAATACACATGTTATTTTATAAGCGGATATTATACTATGTTACAGAGGAAATGGCTTAATCATTTTGGTTGCGCGCCAGTCAACATCAGACTCACGTGTACTCTCATAAAAATAAAATAAAGAATTGTACTATCACAATGGTACAGTAATTTATTATAAAAATATACTTATGATAGAAAATAGGCCTAGCATTTTGAAAAAATAATAATCTTATATAGCAAAATTATAAAAATTTATCCATATTCAAATATTCTAATAAATACACTTAACATGAACCAGACAAACAAGTAATGTTTATGACTCACAAAACCAAACATTCACATAAAATTTAAATTATTTGCTTATTATACTAATTAACATATTTTAACAAAACAAATAGTGATTTTAGGTAGATATGGCAGACAGACAGACATTTTACATTCAATGCAGTACAAGCAACATTTTTTATAATGTAAAACTTAACTATACTGCTTAATTAACTATAAGATAATATGTATTGTTATATATTGAAAATTTGTCATCTCATACAGAAAACAGTTAAAATAAATATGTTGAATGTGCAACATGAAAAAATAGGTAACCTTGAATAAAGCATGGCTATTACATAAGTCAAGATTTGCATAGATAACAAATATTAGCATCCATAAATTATGTTACAATAATAACTCTCTTAGAGATCTATTTAACACTCAAACAATATCAAATATTGTCGGAGTGCTTGGTTCATGCTATTTATGTTTCTTTTCGTATTCAATGGCACGAGCCTCAGATATTATTTGTCTTTCCCTTGTCAATATTCCATCAATCTGATTTGTGAAGGCCTCAAACGAAAATTTTGTATCAAATCTCTTCCTCCCAGCTTCTCCCAACTTTCTACATAGTTCAGGATCAGTCATTAATGTAAACATGGCTTTTGCAAAGGATTCACTTGTCGGTTCACAAAGGAAACCTGTGACTTCATTAACTATAGTTTCCGTCGGTCCACCACTGTTCACCGCAATAACAGGCTTGGAGTAATACATCGCTTCAAGAGGAACTATGCCAAAATGTTCATTTGATGGTGTATAAATCAATGCCTTACAGTTATACAATAGAGATACCTTTTCTAGATCTCTGGGAGATTTCATGAATGTCACTTTTTCTTCCAAATCAAGTTCTGCCGTTAAATCAGTTAGTTCTATAAAGTGTTCCATATTTTCTAAATTAATTGGATCAAAACCACCTGCTATTATCAGATGTACCCTCTCCCATTCAGTTTCATCAACCATGTTTTTCAATTGTTCTAATGCAAACAATGCCAATTTTAAGTTCTTTTTCTTTTCATACCTATTGATAGACAAGAACACAAACTTATCTGCACCTATTGGCAATATTTCTTTTAGGGCTTTTGGTACAGCGGTCTTAAAAAACTCTGTATTGATGGATGGATAACAAATGTCAGGGATATCTTTAATTTTTTGAAATGCATCTTTGTAAACTCTGGCTGTATATTTACTGTTAACCAAAACTTTATCCGCCCTAGCAGTGGTCAATTCCTCTAACCAGTTAAGTGGAGCTCTATATAACTTCTTTAGGAAACCTCCCTCCGCAGATAATAGCTTATCAGGATGATGACAATAAAAAACTATTCTATGAGGCCCACGGGCCATTTTCAAGAATGGAATACATAATGAGATCAAATCACAGAAAATTAAAGTTGGCTCTTCAGCCGGAATCACGTACCACGCTAAATAAATAGCTGCAAAAACCATACGTGCATAAGCACACGCGGCCCTGAATCTTCCAAATATGGATCGTGGGATCCAATCCCCAACTACATTCACAGGAAATGTCCCATTCATAGTTTCGGCGAAACAATGTGACGGATCGTGATGGTTTGTGTAATATATTACATCGTGGCCTTTGCTTTTAAAGGCCAAGCCGGCATCCAAAACTAAACGCTCTGCTCCTCCAACACCCAAATCAGGATGGAGAAATATTATTTTAACCATATTATATGATGTTAGTCCAGTATCAAACTATTAATAAATTATTCAACGTCTGAAACTCATATTTTAATGCCCAAAAAAATCTTTTTATTTCCAGTTTTTAATCACGTATTGATTTTCGTCAAATGTCACAGTCAATTCACCTAGTGTCACAACCAAAATTTCTGCGTCCAGAAATATGTACACACATTTATATGTACTACAATTCATTACAAATATTTAAAAAAATAGAATATACGGATTAAAACAGTTGGCTCTATTGTTTCCCAATAGTAGGAAAATACATAACGATATACTACTTAATTTTTCTTCAAAAAAATAAGATGTAATATAAAAAAAATTGTCAAGGTATATTTCTCTCTAAAATCTCAGTTTCAAATAGGCTTACTGAAATGTAATAAATAAATTTATAAAATAAACTCTTATTCTATAAATAAATATTGTTTTGTAATCATATCATGATTATTTCTTTCAATATATTAAAATTAATGATTAAGGGTATCAACAATTTTTACATAATATTTATTTATTTTATTTATTCTTTATTGCACCCAATTCTAAAACTAAAAAATAACATTTTCGTAACATATCCTCTATTATATGCCTATTTTATACATGTTGTTCTTTTATGACTTCATTAAAATTTTAAAATGTACAATTAGACAAATCAGTCTCGTTTTCACCCTGTTTTCAGATATTTATAACTTTTTCCTTGATAATAACATCAAATTCATCAAAACCTTCATTCATTCTCTCTAGGCATTTTTAACATTTATATCATTATTTTTTTGAACATTTCTTGGTATTAATAAACAATAAAGTTCAATTATCATTACAATTAAAGATAACATGGTTACATCTTATATTTAATTGGAAGTAGGCAGATATTATAATTAGTATCAATTTTCAGACTTATATAAACAGAAAATTTTATTAGTTAATATCCTTTCTTGGTGGGTTGTTTTAAGTATGGCTTTCATCCGTGCAGAGACAGTTACTCTACTTAAATCTCAAATAAAACAACCAAAGTTTATATAGTTAAAATGTTTATTATAAACTGATTATAATGTTAATTAAAGTTCATCTTTCCGCTCAATCTTGACTAGATCAACATGGAATGTAAGTGTTGCAGACTTCGGAATCCTTGGTGGAGCTCCTGCCTCACCATAAGCTAACTCTGGTGGTATGACCAACTTCCTCTGTTCCCCTTCACACATACCAATTAAACCTTGATCCCAACCCTTTATGACCTGACCCGAGCCAAGAGTAAATGTAAGTGGGTGGTTTCTTGGTATAGAACTATCAAATTCGGTACCATTTTCCAAAGTGCCCTAAAAACAAAAAATACTTGTTTAATTTTGATTTCCCAGATAAATAAATCATGTTACATCTGAAAGAAATAGTTCTATTTAATAATGGTTTTTCAAGATTATAATCTTGCGATAAATAATAAAGTGATAATAATTATCACTCCCAAATATTTTTAATAATTTTCATATTTGACTAAATGTTCTATGTCACATGAAATATGTGGACATATTATTTGTAAAGAGTTCACTGAAAACAGATTTATCATAAATTACACAGCATTCAGAAGAAAGTAGTGATTGTTACTAAATTATTAAAACTATTATTTTCACAATTAACACTGACATTGTTTAATACATTTTGTATGGACTAGTCATGTACAATATATTAAACAATTAAAGAAAAATATTAGTTAATTCTAGAAATCGAAGAATGTCAGCCTTACTGTATAATGCATATGCAGTATATCCCCCTTCTTGCTTTTAATTGGGCATTCAGTTGGTCTTTTCTTTACGCCGATCTGTAGTTTTTTGGACCCGCTGGCACTGGCTATCACAACATGTTGGAATGCACTCAGGAAAATAACTAGAAATAGTAATATCTTACAAATAGAGATAAATGAAGGCATTTTATTTTTTCGAAAGTAATCCTCAATGGAAGTCAAAAAACCCGATATCAAATAAACTTTTCCCTACAATTTAATTCACAATCAAAGTGAATTTAATTTTTTAAAAGGGAATAAACTAACTGTAAGATCTACTTTTATGAGTAACGCAAATATCTATCAATATTCAAGGTACATTCAACCATGACAACTGAAAGAAACGATACATCATACGCAGATATCGATTGCGACCTCCTTGACGTTTGTCCGAATGAGTTGACGTATGTGAAATGCTTAAATATTATACAACATATTTTTTTATTTAAAATAAAATTTTGAAATATCAAAGATATTTCCTCGAATTAAAAAGTTTTTAATAGTGATAAGGACTCTCAAAGAAGTTCCCCTGATCTAGAATGCTAACAAACTACAGATGGAAAATTAAAATTTGTCAATGTAATTCCTTCTTCTCACTTAGAAAAAGTTTTGATAAAGTTGAGATCTACTTCTAGGCAGTATCCCCTTACTTTCATGTTGCTAGCAAATGAGTTGCTGATATTGATCTCCCTTCTCCAGTCCCATAGTACTACTATGAGAAGCATAACAGGCAAATTAGTTCGTCTTTAAGCCATAGGTTAAATTGAAAGGTGATAATTTGCAGTCTAATGAATCAGCCCATAGAGTTATTAGAACCAAAAAGTGCATTTATAGTGGTGCCGCCGAACCAAATTCCAAAGGGGCTTGCTAAAAGTAAGAATGATGAAGCAATGGAAGTTATCATTTAAATGGGAACCTCCTTGGAAGGTGCCTCCACTTGTTATTTACTTTTTAATGTGTTATTTTTGTAAAAATCTTTAAAAAATAAAGCATGTTAGTAAAAAAAAGTTTCTAAGTTCACCTGTACTTATGGTATGGTATGGTATTGAAATTCTTAGAATGTGTGATAAGATACACTTAGCTACCTATATATTAAATATAATACAAATCAAACATGTCTCAAATATAAAACGTTTTTTTTTATTTCTATTAACTTAATTTTAAACAATCTATTTCATAATAATTTGCCTTACTACTACTTTGTTGAGCTATTTCTAAACAGATAAATTTCATTGTCAACTGTCAACTTCGAAAAATACAAATATTTATGTTGTGATATTTTAATGTTATGTATTAAGATTTATGTTTAAGAGGTGTAGGATCCTTGTAGACCAAATACATACATATGAGCGACGATTCTAAGTTTTTTTAAATATTACCTATTTTCTCATTTGAGTTAGTAAAAACTTTGTAGGTTGTATATCATAAACGAAAATGATACAACTTGAAAAATTTAGGAAATTCTTAATAAACAGAGTTACTTGTACTCCGAATATCATTGAATATATCGAGAATTGTTTATCAACAGAAAATGAAAGCGTCAAGTATTCGTTTCATAAAATTATGGTATTTAAAATGATATACGCAATCTCTTAATAACGAGTATAGCTTTGTACCTACTTATATGCTCATAAATTACATATTACGATTGCAGATTCACAATTGGTCTGAGAGTGGTCCTCAACTGTTTGATGTCTTGAGTGAATATTTTGGCGTCACCATAATCCCCATTAATTTTAGTTCACATCAAATTGTAACTACATTTTACACAAGCAGTCTTTCCTTTGTGTTAAAAGTTATTAAACTAGACTTCATGTTTCCTCATCGAAGGAACATGTCTAATATTGAAATACTTTTCAATGACAAGAACTCTTATGATTGTTTTCAAGAAAGAACCACAATTGAGGAAATAGTGTCAGAAGTTGTGAGCAGACGTTTTAATGAATTTGGTGAATTAAATCTATCTAACATCTGTAATGATCCTGGTAAATAATTTTATTTTAATTCAATACTTCAACCTTACATATAAACCTATAAGTAAATTTGTATAATTAAATTATGTATGGTTAAAGACACATACCTACATATTAAAAAATAGAAGATTTAATATTTTAGTCACACAATTTTGCCATGTAAAATTAAACCTTTATGTTTATTTCTGATAATGCTGTGTTAAAGTATTCAAGATAATTACATTTTACAGACATATCAACTATAATTTATAATCAAACTCTTCCATGTTTTCAGCTTTTGCAGAGAAAAAGATATATTTTTACAAACCATTGCTGTTATCCCAGTTTAAGATTTTAATGATAAGAATGGGTAAAGATACAAAATTGCTGAATTTAAGCAACAATGAATTAAAGTAAGTACTTATAAAGATTATATCATTCCAAAGCACATAAAATATTAACAAATGTTTTCTATTTCAGTCACATCCCATTGGACATATTAAATTTCTTCATTAAAGGTGATCTGACTGGGGTTAATCTGAGTAATAACAATGTGAGTTAACAGGATCTAAGATTTTCGGGAGTCTTATTCATTAAAATGGAACTAATATTTTTCGGATATACTACTCAATGTAATTTTAAGAAAAAAACCACATACTCCCGACATTTCGCCTTCTTTTCAGTAATGGTGATCTCGACTGCCCGTGTTTGCCAAAATATTGGCTGATGTTAATTAATTGTTGAGAATATCAAACTATAGTTATTACTGAGTTGTTTTTGATAACATATATGTATATTTGTGTTTATTTTAAAGATACCTTCAATTTACGAACTTCAAAGGGTGAGCAGCAAAATTGAAAAGTTATGGATAGAAGGCAATCCCTTGTGCGATGGTAAATTGGATGTTAATGTGTACATCAAACAGATACTGCAAAAATTTCCTCGACTAACAGAACTGGTAATACAGCAAGTTTTTGTATTGTTACAAATCATAGCTGGTCTATCTCAACATATATAAGAATACTAGCTTTTGCCGCGACTTCGTCTGCGTGGAATAGTGACTTCCGGTAGATTTTGGTTCTTCCCACATAGTTCCCGTTCTTGCGCGGTTTTCGGAATGGTCGAGTTCCCGTAGAATTTTCAGGATAAAACCTACGTTTTTTTTATTCACAATAAAGTACTCTTAACCAACAACATATTTATTTGTTTATTTAAATAAATATTAATATTATTATATTGATACAACTTAAACAAATTATTTCGACCAAATTAGGTACCATAAAAACGGTTTTTGTGAGTTAATCTTAAAAGGTAGACCTATACTGTCGCGGACTGTTTTTTAGATCATTAAAAGAGCTATTATTCTTTAATACATATTTTTTGTGAATCTTGAACCGTTTTCACGGCGCACGAGACGGAAGGCTTCAAAGATGAAATAATTTCTCCCGTTTTTTACACATTTACCACTATATCTTTGCTCCTATTGGTCGTAGCGTTATGTTATATAGCCTACAGCCTTCCTTGATAACTGGACTATCCAACACAAAAAGAATTATTCGATTCGAATCAGTAGTTTCGGAGATTAGCGCTTTCAAACAAACAAACAAACTCTTCAGCTTTATAATATTAGTATAGATTTGGTACGAAATTTCCAACATTTTAGCTATGTACACATGAATTCTCCTCCAAACTTGTTTAGTGATTATTGTATGATAGACTTACAAACACTTATATTTTATACATATCTGTATATAAAATTTGTAAGAAGTAGATTTCATCATAATATAAAGTTAGTCAAAAAATTGTTTAGAAATAAGCCTGAATCCTATATCATCATTGATTTTTATTTCCAGGATGGTGTGAAAATAAATAATTTCGGAATAATGTTTCCATTTTATAAAAGTTATGTGGAAAATCCAAATAAGAGGACAATGACTGTAGTTGAGAACTTTGTTTCATTATACTTTGCTCATTATGACACAAATCCAAGGAAAAGAATTGATATGTTTTATGAACCGAATGCTCAATTCACATTGTCAACATCTTTTACAAGTATATTACGGTTTTTTTGTTCATATAATTTTTCTTTCAGAAATAATTTAGGATATTATATAATACTAGCTGCGCCCCGCGGATTTCCGGGATTTCCGGGATGTAAAGTAGCCTATGTGTTATTCCTGGACGTCAGCTTCCTTTATACAAAATTTTATCAAAATCGGTTCAGCCGTTTCAGTGTAAAGAAGTAACAAACATACACGCACACTCACAAACTTTCGCAATTATAATATTAGTAGGATTTACTAAAATATTTTTTACACTTTTGGTGACTTTTACCTTGACATCTCAAAATTTTAACCATATGGGTATCATATTCAATAGCTGTAGCCTGTAATATATCTTTTTCATTTTCAGAAGCTGAACAAAACATGATGCAATCATACACTATGTTCTCTAGGAACATGTTGGAGCCAAAAACACAAATGGACTTGAAATATAATCGAGTTTATAAAACTCAGTATGCCATTGTTGGTGTTTTATCACAACTCCCAGAAAGTAAACATGATATCAGAACATTCAATGTTGATGTTTTGAAACATGATGTAAGGAAATTTTTAATTTATCATATAGACTAGATTATTAATTTTAATACTTAATTTCTTTAAACAATAATTTATCTTGATGAAATTTTATACTAAATTAGTAATTTTTTTAGAACCAAACATTAATTCTGGTCATTGATGGGATCTACAAAGAAATGCCATGTGATAGCAATAAAGAAAATTACTTACAATTCAGACGGACATTCATATTTAATATAAGAAATGTTGATACTATGTCACATTATTCTATAGCATATGAGATGTTTTCAGTATCATTTGCATCACCGGAGAAAATAAAAAATAGTTTCCAGGTAAAGTAAATAATTTTAAACATACCAAATTACTTTTAAAATTATATTGTGTTGTTTATTATTATAAATTTATAGACACCTATCAGACATTTGAATCAGTTGAGCCTGATTGATCCAGAGAAAGAAGATAAAGATATAATTCGTGGAGCATTCACTCATATAACGCAATTAAAAAATTCTGAAGCGGAATCGTTAGTATCTATTTATTATAATTTTGTAACGTCATCTGTCGTTTTGAAATTTAAACAATCATATCCTATTCTTTCAGACGCTTGCAAAGACACAGCTGGGATTTAAGAAAAGCTTTGTCAGAATTTGCTTATGAATATAAAAATGATTTTTTTAATGACGAATGTTTCATGAAGAGTGATTTGTCGGACTTGTCATCCGTCCTTGATGTTGATGAGATTGATTAAATGTTGTCATTATATGATTAATTACTGTTTACAATTTTACATCTTCAGAAATTATAAATCTTGTGATCTCATGGTATCATTAAGTTATCCTTTTCACATCCTTTTGTAATTCAGATTCAAGAACATATTCTTTATAAGTGTTTTTTTTTTCTTTTAAGATATTTAAAAAAAGTTCGTTAGTTTGTATCTTATACGACAGTAGCAATAAAAATAAAAGAGACATTAAGAATACCATTATTTATTCTCGTAACACTGTATAGTTTGATATTGTTAAAGCTTGATGATTAAAAATTTAATAATGACGAGTAATATCTTTAAACTATTTGAATACTCGCTTAGAAGGACTCACCACTCGGTACTTTAATACTTTATATGCATACGTTGAACCGTCTATAACGTTTTTAATTTTACTATAGTTAGAAAATATTGCTAGAAAGTTTTGAACGAGAAACTCTCGTTTAAACAATTACTGATTGTTTGAGTAGCCTGAAAATAGTTAATCTCTATCTCTTTACAAACTCAACAAGTTGATCACATACATTTACTTAAGCAAATAAATTTTTAGTTAATACATATTCAATAGAATAAACAAGCGTATGCTTATAAAATTAAAACATATTTTAGCAGTCTACTGAAATATTATTCTAAATTATAACGTTTAAATAGGTCTAATTTGTATTTATTTCTAACAGTAACCGTAATTTATTGGTCGACAATATAAATAATTGTGGTGGTTATTTATAACAATAAATGCTTGTCTTTTGACACCACAATTAAAGGTATAATTCTCAAGTTTATTAGCCAGTATAATGATTCATAATTTTGTTATATGTAAATAAAAACGACACTAACCGACTATAATAAAAATAGTTGGTAACACCTAGGGGTTGACAGTGACAGTTGACAGTATATAAATTACTTTTGTCTACTAAGCTGTTTGCTTGTTCACTTTGTTTGCTTAAAATCGTTTATAATAGTTTTAATTACCTTGTCTTCTAAGCTGTACGCTTATACACCTCTTTCTTATAGTTATCAATATTACCAGGGTCATTTGACCACTGGAAAGATTTTCTAAATTGCAAGACACGATTTAACAGTGCAAGCTCCAAACATGCCCACAATGGGATCTCTGAACCAGGGGATCCAGTATGCTAATAATCCGATCCAAAGCCCTCAGCTTCAAACGTCACTGCAAGGCTCGCCCTCGCAACATAGCCCTATGGGAATGCAATCACAAACAGCGCCTAAACTAAACCAAGGAGGTGGCGATCAGACGTCACAAGTATTTAAATCAAATTTTATTCCATCTACTTGTGTTTAACGTGTTTCCTTTAGTAAACTAACTGTATACTTGTAGCTTCTCAGTCGTCCAAGACTGCAAGAGTTAGTCAGGGAAATCGACCCTACAATGCAGCTAGATGAAGAAGTAGAGGAAATATTACTGCAATTAGCTGATGACTTCATAGACACATCACTATCTTCATCTTGTGCTCTAGCTAAACACAGACATTCATCAAATGTAGAACTTAAAGATGTTCAACTACATTTAGGTGAGATAATTGTGAATTTAGTTATAATTTAAATGATTGTTATAGATATTTGGTCTGTTAGAAATTGTAGTTAGAAGTAATTTGATATTTTAAGAGTGATGTATGGTGCTTTCGAAGACTGTGGTGAGAGATATGAAAATACAATCTGTCTTTTAAATGTCTAGGTTTTAAAATCAATTAGCTACTTCATTACTTATTCAAAGTTGAAATAAAAATCAAGACATGTCTTTTGTTTAGAGTATAAACATGTTTCATTTTGCCATTACTGAAAATCAAAATATGTTATTGTTTAAATTATATGTACAAGCAAAATTTTTATAAAAAATAAGTATTTTTAATTATAAATCAAAGAAGGAATTATTTATTATGAAATTCCAAAGAAGTTGACATTAGCACTGTGGTAAAAATAGTTGAGAAGCTGAATATGAATAAAAAAATACAACTAAAAATTTTCATTTTTATAGTATATAATATACAGTGTGTAAAATTATTAAAATTGTACTGTTTTTTGCAAAATCATATTTTATTTTATATTTTTTTACAATAATTTAATGTAGTTTACTAAATAAACTTCGGCTTTATTATTTTATTCGTATAATACAGTTTTAATATTAAGGTATGTACTTTTCATTTGAATACTTGAATCATAATTTCCGTAAAATATATGAATTGTTCAATACATGGGATTTTGGCCCATAAATGTTTATGTACCACTTTCCCATTTATTTAGAAAATTAAGAATTTTTATTTGTTTTCTGTATCTCTAGCTATCATCACTTTACCCAGTGAGTTTACAATAATGAGTTATAGAACAAATTTAGTAAGTGTTCAAAACATTTAATATATGCATAGAGTACACTTAAAAATATAAAAGATCCCAGTATGTTTGTCAATTAACTGGAATTGTAAGCACAAATTTTTATCTTTAGGTTAAATTGAATTCTCCGTAAATTGTTTTAATAATTAAAACTATGTTTATTTTAGTATATGTAACTATATATTGTTTTACAATTTATGATACATATCTCTTTGTTACAGAACGACAATGGAATATGTGGATTCCAGGTTTTGGAAATGATGAACTGAGACCTTATAAACGAGCAGCGGTTACAGAAGCACACAAACAGAGAATGGCTCTCATTAGAAAGACTATTAAGAAATATTAAAACACCAAACCTAATATAATCTAAGTGCTTTTAAACTTCATATTGAGGCATTTTGTATAATAAAAGACGGATTATTTGTCACACAATTTATTTAAATTAAAATGTCAATTATACCTACAATAAACACTATAAATTAAGTACATCAATCACATCTTGATCACTCTAATCACATAATAAGCAATAAAACTTAAAATCACAGGATTACATATTGATTGGGTTAGAATTTGAGTGGAATGTAAATATGCATGTTGCCAAATAGAAAGATTTTACATGATTTGCTATTAAATAGTGTACATGATCAAAAATAGTATATGTCTATAAAAATGCCAATAATATGTAAAATTGAAATGGTACATCTAATTATAAATACAAAAACTTGCAGATGTCATGGCTAGGCCATTACTACATTTCCTATTCTACATTAAACCTTAAAATTAATGTGATTTCTTTAAAATTAGATAATACTTTATGATGCAAAATGCAAGAATCTTATGCTTGTATAAACATGCAAAACTTTAAACTACCGTTTCATAAAAATAATACAAAAAAAAAGAAACAAGAAAAACATGAACAAAAAGTTCAGGTTCCACCGAGATTTGAACTCGGATCGCTGGATTCAAAGTCCAGAGTGCTAACCATTACACCATGGAACCGATGTGCGACATGTGCATTTTTGAGTAGTGTTTTTTTTTATATTAAATACACATCTGTGTACACACCGAGTTCCGTTTGCACTCTGAACTCTTATTTTTAATGAAGTTGATTTTTATGTATCTTTTTAAGCGGATCCATTCTTGTTTGGAGATCATTATAATATATAATTAGCGTTGTGCCATATATGCCAGATAAAGATGACACCTAAGTACATATCCATATTCAAAGATAGATCTTTAAATTTATTAATTTTCTTAGTGAAATTCTCCATATAAGTGATAAGTTGGTAGCGAAGTCAACAAAGTTGCGGTAATGCAAGACAAAACAAAAGTTTTAAGAACACAAACAAAGTGGAGAACCACTTGCAAGGATTTTGACCTTGAATAGTAGTGTCAGGTCAAAGATACACTTCGTGATTCATAATATGTTTGTAAATTAAGTACCAATCAAGGCGTTATATAAAAATCATTTCTTGTTTACTGCACACACGCTGCTTCCTGTTTGTCAGCGATGTAGAGATGATCGGATGGGTCCAGCTTTTGCCAGTGCAAGTATTTAGACTTGATAGTTACTGGTTCCTGAAACAAAATAGTAATTCATTAGTATTACAATAATACATATTCTTGTTTTAGATTATAGTGGTCGGGAACTGGGAAGGCTTGTCTTAGAATTTTATTTCAAATATTTCAAGTTCTGTATTCACAATCTAACGATATTCTGCTCGGATTTCTGCTCGTACTAAAGGTACGACAAATTTTTATCTCACCAAATTACCTAAACCACAATGTTTATCACTATAATGAAATAAGTGCCACCTACTGAAATATGAGGCTCAACCTAAATATATTAACGTTTTTATTAAAATAACCATTAAAGAACTAAACATAGAATCTTAAAATATTAAAAAAATATATTTTTATATGTACATTTTTTAAAAATGAAATCGTAAAGAGTAAGATACAATGTTATGTTAAAAATATAATCTTTATCTATAATATTTATCATGGTAACGGTAATGCCCCTCCAGGTATTCGCATTGATTTGATAAGATAATAAATAAATAAAAAATGATACGATTTTTACGTTTTACATATTAAATTTTATATAATCCAGTTATTCTTAAGGTAAAAAAAGGTACATAAAACGAAGCATTGTCGTTGCTCATTCATTGACCTAAATTTATATTTTAATATGCAAAGATTTCTGAATAAAAACGTTTAAAACAATATGTAGGTATATGGGGATCATAGAAACTTAGAAGAAAATAATAATATAGCTACAAAAAATAGAAATATTTTAAAATCTTGAAAGCATAATTAAAATTACCTATACAACAAAAATAAAAGGAATAGTCGATTCAAAATGAAACAAACAACACAGTTGTTAAGCGGAATCGTAACAAAAAGTATTTGAAGCCTTGTAGAGGAGTGTTTAGTCGAACAAAGGAAGCCATATCGAAGTTAAACATCTAAGATATTGCAAAACGAATACTAGAACTGATAAATATTTCCTTATACATACACGATAATCTTTACCTTTATTTTCTTAATATAAGGAATATTATTGACTAAATTTTGTTTTTAATACATTATAGTATTAATTCATATGCTTTTGCATGCCAACAATGTTGATGTTCGTATCTTAATTCAAGCAAATTCTAGTTTTATAACAACGCAGTTACAAAACTACGTCAAATTTATAACTTGATAACAAACGTCGTTCAATATTCAAAATAACCGGAAACATAAGTAACGCAATATGTTTTGAGTATTTTTTGTAATATTATGTATAATACGCATGAAATTATTGACTTTAATCTCTAAATATTGATTGATAATAACCTTACGAGTGTTTTGCAATAATTGTACCAAGGATTTGCAAGTACGTACTCAAAGTGGCCGTGACTAAATTATTATAAAATTAAATACCTACGTAAATATGTATATCTTCAATAAACACTAGATATCAAACACAAAATTTACTAACGGTTAGTAACCAATTTACGATATTATGTCTCGTCATCGTGATTAAATCTTAAAATATTGGATCAAATCTATTAACAATAAATAATCGGGTTAATATAGATATATTTGAATGGACTAAATTACATATGAATTCTTAGAATTAATGAGGACGTCTTATGTGGATCTATGCCAAATACCGTTAGCCTATTAAACGATTTTGGCATTTCAGTGCTCACAGCTGATAGAAGCATTTATATGAAGTATAATATTATACTAAATTTTAATTGAACTATTTTGCTGACTTAGCACAATAGATGAACTATTGGAGACAAATTTTCTAGTTATTAAAAATATTCATTAAAATATTTTGCATCAATGTGCGTAAGAGCGTCCAAGTATAGATATTTTGGTCTTCGTCAATATTATTTAATGATCGAAATATTCATCAAGCGGAAAAGGCATTCAAAACATATTATTGTTGTTATATTATGAGAATGTTAATTATAACTCGTGCCTGTAATTCGATCGACCTTGAATCGAAAATTTTAGGTATTTAACATGTGTTTCACTTTAATAAATAGGTTATTCATATTCACTGAATTATCAATTTCAATCACGCGATATAGGAACTTCTAACATGTGTTTTGTCACGTAGTTACAACTCAGACTATTATGTGTCATAACAATACCTGCAATAGTCTTAACAAAGGCAATATAATATAATATGTCATACTTACAGCATTAAAGGTAAAAATATAACTAATCTACAGCATTAAAGGTAAAACTAAAAAAAATAATAAAAATAAACACCGTTATTCTATTCAACAATACTTCGTGATTTCTCTACACAGTACTCAAGATTAGATTCATACAAGAAATAAAAACGTTAACGTTGGCAAAATATTCTTTAATTCCAGTGCAAATGAATCCTTCAAAAAAAATAATTTTAAATAATTATGAACTTTCTTATATTAATTTATTTGTTGTAGAGTATAGTATTTAATTTTATTACCATAATATTACAGAAGGCATCACACAATTTAGTATTTAGAACCAGACAGATTTAACTAACTCCAGAATAAAGTTAAAATTAAAGAAATTAATTTATATTGGTTCACTATTCCAACTCCATCTATAGACAGATGTCCATACTAAAAATATTTAATTAATACTATTAACAATTTAGAAGTTAACAAATAAAAACTTTCTAGACAATATAATTTCTAATTAAATTGATTTATACTTTATAATGTTGACTTTCTAATAATGTTGATTTCTATTATTATTTTATTAATGTATATTGCATAACAATTATATTTTATCATAATATATTAATATTATGATAAAATATATACTTAATCTTAATTCTAGAAGTAAGTATGATTTATAATCAACTTTTATTCCAGATAAGAGTTTATGACTTGCTACTGTGTTTATAATACAAAAGGAGTTAGCAATCACTTTTTAATAATATAATTTATGGTATAACAATATTTTTCATAAGGATATTTAATGTAATATCTTTTTTATTTATGTATAGTTGATAATTGTGCATCAACTAAGTATTTATAGACACTAAACTTAGCTTCTATTAGTACTTCTTTGTGAAAATTACCACCACATTTATTTCCAATCTGCTAAAAACTCATGTAAATATCTTTCAAGGTCAGAATGCAGGGCATATTATTATAAATTTAATAGCTACACTTAAAATCTCATCATGTTTAACTTTCAATGTTTTTTAATATGTTTATAAACAGGAAATTTAACTAAATGCAAACAAAAAAATCTTAAACTGAACAAAGGAATCAGTATGATATCTGTTCAGGCAAAAAACTAATAATCAAGTAAAATAGCAGGCTTTCAAGAAATTTTCAATTCTATTGCTTAAATTTCTTAAATATTCTGTTTGTTTTATCTTTTAACATTATTTCATCACTACCTTTTAACAATAGAATTAACATATATATGTACTTTTGTAATATAATTTTATGATTGAATTATGCCAATAAATTTTAATGCATGTCAGAACAATAAATTACTTAAAATTTAACTCACCTTTGCAAGAAGCTTCCCATCGGGTCCAACCAGATATTCATCTAGAGCAAACACAAGTGGTGATGCATTACCGAGGTGGAAAATCCTCGAAGAAGTGCCACGGTTGACTCGAAATTCTATGGTCTTAGCCATCAAGACACTCGATATCATGTACACTGATTTGATGCCATTCAATTCTGGTGACAATATTAATTCATATTAAACAATAATTATTTAGGTATTATTATAATTTTATGCTTCTAAGATATTTGAGAAATATTATGTTTATAACACATATCACTTCATTTCATATACATATTTTCAATCACAATGAGTATAATAACTTTGAAGATGCACAAATAGCTCATTGAATCAATTTCTGAGATGTTACAAGAAATTCACTAAGTAGGGCTATAAGATTATAAGAGTATTTCTAATAGTTAGTAAGATTTGATATAGAACTAGTAGAAATATAATAATTCAACATTTTGTCACAAACTTGATGACTTTAATAAAAAAAAAATTGTTGATTAAAACCTTTTTTATTTTATCTGTTTATTAATTAACAGATATATTCAATTATATATATGTATATGGATTTACACAATCCATTATTATTGTGCTTGTAACATAATGAAATTGTTTCATTGCATTATTCCTCTTTATGTATAAACATAATGAATAACCTCATTACAACATAATCTGGTGATCTAAATTCTCCTTATTTTAATTATAAATACTTTGATTAAAAGTACAAAACTTAACACTGTTGTTTAAAGTATTAAAATCATTTTTTTTTTACCTTTATTATTATCTACATCCAGGTAGATATTATTAACAAAGTCTTTGCCTTTGGGTATTGTGCACTTTGTGAAATTGATCATTATAACTCTAACTTTATTTTTCAATGCTTCATCTTGGAGTGTTATCTAAAAATAAAAAAAAATCGCAAAGTTAGTATAGGTAAGAGGTTTATAATTAACATATTATCTGTTTCAGGGTGATACTAGAATAATGTATGTAGCACAATGTCACAACAACCTACTGTAACTAACTAGGTAATGAATATATGTTAATAGTAATTAATCATATAACTGTCATAGCTAGGTTTAGATTTAAATATATTTAATAAAACTGATTATTTTGTAACTAACAACCATATTAGCATAATATTACTTATTGTAATAGAAATTGGAACATAAACATTAAGGTAGCCTTGAACTACGATTCGATACAAGGTCAAATGAAGAAGCATTCGATTAATAAACAGATTGTTATTGAATATCCAAATATTTCATTAACCAAAAAATATTTAATAGCAGACCATCTAGGTAATTATTAAATAAAGTTATAAGAAAAAGAAAATAATCATACCTTGACACTTTCGTGAGGAAATTTAAAATCGGGATCTTGTAGATTTCCCTGATCAAGTAACTCTACGTATTCCGAATTAGATTTCTCCCTATTTATATTATTTTTTAGTTCACCAAGTGGCGTGAACATTTTTCCATTCTTTTCCTTTTCATTTGGTACAAAAAGAGACGTAACATTGTACAATTCAGCCTCTGTGATGTGGGGGATGCAAACAAGCTGACTGCTTCCAATTTCAACTTCTATTTCATCTCTAATGAAAGGCCAGGCGTCCTCTAGTTTTAGAGACTTCAGTTTCTCTAAACTTACATCTTTTCTAATCTCATGTGAGTACAGAGACTTAACAACAACTTTAAGCTTCTTCGGCATCTTAATTTATAATTGTTAGTGCACTTAATAAACACGACACAACCACCTGACTCAATGTTGAAAAATAAACTAATAACTGTTTCGTGATTCTCCGACCAGATCACGTTATTGATTGAACATAAGTTAAAAAGAGATAAACATATACGTTTGCAATACGCTGATGGCTTAGTTTCCCGGAAAAAGATATAAATTAAATGTTTAAATGTTTATAAGGATGATAATTAACAATATGCACCTTTGAGCTAAGAATTTGATTTTGTAGTATGTGTACTGATTGTGATGCTACAACACATTAAAATATTTTAATACATTAGTTACAACTTTTTCTTTTATGAAACAATATATAATTTACACTTGTTATGACAATAAGAAATTAAATAAAGAAACTGATTTTATTCCAAAGGAATACTCAAAACCCTGAAAGAAAGGAAAGTTTCAAAAAGTGACAACACCATCTTAAATGTCACGCAAGGGTCACGTACAATTCACGCGATGGTTGCCTGTCGGATGCATGATCAGGGTTTTTATGAATATCCTATACATAGTTTTTCAGAGTAACCAGATTTTACACAGCTTAAACCTTTCTGCTGGTCACGAAATTACGTCATTTTGTTTCGTGTTTTAGTCATGAATTATGACTCGGGATGCGTGCTGCGTTACTCATGAACTAGTTATTACTTCAATATTTGTTAATTAAATAAAACGGTATTTTTAGTAAAGTACATGACAGAAATAAAATTAGTTACTTAATTTTTTAACCGTGATTTAGGTAGGTAGTTATTTTACAGATTCGAAAATTTGGACATTAATCAAATTATCAAAATTAAATAGTTTCGTCATTTCAAGTTATGCCATTAGTAAAATGGATTTAATACTGCATTATAAACTTTGAGAATTAAAGGCTTAAGAGATATAAAAGGTTTAATATTGGAAATGAAACAATATAAAGTTAATAAAACTATATTTATAAAGCTATTAAATATAAAATAAAGTTATTTAGTGAAGTATAATTTGAGATTAAATATAAGAGAGCTTTTTGTATATTTTATTATATATATGATTGGAATGTTTGATGATACAGCAAATGTGGAGTCAGGAATTGGTCAATATATGTTACAAAAAGCATGATTCAGTAATATATGAATAGAAATAAAATATGAACTATAATGATATTTAAAAATTATTCTATAAACTATTTAATACAAATATATGTCATACAAAAGCACTGCTTTAAAAGCAAAGCTTTGTTTCAGCACACATTTTATTTTGCTCATTATATTGCTTATAAAGCCAGTGAATACAAACAGTATTTCACAATTCATTGGTACTAAGGAAACCCCACACAAGATATTGCACTAACATTATAGAGTAAAGACGAGTAATGAATAACTTCTTGTATTGTGAATTTAAGCATTTCAATCAGTCTTTGCTAGTGCCGAGGCAAATCTGTGATTAATTACTTCTTGTGCACACTTGGTGTTGTAGATTGAAATACAGATGAAGCAGACATCAAGTTTTCAATATATTGACCGAGCACTTGATTTTCTGAACGGAGCTTAAGATTTTCTTCCTTTACAGAATCCACTCTTTGAGACAAATCTGAAATTATATTTAAATTAGGTAGGATTTAGTTATAAAGGTTTAACGAAAGCAAAGAATGACAAAAATCTTTTGCTTTGTTTATCAAATGTAAGTTAGGTTCATAAAAAAGGATTTATGCAAACCATCTAGAGTATTCTGTAGTTCTAAAACTTGAGAAATAAGGCGTGCTTTTTCCTCCTGCTCATCTATACCAGAGTCAGGTTCAAAGCTTGCGGGTCCATTTAAACCAGGGCTAGAGGATCCGGTATAAGAACTTGGAAGCGAATCCATAGAGCGACCGTGATCCAAGCGATTGTTCTCTAAGTCTTCGGATATTATAACTTGCGGGTCATCATCAGCCAAAGGAATGTTATCATCATTACATTTCTGAATAAGAGAAGACATGTTATCTTCGCTTCGCTCCTCACTTTTTTATATTGGGGTCACTGTAATAATCAATAAAATGTTTGAATATAAAATAGGCATATACGAAACGTCAAACTGGCGTGAGCTGTCACATTAAGGCATTTGGCAGATAATTATCGATTAAATATAAAAGTTTCAGTGTAATATCGGCTCATAATAAGGGCGAAATCTATAAGGAAACACTATTATTTAAAAAAGAAGAAAAGATTATAAAGATCAGTTTCGATTTTGTTTGGCTATAATTACCTTTGATATGATTTAAAAAGTTATGATGATAATTGTCATAATAAAATGGTTATGGTTATTATATGGTTGTTGTGTATTGCTATATTACAATATATCTAATGATTTTTATTTGTCCAACAATAGAAACGTTGAATTAGGCAAAATATTGCACGATTCTAGTGCGGATGATAGCCATAACTTAAAAAAGTGTGTACTTTCAATTGTCATAGCAAAATAATAACAATATTTGACAACTTTGAAGTTTCCTTGAGTTGACAGCAATCTTAAATTATGTCACAAGGAGTGGGGACTTATATTGACCGAATGGCTTTATAAAGTTTATTGTTAAAAGTTAAAACCAAGAAAAAATACAGTTTTGTCTCAAAAATTAAAGGAAGTACAATGTCACTTGTTATGAGGAAGTCCCCTATAGAATATTTTAATGCGGCCAAATGGATCATCAGAAGAGGTTATTATTGTTGAGTTTATCTATTTTTGTTAGAAGAAATAAATATATTTAATTAATATACGTATTTCAGAGTGCCGTTACTTGTCAAATTTACCAGAAGTAGCTGAAAATTCTGAAGTAGTTGAAGACAAGCCTCCGAAAGGGCGGAAACCAAGATTTCTCAATCCAACCTTACAGTATAGACATGTTTATCCTGAATTTTTGCCTGATCCAAATCCAAAATTCCGTAATAGTCTTAGAGAGAAGTTGGAGAGAGCTGATATGCTTAAAAGACGGAGCCAGGTTGACATACCTGAGTTTTATGTAGGTAGGTTTGTCGTTTGAGATGTATCTATATATTTGACTTGGTTCATCTGCTTAATAAGATTAGGTATTGATTAAAACTTTTTTTCAGGTACTATATTAGCTGTAACCATAGCAGATCCTCATGCTCAAGGTAAAACAAACAAATTTGTTGGTATCTGTATTGAGCGTAAAGGTTGTGGACTGAGAGCTGAATTCACTCTGAGAAATGTTATTGACCATCAGGGAATTGAGGTAAGTCTTCTAAAGGCTATTTCCACTTTATTAACAACTTAAGCACTACTTTATATATATGATTTCTATGATAAAACTTTTAAACCTCATGTCTCAGACTACACTGTAAATCATAAGGATTTTATTCTTCATGCAGTAAGAAATTACTCTTTTGATAATAAGATCTAAAAATTTTGCGAGAATTCATCATATTACTTTGAGTTATTATTTTTGAAACCAGATACTCCCAGTGTTTTGGTTACTTTATCACAGGGAGACAAGAACTGTTAGACTTTTACATAAATAAATAAATATTATGATGTATAATGTATATCATTAATCACTACATATTATATTATATCAAAAATTTCCTTTTAATAATGGTGTTTATCGAGATCTATGTTTTGGGTTTTTGTAGGTTTTTTTTTTGTATTTTTCAGGTGCGATATGAACTCTATGATCCCACAATACAAAACATCCAAGTTCTAAGGCTGGAGAAGAGATTAGATGATAAGTTGTTCTACTTGCGAGATGCTCTACCTGAGTATTGCACCTTCCCAATTGATATGGACCCTGAAATACTTCCTGAGGGTAGTCCGGTACCTGTTAATACTGTTCAGGTAAGAATTGTGTAATAATATATATTAATACAATAACTTTTTAATTTTCTTGTTTTTATTTATGGTTTGTTTATATTAACTATGGCTATAAAAGCTATAGACAACACAACATTAACTTCTAGATACAAGGCTTATTGTAAGATTTCTAATTATCAAAAATATTTATTTAAATGTTATTACTTCAGGTAAAATTGAAACCGAGGCCATGGCTTGAGAGATGGGAACGACAAGAACTTAAAGGTGTTTCAAATATTGAGGAGCATTTGAAGGAAAAGGACAGGGTTAGAAGAGAGTTGAGAAAAACACCTTGGGAGAAGTTTGATTTGATGAAAGATTACAGGTAACCAATACAGGGAAACTAAATTTGTATTAAAAACAAATTTAATATGACATTCTTGAGTAATCATATTACTATATATTTTTTCAGGAAAACTATCCCTATTGAAGACCAAACAGAGATTTGGGGTGAAGTCTATAACCAACTTCAACAAATGCGAGTATCGCGTAAGAAAATGTCAAAACAACGAACATTTACTGCTCCGAAAACGCAATTGGGATAGTTTTAAGCATATAAACGATAGAAAAATAAATTAGTTATATACACTGGGTTTTATTGCATCAATAGAAAGAGGAATTTTAGATTAAATAGTTTGTTAACCACTGCCTCTGCTATTTATTTTTATATTTAAAGATGATATAAAGATTTGCTAAAATCTTAAGTATACATTTCTGAATACTTTTCCAATACATACTTTGATCAAAAAAGAAAACCAACAATTTGTTTTATAGTGAAGTCTTTATTTAATTAAATCCTTACTAACATTATTCATAAAATATAATATTATACATAAAATAAGTAGTGTGAGATTAAAACTAAATGCTTTGAAAACATTTCATGAAAAAAATGGTTGTGACAAAACTGTATGATGTATCACATAATAGAAATGATTGAAATAACCAATAATTTAAAAAAATAATAATGACTAATATGTTATTATTTTCTATGACAGCTTATAAGAAAGTAAAGATTCTAAAAGTTTCAAAACGACTCGTATCCAGAGCCGTAAAAACATTTACAAACGAAAACTTTATACATGGACGTCCCTTTGACATTGTTGTCAGTTTACACTTTACGCTATTTACCGCCAATTGGATTCTGATGGTTATGGTTGGAAGATGATGCAATGTAGATTAGTAGCTTTATTTTATTGATGGTGGTAAGTAGCCATTAAGGATATTTGGTAGAATAAATAAAAAGGCTCATATTTTTTTTTTGGTCAAATAATAGTTTTTGTATATAGTTGTATTTGGTTATGTTTGGGATTATATTTATTTTCTGTCTCTATTTAGTAAATTTTTTCTACAAGTAAATTTTGCTAAACATATACATTATTATCATGTTTTTATCTGTAAGATGGATAGAGATACAAAAGTTGGTAATTCCTGGGCTCCTTGAACGCCACTCATCAGTGGTCACCTTTAAAACCTTTCTGGCAACACTATTATTTGAGACTTATTGCTTAGTTATCAGTGCATTATCAATCTTTTCTAAAAGCATTAAATTCCAATATTGCTTGTAGCGTTCCGTTTTTTTTGACATATATTAGAGAAGCTTAACACATTCGTCTCTAGCCTATATTCACACACATTCGCTCAATAATTCGTAAAGTTAATGATTGAACGAGCGTGTAAATGCGGTTTCTCAAAGTGCAGTGCGTGCGTTTCGGGTGGTCTGCAAAATATGAAGTAATTACTTAAATAACGAAACAAAACAAACGATAAGTTTACAGTGCTTAAATAAAGTTTTGAAGTGTTATATTATAAAAAGGATCATGTTTCGTATTTGTTTATAAGTAATACATGTAAGTGCCTTAAGTTGGGATTTGTTGCACTAAAGGTTGCAGTTAAGCTACACCTGTCACCGGGTAAGATTTTCGTTTCAACTAAAAATGCAATTCCGTAATTTTTTGATAAATATATTTGAATGTATTTAGATACTAAATAAAGGTGGGAATATTTTATACTTTTGTTTATTTGTTTTTCTTATTGTAATTTATTCGTATCACTATTTGCAATTTGCCCAACCTTGATATTGATTTAGGTAAATTTTGATTCGTTTACTGTGCCTTTGTTAATCGATGACCGTGAGAATGTAATGAATAAATTATTCAAGACCTGGTTTTGTAAAAAAATATAAATAACACGTCATAAATAGTCGAAATACAAGTAAGTAATTGTTATACTCCTGACACAAATTTTGAAAAGGATGAAACAGTGTATGCAAGAAATGCTTAGATATTTCCACTTAAATTAGCTATGTTTTTCAACCACTTTACAAATTATGTGTTCCTAAGTTTTGTGACATTTTTTTACCTCAATTTAAATATTGAATTTATATGTTTGCGGATTGTGAGATCACAATTCATTGCATTTAGTCAATAAATAAAAATGTATATTTTATTACAGATAAGTGTTTCTAACTCTATCTGTTATAAAAATCTGAAATGATTATAATTCTTTCAAGTCTTGATTATATCGGAAGCTTATAAGAAAAAAAATATTTTTAATTCATATGCAATTCATTGTAAGAAGGGAAAAATAATTATTTATATTTGGAAAAGACTTTTAAATTGATCATTGTTGTGTAATGGCATAACAGCTAATATTTGGGAAATAATGCACTTTTATGATAAACTTGACACACCCTTTAATCATATAACAATGTTTGAAAGAGTAACTAAGGGGAAATTCCATACAGGTCCGTTATATCGTTTATAAATATCTTGCTATAAAAGACATGCTTCCATTTTTCAAAATTCTTTATTATTTTAAATTTAACTGTAAATTTGTAAAATCAACTGTTTTTCTTATAGCCTCTTCAAATACATATATAAAAAATTTTCATGTTCAAACTAATAAGTCTAAATTTGATAATTTTTATTACAGTATTTAGTGACAACATGAATAAAAAGTCTTTGTCGAGTAACAACATTACAGTTTCAAACCGAAATCTAATTAGAAGTTTATAGATGAATGAATGATATAAATGCGTCTTTTTTAAAAATTATTTATTTTTAATAAAGACATTATTAAACTACTGGCAGATATATGTATAAGTATTTTCTATAGATACCATATCCATAATGTTTTTTATTATTTGGTTTAGTAATCGGATAATGGTACTGCAATACAAGACATGGCATATGTGACAATTTCTATGTAATAAGTATAATGTGCATTTGTTACTATGGAATTAACAAGTCAAATATTTTTTCCTCAAGTAATCATTCTTTTAGTTGATTAGTATTTAAAATATTTGAACTAATTTAACTAAATTATATTTGTTTGGTCTTGTATGGTTTCTATATTTTGGTTGATGAATTGTGTATTTTTTTATTTCATTTATAAAACTTGATTCTGGACTGGATTCATATACTTTATACTGTTATTATGTTTTGTTTTAGTATATAAATATTAAAACATACATTAACTATTAACACATTTTTTATTATCATTGAGTGATCAAGAATAATTTTCCTCATTGAAAAAAAAAAAAAACTATTGAATGAATGTTTAAGATAAGTGTTATTTAATTGTTTTATACAAAACAGTTGAACAATTATCTATAACTAGTTTTCAACTAATAAGTAACATAAGAATCAAGTATTTTTATATCTTTGATAGATACATATTATTTATGACTGTGGATCGAGTGCTGGAACGACAAATGAATAATTAAAAAAAATACGAATTTAGATTCCGTAATTATTACGTGATTAATGTACGGACGTTATAATCTGTCGTCGTTGTAATATAAATGTTATAATATTTAGCTAGGTAATTAGTTGTTTAAGAAGGATGTACCAGTTATTTTTATAATGTATTATGTTTATATAATGAGGCTTGGAAAACAAGCATCAGATAAGTTTTCCGTTTTAAAATTTACCCATATCCGTTTAAAAGTAAAATGTTAATCTTGTTTGTCAAATCTATCAACGCGTGCTTTATCTAGCTTATGAAACCGGATGACGTTAGAAAAAAAGTGTTACGTTGTTAAAAACTTAGATGACACGGTTTGAAATGCGACGGAAAATATAAAACAAGTTCTAATAATAATTTATTATAATTTTCATATTCACTGCATTCTTTGCTTTAAAGTCTCTTTTATAATGTATAAAGTTTATGCGTCAGCCATGTAGCGTGCTTTCAATAGTAGCAATAGTGCAATTAAATTGCAAGATGAGTTTATGTTATTACTATAGTGTTCGTCCAGCTGAGTACGTTTGACGAAGCATTTTCTTTAAGCTGTTAGGAAGCCATTCGTTTTCGATTCGACAATACGTAAGTATTTGTTTCCATAAAACAATACTATTGTAATCGACTTATAACAATGTAAGATGATGTTTTCAACGTTCTGTACATAAAAACGATATGTTTCTTTTTTGCGATAACTTTGGTAGTGTATAAATTATGTATTTATGAAAAATTGAGTGACTATTTTGTTTAGTTGATTGTATTGCTATCTTATTTTTCTTAAATTTATTATTCTGTACAATACATCAAATACCGAAGATTTCTGAGCAAATAAAAGCTTTCATTAATACTTATACATATTTTATACATAGCAGAAGAGACTTCACACAACTTAAAAGGTCACATGAGTTGTTACTTTTCTAAATCATAAATCTCATTCAAAGCGATTTTAATATGAATATTTAATTGTTAAACGGCTTAAATTTAATAGTTTTCATTAATAGCAACACTAAAACAACCGTTATACGTCAAATATAGTTTCAAATGTGCTGACTAACTAGTGACCAAATGGTCATTAAATATTGTTAAATAAAAGTCCGTATCAGCTATCAGAATTGATTGCCAATGAATATGTGTCTAATGTGTATTTGATAGTCATGTATGCAATCGAGGAAACAAAGACCTGCCAGCCAATTATAAAGTGGAATGCGACAAACAAAGCGAGCATCATCTCCGGCCGATCGGCGATATGTTGACTCATCAGACGGTTTACGACATCTTATATAATAATTACTTTTAACTTATGTTGTCTGTACGTTGTAAAATATCGATGGAAGACAAATTTGAGAGTGAGATATAAGTACCAACTTAACCAAAATAAAAAAGGTATAAAAAATGTTATTGTTTTTTGGTGTTGACAGTTGAGAAAATATTTTTTCTTGAATTTTTTTATTTTACGTCTGACATTATTATTTTTTGCTCCGTAAAAAGAGAAACGTGTTTATTCATTACTCCTTTGTAATATGTATTTAATTATCTATTATAACTGCATTTGATCTGTTGCTACTAATGAATAAACTTTGTAATTTATAATTTTAGTTTTTTTTACGCAAGGAAGCGTAGTTACGTTGGATTTATTAGTATGATTTTATGTATTAAATATGTATGAGATGTTATTAACAATTTGGAAAATCAAAACTTAACGTTACACTTCATGTTTTTCAGTTTATACAAAAATTTACTTATTTAAATCGTAAATTTAAAAATCAATTTAAAATGCGTGCAGTCTGGGTCGTTGCATGTTAAA